TTTCACAAATGCAATGGAGGATATGTTTAAGACGCTGTACTGGAAAGGGCGTATCACCAATATTAATGGCGTATACATCGCTTGTGATTTGCAGACGACATCATCATCATGGCAGAGAAGCTGCAGGACCTACAACAAATGCTGAATGACCTAACTGACTCTTCTGTACGCATCGGCCTACGGATGAACTTGGATAAAACCAAGGTCATGTTCAATGAACATGTACTACCGGAACCGATTGCGGTACACGGTGCCGTTCTCGAAGTTGTTCAAAATTGTGTGTACCTCATGCAGACATTGCAGTTAGGTAGAATCAACTTTGAGGACGAGGTGAACAGAAGAATTCAATTGGGTTTTGCAGCGTTTGGGAAGCTACGTCTAGTTTTCTCATCGTAGATCCCACAGTGCCTTAAGACGAAAGTCTTCAATGAGTGCGTCCTAAGCGTTATGAACTACGGAGCCGAAACGTGGACACTTACGGTGTACAGTGGACTGCAGTGGACTGCGATAGGCTGATGATGAAGTATATTGATATTTAAACACGACGATTTATTAAATAAAATTTGAATGAATGATGATATTCAGGCATGAATGAAATGTGAATGTGAAATTCATAAGATCACGAAATTTCAAGACTCCATCCATCACTACCAGAGACTGTGTCAGCTTTATATCAGCTCAAAAAAAATAAGAATTCAATATAATTGTTATGAAAAATCGCAGATTTTGTTTATTAATAAAGACCAATCACCGGCGCAAACTTATCAACTACTTAATAAAGCATTCAAAATAATAATATCATTGGAGATGTTCTTCTCCCGCATTAGCTCGTTTAGCCGCCGCGCCAGCTTGTACCTATCAAGTACCTATTTGGCTTGGCACCGACTTCGATCAGACCAGAAGGTATTTATTGCTATTATTATTTTACCTGTTACATTGCGGGTTGCACTTATTTTAGTTTTTTTAATTAGATTTTATTTTTAGTGCTTCTTGTTAGTATTGTTTGAAGTCGGTTTAACTTTTTTATAATGAATTTATTCAGGCACAAAATCCTCACGCTTCTTTATTGTGCCTCACTACGTCATAACTAAGTTTTTCAAGACGTTTGTGATGACAACTCATGTTACTCAATGTGGACTTGCTTGGTCCAAGGTTTAGTGAGTTGGTGATGAGTTATTATTGTTAATAACTTATCTGTTGTACTAGTCGACTGATAGGGTGGACTAGAGCAACCAACAAGTCTCAGTTGTTTAAAAACAGTTCAGCCCCGGATCTAGGGAACGGACGGACGGTTTAAAATAAAAAATCTTGTTCAACAAATCGCCTAGCATGCAGTGCACGTTGAAAAAGTTATTGGGTATATAATAATAAAGAGTAAATATATTGTTATGTCCCAATCACAAAAAATGCCAACCATTTTATATTTTTTGAGTATTTTTAAGATATCTCAAACGCTGGAGAGAGATGGCGCTATTTTAAGTTTCTGCCCCGGTTCGAATAAATCTTAGATCCTGGGCTGTGCTATAGTCAAACAAAACCATAGATTTAACTGTTTACTACTTACTCTACAAATCAGATAAATGTAAATCTTTTATTTATTTATTTATATAGGACAACTTACAAAACATACACTAATACATAATTTACAAACATGTTTTACAATTATTTTCTGAGTGTTGTCTTACTTACAAGTTGCCACGGCATGGTAAGGGACAGTTGCATCTAAGATTATACAATGCAATATCTATAATAATATACGAAACATACAGAACATCATCGAAATTAATTAGAAACAGTGATGCATTTAAAGTGGTGTAAGTCTAAATCACGCAATAACTTTGCTCTTAAATTTTGGAAGACTGTTTGAGAAGATGTCTACATCAATTTCACCATTTTTCGTCAGCTTGTTATACTGGCTTTGTAGTCTATTTATAGTAGCGTTCTGACCCAAGTTGGTTTTAGAAGATTTGATAGAAAAAGGAGCGTATTTATTGGCACGGAGAGACCTTGAGGGAGCATTTATATTTATTTTCTCAATAAGAATGGGACAGTCTAAGTCACCGTTAACTAATTTATAAAGCAAAATCTGATCCAATAACTGCCTACGATCGAACAAACTGTGGAGATTAAAATGTTTTAAACGACTTTCATACGTCGGCAGCAGTTTTACTTTATTGCACTGGTATGAAAGGTGCCAAAGAAAACGCTTTTGGACACTTTCGAGACGTTTGATATGTACCTCGTAGTGTGGTGACCAAACCTGAGCACAATATTCCAGACCAGATCGAACCAAGGCCGAAAAAAGTCTAATCTTAGTCTGGGGCCTTTTAAAATCTTTAGAGTTCCTTATAACAAAGCCCAACATTTTAAATGCTTTAGTTGTTATTTTGTCAATGTGAGTGTGGAATCTAATTTTGGCATCCAAATCAACTCCCAAGTCCCTGACACTTGTAACCTCCTCCAATGTCCTATTATTAATGGTATATGTCTGCGAGTTCAAGTGAGTACTGCGTGAGAATCGTATGTATTTACATTTGTCTATGTTCAGTGCTAAGCCATTTCTCCCACACCAATCGACTAAGCAGTTCAAGTCTTTTTGTAGAAGGAAAGTGTCATGTTTGCTTTTTATTTGTTTTGCGAGTTTGAGATCGTCAGCGTAAAGGAAGCAATCACTGTTCTTGAAAAGTGGTACAATATCGTTTATAAAGATATTAAACAGAATCGGCCCCAGAACCGATCCTTGGAGAACACCTGAATGGGTTAAAAATGATTGAGAGGTGTATCCACCAACAACCACCCTGGAACTTCGATTGTTGAGATACGAGGAAAACCATTTTAGCAAGTTACCTGTTATACCAAAGGTGGAAAGTTTGTAAATAAGGATATTGTGGTCCACTGTATGGAACGCTTTGCTTACATCGGTATAAATAGTGTCAACTGGGATATTAGAATCAACAGAATCAGTCAAAAAGGTCACAAATGAAGTAAGGTTGGTTGTTGCGGATCGAGCTTTATGGAAGCCAAATTGTTGTGGCGATATCAATTGCTTGATGTGCCATGTAATTGTGGGTCTTATTAGTACTTCAAATAACTTACCGAAGACCGGTAATATAGAAATTGGCCTATAGTTTTTTATAGACGCAATATCCCCAGATTTGGATACAGGTACAACCCTAGATTCCTTCCACGCGGTAGGAAAGAAACCGGCTTTTAGTGAACTGTTATATATTATCGAGAGTGGTACGGATAGCGCGTCACGGCATTCCGTTGCAAATATACATGGGATACCATCGGACCCAGCTCCTTTACTTCGATCTAAATGTTTTAGGCCAGTTAACACATCATTTTGTGAAAAGGACAACCCTGCCAGACAACTTGCAAGTGAAGCGTTCGGGAATGTAGCGGCATGATAGTGTACTGAAGTGGAAGAGGGGACCTTATAGACAGACGCGAAATAGGACGCAAAGAGATTGCAAATGTCAGAACCATCGGAGGCTCGTCTGTCATCCAGATGCATTAATGATGGATACGTACATTTATTTTGACGCTTATTTTTTAGGTGAGTCCAAAACAACTTCGGATTTTTGGACAATGAGTCCTCAATATTACTAACGTACTTCGTGTAACACGATTCGATTAATGAAGAACAACGTTTTTTTAGCAGTAAGAAAGACAGCTCGTCCAAAGGATTTTTATATTTACGATACCTTTTACGTATTTTATATTTCTCATTTAAGAGGTTTATAAGTTCTTTAGTATACCAACAGGGATACTTTTGATATGTGGTCTTACTTAAAGGTACGTGTTTCGCGATTGCCTCTCTGATTATCTTATAAAACATATCCACCATATCATCAACACTCGTCAAGACTGAGAATTCATCGCCCCAAGAAACAGAGTTAAGTTCGCTTATAATTTTGTCAAAATCTGCTTTGTGAAAATTAAACTTGTCACCAGGAATCTTGGGAGAAAGACCCGGCGTACTGCAATATGATAAGACAAATTCCAAAGGCGGGTGGTATGGGTCAATTTTGCTAAGCACATTTGTGCTTTCTTGCATATGCTCAATTTTTTGAGTCGAAAGTACCAGGTCAAGAATTTTTCCTTGGCTATTGAGAATTGTATTTTGTTGCCTTAAATTATTAAGAGCAATAAAGTCGAGTAATATGTTCCCGAGTGGGCCCGTTAAGGAAGCCGGAAGGGAAACGGTGTTATTATTGTTGGGCCATGTTACTGAACTTAGATTAAAATCACCCAGTATTAGTGTGTTATGGTGTAATTCTAAAATTCGATTAGTGTTATCAATAAAATGTTCAAAAATGTGTTTTTGTACTGGAGGGGGTATATAGACCGCACATATATACAACTTATCGGGAGAGCTCCGGCTATTACATACATCTAATTCCACCCAAAGGTCCTCGCAACCGCTTTCAAACTGAGACAGTCTACGGGACTCAAAACGCCTAGATATGGCAATCAAAACACCACCACCCGATTTATTTTTGTGATATTCACTGGTCTCTCGATCACGTCTGTACGTTACATAACGATCATTAAACAATTCCAGATTAAATATTGTGTGGTTTAGCCATGTTTCACACAATACAATAACATCATAATCACAACATAAAACGTTTCTATACAGATCTAATGTCTTAGTGCGCAACCCTCTAACATTCTGAAAATATATATTTAAAGACGAGAATTTTGACAAATGAATTAGTAATAACTAGAGATTAATTTACTAACTACAGCAACAAACGATATAATTACTGATGATAAATCTTGCATAAAGAACGACTCTTAACCTCTTTACCTTCATCATATTTTATAGCCCCATTATGTTTCTAGCAACCAGATTTATTAAATCAATTTTTATCAAAAAATAAACTACTGTCACCATAGCAACGAGTTTCGTTAAGTACGTCGTACATCAGAATTTTGTATTCCTATATTTGTTTCAAGTATTTTGTTTGTTTCTATAATATTGAACGTCAAAAATGATGAAAATGCAGATATCTAACGAGCAGGATAGGAAAGAGGCTCAGAATAGAGAAAGGAGGAGACAATGCGAGCTCGAGAGGAGATCGCGGATCTTCAATGCGAGAAACAGGAAGATTGGTGTAAGTTACACAATTTGGAGTTGACTACATATTTTTACTATCTATTCTATTTTAGGGATAACTATTCAATTCTTTTAAAGGCTGCAATCTTGATAATATCTATCCTTGGAGATGTGACACATGACGCTTTCTAGGCCAAACCAAGCATAGCCTGCTGCATATGACAAGCTCTAGAATATAGATAGAATTGATGATGAATATAGATAGATAGATGATAGAATTGACGACCGAATGGCGTAGTGGTTTGTGTAACGGACTGCTATTCCAAAGGTCGCGGGTTCGATTCCCGCTCAAGTCAAACATTTGTGTGCATGAACATTTGATGTTTGATTTGGTCTGGGTGTTTCTATGTATAATATGTATGTATTTACAAAAAAAAAGTATATATGTATTTATATCAGTTGTCTAGTACCCATAGTACAAGCTCTGCTTAGTTTGGGACTAGATGGCGTTGTGTGTATGTGGTAGAATATTATTATTATTATTATAATTTACATAATACGTAGAACTTACACACAAATACTCACACTTTCAAATCCAACTTTTAACTGTAGACCTGCCTCTTCTGTAGACCTTTTTATCCACGAGAAGAATAATGGGAGGAACTCTAGCGATGTTACCCGTCCCTATTTTGATAATCATGCACTATGGTATAGCAATAAGCACACCTGAGATATATGTGCTTGTTTCCATATTAATAAACATACATTTCTAGGTGGACTTACCATTCCTGGAGCGCCAAGTAGCTGAAAAGAGAGCGGAGCGTGACGACCAAAATCGAAAGGACCTCGCGTTTGCAGTGCAGATGATCAAGGACAGTAATCTCGCTGTGGTCTTGGAAGCCAGGGAGAAAGAGGTATAACAGAGGCAAGGTTTTTTAAAAGGATTGGCCGGAGCGCATAATACATTGCACCTCCACTCAAATAATATCACAACATAAAAAAATCTAGGCTTTTAATTGAGAGTTATAACACTATAGTTTGGCTGTCGTGTCTTCACTTCACATCAACAAGCCTTTAAGACCCTTTCCTTCCGCTGAAGCAGGTTCTTTCCGGGCGGTCAACTCTTCAATAAAGGCAACTTATAAGGTTATTGCTAATCATAAACAATTAAATGTCTGTGACCTCATAGTTCTTTCAAAGAATAGACCTGTCACGATCTACTAAGAAAAAGACAAACTCATCTATTACTGAAAATAACGTCGTAGCGTTAATTTGCCGAGTTGCAAATATTTAGCGTATCATGCAAACTGCTTCTTCACTTTAGATTTTATTATGATTCAATGGATGTTATTGAAAATGACAAGAGTTGATATTTTCTACAGTGAACATTTTCATTTCATCGTATTTTTACTATTCTAATGATCAATGGACTTATGACGAAAAGGAGCTCATATTCTAAATAAACGCATGCACTTTTTTGTGTTTTTATAATGATAATAACTAGTCAAGGTCACTTATTTTTTTACATTAAACTGAGTATTTATTTATGAGATGAAGATTGGATATAAAAAAATAATCAAAGGATCACAAACAAAAGAAAATTAGGAACAAAAAGAAATACTGATAAACATTTTCAAAATTAGGGATAGTTAGATAGTTAGATGTTTCGATACACTGGTTAATTTTCACAAATTGTTCGAACGATGACGTTTAATGAACATTTTCGGTGCGTGCGTATTTAGTGCGCCGCACTGTCTAGACATATTAATTTTAAAATAAATAGGTATTTGATAGACATAGTTAACTTGTGTAAATATTATTAACTTAGATTATAAGAAAAAAATTACACTTGCATTCAAAACAAAATTGTTTTGAATTAATGATGTATGTACTTCATTTGATAGGAGCGCCGTCGCATTGGGGAAGAAATCGACAAATACCGTAAAATGTACCAGCGTTTAGAAGACAGACGCGAGTATGATCTAAACGATCCTGACGTACTGAAGAAGCAGCTGCCGCCACGAGCCAGTGATGGAGAACCCGTCGGACTATCTAGCGCTCAAAAGTTAGTTACGTACCTATATGTAGGTATATCTGAGAACTATTAATTTCTCTTTAAACTGTTGTTGTTTGTTGTTTAAACTGTTGTCAGGGAGAATTACTTCAAAATTTCTAGTGGACCGTTTACCCTAATGTTTGTAAAATATAAGACGTTCACTACTTTCAGATTTCCACCTTGTGCATTTTCTAATTAGTTTTCGGTTCTCTGCTTGTAAGAGATGTAAAATATTACTTTATTTCTTTCTTATTTTTTACCTCTTTCTCTCCTATGAGTTATGATCATATTTTTTTCATTTGAATAAAGTTGGCCTAATTTGCTGATTATTACATAAATTATCAACTTGTGGTAGTCTTGCGAAAATTGGTCTAACAGTGCATCAAGGAAATTTGCCGAATTTAACAGAATCGCAGACGCTCTAATTATAAATAGACACTCTAATTCTATTTATTTGTATGGATAGATTAAAAGTTGAGATAAATACTCTCAAACAGTTTCATTAAATAGGTATATGCCAAATTATTTAAAGTTTGTCATTACTTAATGCATGTATTTTCAAAACGTGCTCAGGTTTGAAGGAGAAGACTTGGACTACGAAGAGCGCAAGAAAATAATGGCGGATCAGAAGAACTCCTGGCTCGAACAGCAGGTACAAGAGCGGAAGGCTGCCCAGGAGGAGAGAAAGAAAGCTGAAGCTGCTTATATGGTAACATATTTTATGCGTTATACGCAAGACATTGGGGGACTTTTTGCCTCTAATAATACGCTCTATTTAGAGAGTTATAATATTTTACCTGCACGGGTGTATTATACTAGTAATATGCAATTTCATTTATCAAATCCAGAATACATTAACTAGAATTTCTTTTCTATATTTTAAGATGGCAATAAAAGCTCGTGACGACCGAGCTAGCGAGCTCGACAGGATGGAGCGAGAGTGCCGATACAGGCTTGGACAAGCAAACTTGAAGTACAACGAGGCATTGGTAATTTTCAAAATATCTACACACGTTTGCCAAGGATTCCCCGGAATTAGCGAATGTTTTCTATTTTATACTGTAAGGCCTTCAAATGAAATTTAATTTTAGCTTCAGTTAAAAGATCTAGCACTTGCCTGTTAATTAAATGGTTGTTTCAAGATAATATCTAGCCCCAAGGCCTCATATTGCAATCTCACCTTTCTGTAAAACCAAATAACCGGTGTTTGGCCTCATAAAAATACCCGTGTTAATTCTTTCATAGCGTTTCATCGAGTGAGTGAAGTTACTGGCTCCCTAGTTCCTCTTGCATGTTTGTCAAAAACTACAGCTAACTGCTAATACATATCGATAAGTAGGTTATTGTGTGGAGAGGATTTTTAAACTTGAATTTTAGTTTGATCTTCTTCTTCGCTCGGTAGGCTACAGAGAAGAAACAACTAGAACAGGTCATGAAGGCTCAAGAAGAAGCCGACAACACCGCCGAAATGTACAATAATTTAACTTCGGATATGCTTACGGAGAATCCTGATGTAGCCAAGAGCGCCCTCGGTAAAGATAGGTAAGGATTGTGATGGCTGATAGTTTTGTTATAATTACGACACAGACAGTTATTTTAATACACAAAAAACTAATGATCGAGCATGCAGCTTGCCTGATCATGTTGTCTGTCTACCTAATCTAAACACTCGCAGTGAAAGTTGTGGCCCAACGTTTACTCTTGCAGCCATCGGCCTATACCTACCTATATACCTACTATACCTATCTATTAAAGAAACTGAAGAGAAGTGGAAATGGGTGATGTCTCGCTGTCTTATCATAGGATTCGAATAAGGATACTCGACCCTGGTTTCTTCGGCTACTGCATTTTCAGTCTTGAGACTTCTTAAGCTAGTCGTTGGTTCCGTCTTATAACTATCACTGCTTCAGAATGATTACCAACATTATTTTTCAGCAGTACAATAACTTAGAAATATTGAGGGTTAAAAAGAACAACTAGATATCCAAATAATAAACTTCAAAAACATCCCAGATCTGAATAATAGAATTAAGCCCTTGGTCCCAGGTAGTGCAAAGTCTACTTTTATCACAGAAGTTCTATACTGGGTAGGTATAGGATTCATTCTTTATTTTTTCTTTATACTTTGCATCCAGTTTATTATTTTATATATTAAAAGAATCACCAAGGAAGTCACCAATAATTATAAAATTTCGGCGTTTGCAGGGCTATCGGTTTCATGTACAAGGGCATGAACCAAGAAGAGCTAAAGAAGTTTTATGCCGCGCAGAAGGAGCAAATGGCTGCGGCAAAAGTATGTTTTAAGACTATTATAGTTTTATTAAAATATTATATACATATTTACTATATACATACGTTATATTAAATACATACTAAACCAACTGTAAAATAACACGCTCAGTAATAATTAATAAACAAGATCAGTAATATTATTATCATTTTATATTTCAGGCTAAACGCGAAGCTGAGGAAAAGATGGAGGCTGAGTGGCAAGCTCTAGCCAAGGCTATTCAGCGTGAGGTCGCTCGCCAAGACATCACCGACCAGAGAAAGAGAAGGTCAGAACACCAGACACTTCCTTAACCGAGTTTTAAACAAGGAAATTCTCAATTCGGTTCAATTTTTTTTTGTCTGTTACCTCAGTACCCTTCTTAAATGCTAAGAACCGATCAGGACTTTTTTTTGTTTGGGAAGGTATAATTTTCTGTCTGGTCCCATTTGGCTCTGAAATCGTCAAAGCCGATGCCTTCATTCTATCAAGATGGCCGCATATTGGTCTATTCGTCGTCATTTTAGAAACGTCAAAAAATTCAAGAAAGCCAAAAACAGAATAATAGTTTTTGTATCACTCTCTTTACACGCTGATTTTTGCCAACAGGGAAATAGCCCGTCAGCTGATGGAGGAAAACCAACTAATGGCTCTCCAACAGAAGGAGAAGCAGAAGTACTTCAACGAGGTGGTATACAACAATACGCCGACGGATGCGTACTATTCCCAATTCAATACCACTACAAGATAAATATTTTAAACTATTTTAGTCTGTCAAGTAAGGTTAGGTTAAGGTACATTGCCAGTATTAGTGGATTGCTTCGGATACCACTGTTTTGAAAACTACAGTGGGGTGAACGATATTTATCTTGCATAAAAATTATTTCAACAGTCAATATTTTGATTGATTAGAGCACATTTCAGTGCTATTTCGTCCACTGTTGCTATGTAGATACCTCGGCTCTACAGAAAATAAAGTGACGAAGGGCTGCGTATGATATAAATATTACCTAGTCAGGAACAGCCGACTGTGGTGTGACAATAGTGCATGTTGTATTTATAAAGTATTCCAAGTTTAAATAGCATAAACTTAGTTTTATAAAAATATGCGCACTTAATGGATTTTGTTGACGCCAGAGCTGGCGACGAGTAGGTGCCACGGTCAACGCATTCTAGAATGTATTAGTATTATTTAAAGAGTTTCATGCACCTGAACACTAGATCTTGAATTGATTCTATCTAAATAAGGTTGAACGATCTAGCATGACTCACAAATACTTAACGAATCAACCACTAAAATTGGCTATGGATGATTGAAACTCTAAAATTGCAGTGAAATACTCTGCAACTTTGAGCTAAGTACTTATATTTAGGTATATTATCTACTGGCATCGATAATAATCTATATCTGCTTCGCAAGAAATTCCATCGTTGTACCTACTTCTGTCACACGTAGGTATTATTGAAAAAAATAACCGCTGTCAAGATTCTGCTTTAGTCTGTTTAAAATACCATTCGATTAAAAAATATTCGATGGGAGTTCATTCCAAGATTAATATTGTTAGTTCAAACTACTAACTTTGAAACTAAGCACTAAAAGACCGTTACATATAGTGCTAAGTTTTGAATAACAATGCTCTGTGATTCCCGCCAAAGCACATACATAGATAATTCAAATTTGCAACGCTTAAAACGTCGAAAGACATTAATAGGTAGTATCTATTAAAACTAAAATGTCCTAAATCATAATTGTTGCAAAGAAAATATTTAGAATTGAATTACAAATATTTGTTTGTCTGACGGGAAACATGTTCATACTGCTTTGAATGCTGTACTTACTAGAACTTGGGAATGACTGATGAAGTGAATGAATTCGAGACTTAATAATTCTAGCTCTCGCAGCGGCAAACTTAGTTGGACATAGTTGTATAGTCTTTGGCACATGTTTCTAGTTAAACTGCCAATACTGTCATCGCCTTATACAAAAAACTAGGCTAACGAAAGACAACTTTGAACAACAAGATGTTTTCTTTACCTAATTTTGTTAGTCTACGTTTTGTAAAACTTACATTTACTGTTCTTTATTAATTTAATGTTATTTTTTGTTGGATTAAATTCTTGTACGGTAAGGTAGGCTTTTAGCTTTTAAAAATACTTCATTGTATAAAATTTAAAAGACAATGCTTAGAGCCAAAAATTTGGCACACATTCTAAAAGCGTAAAAATGTTTTGCACCTACATTTAAAAAGTGAAGTGTTTTTCTGGTTGTAGTTGTTTCGTTATTTAGTTAATAAACCTCTTTAAAGTTTGATTTTGTTTTTTATTTCATCACTAATATGGCTGCAGTGTGTACAATGTCGTAGCCAACCGAAGTTGCTAAAATTAGAAAATAGCAATTCAAGTCCATTGAAACTTACCACCATAGAGCAACACAGGCCACCGGCGCACACTGAAAATAAGTGTTCATGCGCAAAACTTAATAAAAAACTACTTTTGAGTGATCGTTTTGTCTGTAATTCTTTTGCCAGCATATTCAACACATCAAAACAAAAAAAAAATATTATAATTGGATCGGAAGAAGTGAACAGACCATGTTGGTAAGGTTGTCCGTTCTTGATGTTTTCTTGCATTTTTTTCTCGATAGGACTTGGTCTTTATTTCGGGCTTCTTGAGCCACAATGTAATTGTTTTTCAGTTTAGAACGTATATTTGTCATCAGATATTATAATTTTTGTTTATATTGAGTATGACTAGAGCTGCCATCAAATCCCTATTTCGAATATTTCATTTTATCAAAATAATGTTCAGAATTAGCCTTCAAGAGCGATTTTGAGTCTATAATATACGTATTCCTGTATGATCCAATAAGCATTGGAGAGGAACTGCAGCTTCAGTCTCAGTATCTTTTACGTCTTTTGGATAGGAGTATAGATTTTGAGCCTGTACTTCATTAAAACTTAGAAAAATATCCTTTGCATAATTTCTAAAAACTTCATATTGTTTACGCGACAACTGTACTTCAATAATTAACGATAGGGCATCGCGAGGCAAAACTTTTTTTGCTTCTAGAGTAGAATCTATATTAAAGCAAAATCCTTCGCATACTGGAAGCTACTTGACGACTGAATGGTGTAGTGGTTTGTGTAACGGACTGCTATTCCAAAGGTCGCGGGTTCGATTCCCGCTCAGGTCAAACATTTGTGTGCATGAACATTTGATGTTTGATTTGGTCTGGGTGTTTCTATGTATAATATGTATGTATTTACAAAAAAAAAAAGTATATATGTATTTATATCAGTTGTCTAGTACCCATAGTACAAGCTCTGCTTAGTTTGGGACTAGATGGCGTTGTGTGTATGTGGAAGAATATATTATAATAATTTGAGTTTTTGGTACGACCGTCACATATACCGCCCCAATGTGCAGCGGACCGAAGGGCAGTAACCTCAGACTCCCATACAAAAACAATCGGCTGTCTTTTTTTATTTTATTTCTGTAAGTTAATCTTTTCAGATATTTTTACAAGTCGGCCTTTATAGCTAGAATTAGCCGGCATTTCCTAAGACTCACTCTGGGAAGAAACGCCGAGGTGTCTTTTTTTTTAAGTCCGTAAACAAAGTTAAATAAAACTGTGCGAGTACAGTATAGGGTCTGGATAGGCCTTTTGAGGAAAGGACCATAGTTTTGAGTCAGCCTGTCCATACAGACGGCATACAGGCTCCAGCCAACGTGTAGCCTAACCGATATTGGTCAAGATCAACGACCCGAAGCATGACACTACCGCCAGCAGGACATTTGGGTAGGCCGTGGAAACACTCAAAACCACCAGAAAGATAATAAAATATGAATTAACATTACAAGCCCATACTTACACAAAAAATAAAAAAATACTATACAATTCAAATTCAACGAAAAATAAAATACGAAAACAAAATACGAAATACACCAAAAAAAAAAAAATGACCATCACTTTCAAACTTAACAACAAAGATGTCTACGTAAATGTGGGAGTGAGTAACAATTAAAACAACACACACACACATATTTTACACATTTTGTGTAATAACAGTATAATGAAGGGACGCACTACATTGACATGTTGCAAGCAATCGTGGCTGTAACAACGATCGATACGCAATTTCGATAAATTCGAAAATTCGGTTAGGGCATTCAGGTTTAAAAAGTGATACAAGACCGCCGAAATAGCGGAACATGTACTCAGTTTTGGTTCTGCTGATTTTCAAGCTAACATTCCTTACCGACCAACACAATGTCCTCTGCAAACAGCATGCTCCAAAGTGCTTCCCCCTGTCAGAACATCCATGACCAACAGGAAGAAGTATGAGCTCAGAGCCGATCCCTGGTGCAAGCCTACAGAGACACTGAATTGATCAGTGTTTCCCGTGACCGACATACTTAACAGGCACTCTCTATTCTTTCAAAGCCTACTACAAAAGCTCTCGGGGTACCCTATCATACGCCTTTACGAGATCCACAAACATCACAGCTATATATGTAACTATTTAACTGAGCAAAGCTATATAACTATTTATATTAACACTTGACACTATTTTTTTTCTACCCGTAACAGTAATAGATAGTGTGACTTTTTATAGTTAAAACTAGCTGAGACCCGCGTTTGTTGTTATAACCGCGGGCAACGCCGCGGGGCGAAGCTAGTCTAAAAAAAGTAGCCTAAGTAACTCCTTATGTCATCAGCTATCTGCCATTGAAAGTCCCGTCGAAATCGGTCCAGCCGTTCCAGAGATTACCCGGAAGAAACAGACAGACAGACAAAAATTGAAAAAAATGATATTTTGGCATATGTACCGTGTAGACATACATATGCATTTAGTAAAAAGCGGTTATTTTAATATTACAAACAGACACTCTAATTTTATTTATTTGTATAGATATATGTTTATGTTTAAATATATGTTTTTCTTTTTTATGTTTTTTTTTAAATCGTCTTTTTTCAAAGTGTAGAAACCCTCCCGGGCCGTCTTTAAAGGCTTAGGGATATATTCTGTCTCGCGGGGGACTTTATAAACATACATGAAACGGACACAAAGAACACCCAGATTCAGAACTACAATTTGTGGATCACACAAAGTTTTGTCCTATGTGGGGATCGAACCCACAACACTCAGTGCAGTAGGAAGCAGTGAGGTGCCACTTAAACCACTACGCCATCCGTACATGCAGTAGGACGCAGTGAGGTGCCACTTAAACCACTACGCCATCCGTCCAGTCTTTCCAAAAGATTAATCGATTCAGAGAACAAATTGTATTCACATTGTGTCCACGAAATTTCAACCTAACCTAAATATTTTTGATTCTTTTAAGCTTTCCTCCGCCCTTCTTCTTTTAAAATGTCTTTCTACTTTCTTGACTCCCTCTACATTTAGCGTGAGACGTAATTTATGGATGATCAATAATGTTAAAAATATCTATAATGTCATCGGAAGCGATCACTGGTATTGATTTGAATTTAAAAAAAAATATCTAAAAAAATATGGCTTTTGCGACTTTGGACTTGCGTTACCTCGTTTGCCTCGTTATACCATTAAAAAAAAAAACAAATTCTATAAAGGATGAAAAATAGATATTTATTTAAAAATTAAACTCCAATACATACATGATATCATAATTATTATATAAAGTACTAGTTTTATTTCTCACTATATTATGAGCAAATTGAATTGCCCATACCAATGCTGCAGCCCATGATATAAAAATAGCAAATATTTGCTGTAATTTATAATAAAATTGGCACTTCTGAGATCAACAAAATATAATAATATGTCTTAGTAAATAGTATAAACTTTTGTTTCTTCCAAAACTACCGACTCTCTATCTCTCTCTATAATATATATTTTTTTATTTGATAAGAATGATCTTGCCAATCCTACCCTACAAAATAAAAAAGGGAAAAATTCAGAATTTTCCCAAACATATCCTTACTTCACTCTCTGAGTTTTCCCTAGTACTGACAAGTGAAGTAAGTTTATATGACAACTGTTCAGAGTAATGTCCTACAATTTAATCTATTAACTTAACATAGATTTGTATTATATATATTATTAAATAATAAAAAAAACAACAATAAAATCACAAAAATAATATCACAAATAGTTAACGATCACATTATGCAATTATCGACATCACGCTTTTTTCAATTCACATATTTATAGCATTATTATTCATATTGACTGCCATTCGGTTATATGGTATACATTTATAGTACTTAGTCGAATGGCTGGTCAATATGTCAAAAAACTCCTACATTTTATGACAATATTTAACTTTGAGAAAAAAAATACAAATGTTACTACAAATATATGATGATGATAATCCGTGTGGTGACGGATCAAGAATACAGAGTGCCACTACCCCTATTCAACCCTTGGGTGTCGTAAGAGCCGACCACAGGAGCGGACTAAGGGAGCAAAGAACGCAGGACAACAGTACTGCAAAGAGAAGGAAAACTTGACACAAACCCACCTGGTACCTAAACCTAAATCACAGAGTTCTGGGGTAACAAACATACAGAAAGTATATCTTCTCTTCTTTGAAAGCGGTTATTTTTTTTCCATAGAATATAGAAATATGTTACATATCTTCAGGTGTAGTACTGCGGAGTTTTTACAACAAATAATATATGGGGCTCATAGTGTGCAACTAGGTTTTTATAACATCAAACTAAGTATGCTAACATTTTTTACTGAGAATAAAATGATTTAGCAAACAAGATAAGGTGAGATAAAACAGGATTAGACGGTTCGTACTTGATCTCATTTTCGAGAAAGTTTTAATGTATTTGCTTTGATTTGCATCAAGAAACGCTCCTCACCCCCTACTCCCCCCCCCCCTTCCCACCAGAAATAGGGTAAGGCACCGGTAACCCCACTCACTCGCCGGATTTCTGTGAGGCCGAAGCATGGCGAATAAAGGTATGTTTGTAATACGAACCGTCTAATACAGCCTTTATATCCACACGTTAAATCAATTCTCATATTTTTATACTGCTCTTGTAACAGTGCCACTAATTAATCCTTTCTCGTACAAGTTCATGATGGAGTCAGCGATGATCTTCGCGGTCTTCATCAGATAACCACCGCTGGTGAGCATCACGATCGGAATGTGTTTCTGTTTGCACATTTCAAAGACGAATTCGTCCCTTTTTATAATACCCTGTGGAAATAACAGTCAGGTTACTTTATAAAGCTTAGTAAATTAAAATTTACAATAAAATTTGAATAAGAGTACCTAACACAAATGAGAATTAAAGGCTCAACACTAAATTCAATAATAAAAGTAAATAAAACAAATAAATAATTCCTTTCTACACTTGCTAAATTATTTGAAACGAAACAGCCAAAACACACACACTTAAGATAATAGGGAATATGCACGTGACACCGAAATGGACAAAATATTTTTATTTGTAATTTTTGTTGCTAAAAAAAGATACCCATACAATTATTTTTGAAATTTATTATAATTTAATAGTGAAATTTAATCATCAAAAATTGGCTTTTTTAAGATTCCCTCGCAAATTTCTAAAACGCAACGCTATTGGTTGAATAAAACGTGACGTCAACCTACACTGTCAAGAGTGTCAACAAGCTGTGTGTATTTGTAATATTTGGTTTCTGGTGATTATTTGTTTCATTTTAAGTTAATAACTAATACGTTTTCAGTGTTAAATTATTAAATTCCCGTGTAGAAAGACTCAACACAATGACTGAATATTTAAAATTGCACTTTGTCAGGTACAGTTTTGATATTATTTGGGCACAAAGGAACGGCACAATATTTATAATAAGTTTTTATTGGCTTTTCCATGGTAATAAGTTAATTTTTATCACTCACTTTTTTAACTTTGACAAACTTTGTGAACTTCACTCCGTTGTTGACATCGAATTCGTCTGAAAGTGGAATCTGACGTCACAAAAAAAGCGCGCCAAAATGGACGTGTTCAAATTGCCCCAAAATGATAGTGATTTTAATAAAAAATTTTTTGCTTAACGGTTTATATTTCGGATGTGTTATATTTATTTTTGGTAATGTAATAACTAGTAGAATCGTTAAAAAAAATAAAAAAATTACATGCATATTCCCTATTGTTCTAAGAACTCTTTGGTATATAAGATGATCTTAAAGATAGTTATAGATTGTAGTACGCGCGTTTGTAATCTGTTTTTTGGTGTTCTACCGTTGTTCGTTGGCCGTGAGCAAAGGCCCTTAGCCGTGTCTTACCTGGACTCTAAAATTTAAAAAAGTAAACTTGAAGTATTCGCAAGGTTTTTTGTTCAACTTACGATATCACTAATGTTCATGCACCCAAGTGGATCAGATTCCAGGATGTCTGTCCCAGCGTTGTACACCAAAATGTCAGGTTTAAATTCCGACAGAGCGACTTTTAAATGCCTGCAAACAACATTGAAATATATTCCACCTAACCATTTAAGAGAGACGCTTTTTGAAGTGAAAACTTATTTAGGCGCGTTATGGGTATTTATGAACAACAGACAAAAGAATGTATTTTTGAAGTGGGAAAAAATTATTGAACTCGCGACTGTTACCGTTACCGACCCTCTCTATATAAATATCTAAATATATTGGCCCCGTTTCCACGAGAGTAACTATATATAATATAAACATATATGGTGTAGGTATATACGTACAACATAGATATATTTTTATGTCGAAACTTTTCGAATCGAAAAATACAAGAAGAAAATCCTGTAATAATCAACTGATTTTAAATTTTCAAGTTTTCACGAAGAGAAAGAAGTGAAAACTGTTTTTTCTTGTTAAAAAAAACTCACTCACCTACAAGTCTATAAATACAGTGAGATATAGCTCCCCCCCCCCCGGTTTAGGTCTCCGGTAACCTCACTCACTCAATGAAAACGAAAGTTTGACTTGTAAAGTGTTCTAGCAACCTATTTGCAGTATAAACGATATCGAGAAGTAATAGAGTAAAACGTACTTAATATTATTATTTTGTACTAAATGGAATTTTTCTAATGTTTTTCTACCTTTCCGGTTACGAACCGTTATGAATTACGTGTATATTTTGATTTTTTAAGTTATTTATAGAAAAATCAATCAACATTAATGCATACTTAAGTTAATAAAAAAAGCTATGCTCAGATGCCACTGCAAATGCAATTAAATCCTTTAAAATTACGACCGAATCTTAGTAGTCGCATATGATGTGTAATATCTGACATCTCACCTACCGTCTACGGGCCAACACAGACCAAGAGGATGGGAGAGGAGCTCCTCTCGGTCTGCGATGGGCATAACCCGATGGGGCTACAAGCTTGAAATGTAGGCAGCTGATGCTTTGTATATTATAATCACCCACTAAGAAAGGATTTTTGGAAATTTCACCCCTAAAGGGGAAAAATTAGGGATAAAGGGTTGTACGGAAGTCAAGCATTTTCAAAGTTAAAAACACGAAATAGGAAATTCCCCACAGATGATAGCTAATAAATAATACCTATAAATTATATTTTATACGAACTGTTTTAACTTTGTCAAATATTCCTGGTCCTCCACGTTACATGTGAGCTCCACCTTCCGCCTGATAGCCTTCTTAGCGTCCCTGTCTCTAGGGTAAATGTCTTTGTTGTACATATCCATTATGTACACTTCTGGGACGCTTAGAAAGTCGTGTTGGTAACCATTACCCTGCGTTACATATGTTATAATAAAATAAATACATAGGATAAGTATTAAAGGATAAGGTGCCGTGCCGAATGGACTCTTTATAATAGCAAGAAATAATCAAAAACTGATTTAGTATTTCCATAGTTTATCACCCATAAACATACCAATACTTTCCGTAGGTGCATAATTTTTATTTTTAATTATATTTAAAGTAAAAAAAAATGACATCGGGTATAATTTATTAAGAAAAAAAAACGAGTTTACCCGAAAAATTGTGAGTAGACTAGTGACTTAAATGAGACTAAAATTATAATTGACATAACGTCGGCGTTTTACGGCTCTGTCTACCTCAACGGGCATACAAGACGTGTGTGTATGTATGATTGACAAAATTGACTGATTCACCGAGCAAAAGTGGGCGAAGGATAGTAGATAATAAATAAACCTGGTGCGCGTCCAAATCCACAATCATAGCATTCTGTATCATCTCAGCTTGTACAAGAAACCGGATCAACATAGTGATATCCGCATAAGGACAGAAACCTCCGCCTTTATCACCACTGCAGTGATGGAAGCCACCGCCGACGTTTATAGCCCAACCTCTCTCAAGAGCCAGCTTACCGGCTAACACTGAGCCGCCTGTTTGTAACCTACAATGCAATATAATATCACGGTTAGATTTCTAGCAGGCTCGGCAGATATGTTTCGGAGAATTTTCTACAGATAGTACCAACTAAGCAGTAAGGAAGAAAGTTATTGCATAGATTTATAAAAATCCATTTGTTTATTCGTATTTTAATTATCATCCCTACGTTCATTCGATCATCACGAAATTTCGCTAATATGTTAATACACTGGAGGACATATCTTTCATTAAAGAAGTACCTACTGTCCTTAAAGGGTCAAAAACGACTGTCCTTAAAGGGTCAAAAAAACGACTGTCCTCAAAGGGTAAAAAAGCATAGTCCTCAAAGGGTAAAAAAGGACTGTCCTCAAAGGGTAAAAAAGGATTGTCCTCATAGGGTAAAATAAGTACGACAGGCAAAACTTAGTATGTATAATATTAAAACTACTTGGTTTCTGCCTATGCATTCTAAATAAAACCTAAAGGTAAGTCAATAAAATGTATAATGAAATTTTGTACATATTCATTATTATAGACATGTAGTATATTCATACATAAATCAAAATGCACTGCCTATGCCATAACCAGAAACAATTTCTTAGATTATAATTTCATATTCTAAACGCTGCCATATTATTCAAAACCTTAATTATTCCTCGCCTTCCCAAATCTGGCGATTCCTCGGTACCTTGGGCATCGGTAAATCCGGGAAAAGTATCTCTTCAACGACCTTTGATTTGGATGACATTAACCGACATTTCACGACTCTTCCGCAATTTGATCACCAAACAAAGTGTCTCACCTTAAAGTACCTGGCTGACCTTCCTCGCCCAAATATTAATTCCTTTCAATTTTCTCCAGTTGCATCAGATGACATAAAAAAGATAATCCTCTCCATTAAGTCCAACGCCATGGGAAGTGACAACATAAACCGTCGTATGATCACACCTATCCTCGAACATCTCCTTCCCGCGCTTACGCATATAGTGAATTATTCACTCGATTCAGGGACTACGAGGGGTGATCAATAAGTAATGATAATCGAGTATTTCTAGAACGCACAAAAACCCAAATTATTTTTTTTCTGCTTGCTTATATATCCACTACTTCAGCTTCAAAAAAATGTATAAATAGGACACCATTACCGGGAGATACATTCATTTGACATCAAAATGGAGAAAAATGAAATAAGAGCTGTCATCAAGTACCTCTGCCTGAAAAAAATGTCTACCAAAGACATACACAGCGACTTAGAGGAAACATTGGGGGAGTCTGCTCCTCCATATTCCACAGTCGCACGCTGGGCAAAGGAATTTAAGCTGGGCAGAACCTCCACTGAAGATGAACATCGCGAGGGACGCCCTTCCACGTCCCTTACTGGAGAAAACGTCAAAAAAGTGGAAGATATCGTGTTGGCCGAAGGGTGACCGTAAGGCATGTAGCTGAGGTCACAGGGATCTCCTATGGCAGCGTTCAAAAAATCATTGTCAACAAAATGCATATGAAAAAGGTCTCTGCGCGTTGGGTACCGAGAATGTTAACCGACGAGCAAAAAAAGAAACGAGTCGACATTTCGAGGGTGAATCTTCAAAAGTTCCAGGCCGATAAAGAATTTTTTTGTCGCGTTTTGTGACCATGGACGAGACCTGGATCCACCACTTTGATCCCGAAACCAAACAACAATCAATGACTTGGAAACGAGCTTCCTCACCAACGCCGAAGAAATTCAGTGTCAAGTTCAGCGGGAAAGGTTATGGCGTCTGTTTTCTGGGATGCAGAAGGAATTATTATGGTGGAATATTTGGAAAAGGGGGCCACTATAACAGGCTCTTACTACGCAGGCCAAATAAGAAGATTGCGAGAAGCTATTAAGTCAAAAAGACGCGGTAAACTGCGCGCTGGAGTGCTGTTTCACCAAGACAACGCCCCGGCTCACAAAGCCGCAGTTGCGATGGCTGCCATTGAAGAAACGGGGTTCGAACTGCTCGAACACCCTCCCTATTCGCCAGATCTAGCTCCCAGTGACTTCTACCTCTTTCCTCGGCTCAAAGAACACCTCCGGGGCAACAAATTTGAGGACAATAGTGAAGTGATGGCCGCAGTAGAGGCATTTTGGGAGGGTCAAGACAAATAATTTTTTTCTAAGGGAATCATGGGCTTAGAAAAAAGATACACTAAATGTATTAACTTGCAAGGAGACTATGTTGAAAAATAAAATACTTTTTTTAATCTAATAGTTCTGTTTCATATTGATTATCATTACTTATTGATCACCCCTCGTATTCCTACACTGTGGTTCAGTGCTTTTGTAATACCCCTCCCTAAGGTCTCTAACCCTACCCTTATAAATCACTTACGCCTAATTTCCATACTTCCCTTGTTATCCAAAGTGCTCGAGACGTGTGTACATCAACAGTTATCACAATTTATCTATCGGAATAATTTACTAAGCCCTTTTCAATCGGGCTTTAGGCCTGGCCATAGCACAACTTCTGCACTCCTGAAAGTGACCGACGACATTCGGGCAGGAATTGAGGACTCCAAAGTTACCGTGTTGGCTTTGATTGATTTCTCAAATGCTTTTAACACCGTTAGTCACGATGTCCTTCTATCTATCATTTCCTATCATATGATGTCATCTGATGTACTGGAATGGTTCTCTTCATATCTTCGAGGGCGCCAGCAAACCGTCCGTGTCGACGAATCCACCTCCATATGGTGTGATCTTGACTCTGGTGTCCCCCAAGGCGGCATTCTCTCTCTACTATTATTTTCTGTGTGCGTACCATCTTTATGCTGATGACTTGCAACTTTACTATAATGCTGCTGTAGATAATATAACGGAGGCTATTGCCATGATAAACGGCGACCTGGAGACTATTAGCGGTTGGTCCTATAGGTTTGGTTTGACTGTGAACCCCACAAAGTGCCAGGCTATCATCTTAGGCAGTCCACGTATGACCAGAAGGCTAGATCAAGAAAAACTGCCATCCCTAGTATTTAACGGGTCAATCATTCCCCTAAGTTCTACTGTGAAGGATTTGGGACTGTTCATTGATTGCAACCTCAATTGGCAAACCCAGGTTACTAATGTCAGCCAGAAAGTTACAGGAACCCTGCGGGTGTTATACCGACTAAAGAATTTTTTACCTTCCGAGATTAAAGCGATGTTGGTACAAACTTTAATTTTTCCCATTATAGATTATGGTGATGTGTGATACTACGACCTTAATGCATATCTCAACAAATACGACCGTCTTCCTAATAACTGCATTCGATTCATTTTTAATCTTCGTAAATATGACCATATTTCCTCCATTCGTCTTAAATTAAATTGGCTCCCAATTCGTCAGCGTCGTCACCTGCGGGCACTAACGACTCTCTACACTATTCTCAACTCTCTTAACTCGCCTACATACTCGACATCCTACTTCCAGTTCTTGTGCTCCAATCATAACAGAACCCTTTGCTCTACAAATAATCTTCTACTCTTATGCCCTGCCCACACTTCTGCGTGTGTTCATTCTTCCTTCCTCACTCAATCTGTACTTCTATGGAATGCTCTTCCCCAGGATATCAGAATGGCGACCAGTCGTAATTCGTTTAGGGCGAAGGTGCGGGCTCTCCTTAACCGGAATGTAGCGGAATCATCACAAATATGATTCTTTATATATTATGGTATATATTTATGTGTATATATGTAACACAATATATATGAATATGAATGTATGTATTCTTGTATGTATACGTTGGTATTTATATATTATTTCATTGCTTTTTGCTCAGTATTGCTATCATTACTTCTTTTATGTCCACTTTATAATTCTCAACCAAAGGGTAGTGCACCTCCACACTCATTTCCACACCACCCTAAGGTAGACTGGTAGAGAATGCCTATGGCATTAAGTCCGCCATTGTACTTATGTGCATAAAGTTGATAAATAAATAAATAAATAAAATATTCTTCCACACCTACACGCAGGACAACTACACCCTCGCAGCCTCAGCCAAAATATTTATTTCAAGCAGAGATCTAAAACATCAATCGTCATTATTCGTTTAGTGGTCAAAATATAAGTTTTAAAGTATTTCAGCTTACCTCATTGGTTTCAGATATGCATGCTGCACCCATATATTCGGCACACAGGCAATGATTGGCACTTCGGCTATGATTGCTACCTTGGCACTCCACTGAAAAAACAGTAATTCGTAACATCTGTGTGATTTTTCTGTTACACCTCACCTAGAGATAATAGACATCTAAAATAGTGCCTATATACTATACAAAATGAGCTTACTTTCAAAGATCTCAAGTATCTCTTTGTGTGGACGACTAGAAGATCACTCTTTGTTGGTTCAAGTGGAGTTACAAGCTGTTCATCTGTTATAAATTTTGCTTCTTTTAGGTACTGGAAAAAATAAACAATTCCCATCAATTGATACAGTAATATTCTAATATGGTGTCAAACATAGTATTTCATGAATAGCAATATTTTTTTATTTATAATCTATAATATCCCATTCAAAACCAAAACAAAAACCTCCTTACTAAGGAGAGGCCTATGTCCAGCGGTGGACTATTAAAGGCTGTTGATGATGATAATGAACTTCCATTCAGTGTTTCTTAGTGTTTCTATAGATATAGTTATATATATAGAAGATCCTATAGATATTTTCTTTTTTATTCTAAATTTTTAAGATGTTTCAGGGAGGGCACTGCACATTTAAATAAAAATAGGATTAAATAAGCTACCTAAGACTGTGACTAGATAGCACTAAAATAATAGGGCACTAAAGAGGTTTCTCAACTTGTATAAGGTCGGCAAAATATAACTAAAACAACAGGTATAGAGACTTGCTCCGTGTAGTGCGCCTGAGCAACTTAAATAAAACAAACAAACATCTCTAACCCTAAATGCATATACTTTCACCATGCAGTCATGGGTAAAAATGTAAGCCATGTTTGTATAATCATAACAGCAAATGACTCAAATCATATCTCTCTTTCTGTTTCTTTATGCTAATTTTCAGAATAAACAAAACCATTTTCACAGAACTTTCACTAACTGAAGTTATGAGGAGTTGAATAGGATACTTTTATTTAGAAAAAAGAATTTTAGTTCTACACAATAAATTTAAAACAAAGTACATTCAAAAGTAGCCGCTGCAGGCACAGGCAGACAAGTTAGAAATATATGAATACAAAAACTGATTTGAACTGACTATATCAAATTGATTTACATTTTATCACAACAATACAATCTTATCTGATAAAATTGGAAATAGTCCATCCTACATAATATAGAGATTGGTGTTGAAAATGCAGGATGACAAAATATTGAAATGTTTTGTCTTATATTTTAAATGTATAACTCCTCTTATATCATTGTGTTACTTTTTTTAACTTTAATCAGCCGTAAAAAGCATTCGGAGTCGATATATCGGCAAGAAGAAAATAATACCTGCGCATATTTTCTGTTTCACATTTGACTAAGTACTAACCCGTATTATGTTGCGCCATTTTTTTGAATCAAATACATGTAGCTTCTCCAAGCCACAGAACGATACATTATACCTGTCGTCGTAAACAAGGGGCCACTGGTCTTCTTTAATGTCGAAATATAAACTGTAATTTTATAAATAAATAATGTTGACAAAATATGCAACGTTAGTACTAGTAAGAATACTGTATGTCTTATATCTTCCAGTTAAAACTAACCTTGTCATTTTAGTAACAAAAACTTTTCATGTTACATCATATTTTCAGAAATAATTACATTTTGAAATGGATTTACTAAGTCTCCGCAGGATACAATTATTACAATTTCGATTTTCGCGGATGTCATGATAAAGTATTTGTGACAGCTAAGTCTACGTTCTGAATTTCTGTAAAGATTATTAAATTTTCAAATCTTTAAAATTTTGTTTTACAATTATATAAAGACATAAATTTCTTACATTTATTGATTAGTTTAAATTATAACCAAATTATAAAAATATTCATGAAAACATAATATAAAATTAAAATATCTTTTCTTCATTCGAGGTTTCTTTTTTTATTTTGGTTGCCTAGCAACGAAGGGTGACGTTGCTGAGGCGCGAAATGTAAACAAAACGTAGACAAAAAGTTATTAATTTTTATTAAGTTTTATATACATTTTACTTGGCTGTTATTAGTTGTACAGACGACAAACTATATTCCAGCATTAGTGGAATTTATCCTATCAGGATTTTTAAATGTGATGATAATATTATGGAAAATAACACGTTACATGCCCTACAGAGTGAAGTAGAATTTTACAGAGTAAGTGTTTGTGTACGAGTGTAATGTTAAGTTTATCCTTCAATTCGACTTGTGATTTTTATCGATGTGCGTTGAAGAGCCGTGCTTCGGGTCTGATTTCCATATTATGTCACCACTTTATACTTTTCACCTTATATAGATGAATCACTGCTGTTGATGTAGGTACTATGTTAATGATGTTTCTCTTAATTTCGCTTTTTTATTATTATTTCTTTCTTTATTGTACATAGTTTAAAAAGAAAAAAAATGAGTTACAAATATATATATATATTTTTTTATGTTAGAGGGGGCAGACGAGCAGACGGGTCACCTGATGGAAAGTGACTATCGCCGCCCATGAACGTCTGCAATTCAGGAGTCACAAACGCGTTGCCGGCCTTTTAGGTAGGAGTACGCTCTTTTCTTGAAGGTTTGAAGGTCGTATCGGTCCGGAAATACCGCAGACGAAATAAACAATGAAACAATCGACGCGGCCACGGTCTTATCGGTCACGGCGATCTCTTACAGACCAGCTCTATACGGATATTAGGTATTTAACAATTGAGGGTAGTTTAATACCTTCTTTAAAGAAAAAAGGCACGATTGGGGTGTAACAACTGTCATTACTTGCCAGGGAGCGTAGAATGGTTGGCAGGATGCAGCAAGGTACCGCCAGCTAGTCAAGACTGTGGGTGAGCGATACTTAACACAAATACATACCTATGGTTTATACGACTTGATAGGAGCGATACAACGGCTGAACAGAAAACCTGTGGTAATCACTTTTTTTCGGTTCATTTCACCGAGAACGGCACTGCACTTGTGACTCCTGAGTTGCAGGTGTTTATAGCCAGCGGTAGTCTCTTTTTTTATGAGGGGCATACGAGTAGACGGGTCACCTGATAGTAAGTGAGTGACCATATCAACCTATGCATAGAATATAATCTATTTATAAATTATATTGATTATCTACGTTCCACAGCAAAACCAAAACGCTGTCGAAGACGAAATAAGGACTCTGATCTCCGACAACCAGAAATTATCTCATCAGGTTGGGATGCTGCTGAAAGAGAGACTGAACAACGCCCGACAAGCAAATGGCAAAGATGAAGATGTCAGCAAAGAACTGGACGAGTTGAGAAACCAATTGTCTTTACTTACTAAGGTTTTGTTCATAAAAATTTGTTGCATTTTAAATCCAGGGCCTGGACTGGAATGTTTATTACTATTTGGTTAACGCATTAACTTACATGCTATATCAATTTTGCTTCGTCTTAGGAAGTGACGTCTAAAGGCCAGAAGGAAAGAAAGGAAGGAAAGATGGGATACATAAGAATTGTTGTTAAAAGTAAATAAAATGAAAATACATTTATAGTTCTAAACATATTTATCTAGTTGGTAAATATATATGTTTATTATGAGGCACTGATCGAAGGCGTTTCAGTTGTATTTACTGTTAACTAAAGGATTACCCTATCCGTGTGGTGTCGTATTAAGAATACGGAGTGGCACCACCGACTGAGGGATCCGACTAGGGAGCAAACTACTCAGAACGACAGCACTGAAAAGCGAAAGGAAAACTTGAAACAAACCCTATACCAATATTAGGCCAAAACCTCATTTCTAAGATGAGGCCTATGTCCAGCTGACTGTAATGGCTGTTGATGATGATAAAGGATTTTCCTACTTTGGCGAAAGCTGGCTAAAGAAATACCTAATACTAGGAAAATATATGCTAATATATTCAAGATGAAGAGTTTATTATGTTTAGATTGGAAAAACAATTTATTGTAAAAGGGCTATGTTGCACGACACAAATCTAAGGAGCTTTGCAATTACCATAAAAGCAGCTAAAATTGCAAGGAACCAAGATAAATATATATAGAGCTGTTGAAACTTTGTTCCCTCTCCATAGAGCATCTCTAGTCTTTAAAAGAATAAAAGGAAACACTCGATCTTATAGAGCACTCCCTAGTAGGATCGAGTGTTTCCCCTACCGAGATACCAGTTCATTTGTTGATCTCATCACACCAATCAATTAATTTGATAACTTCTTTTATTGTGCAGGAAAGAGATTCATTGCATGTGCTGTGGCAAACATCAGAGAAAACTATAAACGCTTTAGAAACTGAACTAGAAACTTATCAGAGCTACGAGAAAAGAGGACAACAGCAGGTAATTCTATCTATCTTCGGATAGCGTCAAGAATTAAAGTTTTGATATTTAATAAAAGTTCATTTTAGTCCGAATTAACTTAAAAGTAAAATTTGTCTTCCGAGAATTTTATAACACCTCCAAGCCATTAATATGACTAGAGAAGACCAGAAAAATAATCACTTAGTTTATCAGTATTCAATTAGTTAATCCATATGGAAATTTCTATAATTTTAGTTACGCAAATCTCTCAAAAAATTTAATTCTTTTGAAGGAAGTAGTATTTAAAAGTATATTTTCCTTTTACATCGAATAATGGGATGCAAATCCAATACCATCTGTATTGGATTTAATGCACACTTCTAAATCGCCCTTGAGGTTCGCAACTCTAACTCCCCAAGGAAGTTTTCTATTGTTCTAGTCCTGAACTAGAATTTCTAAAATCTGACAGTAAATTTATGAACTACAGGCTTTTTTATATTGTTTAGAATACGACCGAAGAAAGAAGAGAATTAGAACTAAAACTTGAAACCGCTTTAACAGATTATATCGAATTAGAAAAGAAATATAACGAATTAGTCACTAAACACACCGCTTTAGAAAATGACTTGAAAAATAAAGACAAAGAAATAGCATCTTACAAAGAGCGGGGTAAAGAAGCAGAAAAAGAATTTAAAGATGTAACGAAATCTTTGGAAGAACATAGAATAAATTTCGCAGTGGAGAAGAAGAATAACGAAGACTTGAAGGCACAGTTGGCAGTTTGTCAAAAAAATTGTGTTGAGAAAGTAAAGAAAGAAGCTGAAGCTAAATCGAAGTTAAGTTACTGAAATTACCACTGTGTGAATATATTGTTTGGTTTATTTTAGCCTTTTAAGCTACTTACGATTAGGTATATATTCGTGTTTTTAGTAGACAATTTTAGTCTTACACTTAACTAAATTTAAATTGCCTGGGGCAAACCTAAGTCAAAGAAAATTTATGAGCCAATTCGAGCCGCATGATTTAAAATGCACCACTACTCTATTACAGAATAACAGTCAACTTTGCATAGTGTGACTTGTTAGCAAAAGTGGGACTTTCAAAGTAAAGTTCTTTGAATCGTTCTCCGTTTTACAAAAAAAAAACTTATCAATGTCAGGTACTTTTAAAACTTCATATCTCTTTATTCTTTAGGTAGCTGAAGCTTTGCAGTTGTATGACGTCGTATCGGATCAGAAGAATGAGGCGTACAAGACGATACAAGAACTAACCAGTTAGTGGTTTCAAAAATTAATTTAAGTTCGTCGTTTAGATCGCATTGATGTCATAACTTCATTGGCAAAAACATCATATCATCGATAAAGTTTTGAATTTAAATATTTTGTTACTATTATGTGTCCTAAAAGTTTTTCTTTATGTATATGTACTTGAATTAATATATTCTGATAGGTCAGCTTATGACCAGAGCCTCAATTCTGCTTCAAGCATATTTGTTACCAAATTTGGGCAAATAATATTGTTTTTTGGACATTTTCAGGAGAAATCGCACATCTGAAACATATTCAATTCAACATAAAACATGAAATAGAAACAACATGCAGGAAAGAGATGGATGAAATAAAAGAAAAATACAATGAAAAAGTATCCGATATGCTACATCATATACGGAACTTGGATTCTGAGTTAGTAGAGAAGGGACTATTGCTGAATAAAACTCTAAGGTAAATTCTTTTTCTTTTTATTTTCTTTATGGTACCCAGCAGTGCCTGCAGCAGTGTGCTTTTAGTCGGTTTGAGTCCGATATACCTTCGGCTCTGGTGAGATGATGATCTGTAAGATGCGTGGAAAAGATTTTATGGGAAGGGAGTGATATTACGGCCTCACAAAAAACCGGTGTTAGGCAATTCTTTCGTTGCTGTACACTGAGTAAGCGAGTCAATGTTACCGAGTCCTCCCTTCCCTCTAATTCTGGGGGAAGCGCACGCACTTGTGACTTGAGTTGAGTGACTTGACTTGAGTTGCAAGTGTAGCGGCAGTATTCACTTACTCCAGACTGAGAACAATAATTTGTTGTTCACACAAAGTGTTGTCCCATGTGGGAATCGAACTCATAACACTCAGCGCAGTAGGAAGCGTCAAGGTGACCGCTTAAACCACTACGCCATCCATGCATCGAATTTATGTAAAAATAATTCTAAGACTATTATGTAGGTATTGCGAGTTATTTCATTTTGCAGAGAAAACAAGGTACTACAAGCGGCCAACGACAATTATTTGAAGCAACAAAAAAATGATTTAAGATCAGTTGACCCCAAACTTGCTCTGGCAGAACAACGATTAGAAGCAATGTTTCAAGAACTGGTAAGAACTGTTTTATGTCCTATTGAGATGGCAAACAAGCACTCGAGCAAATTTAATGGTATCCGGAATGTTATAATTATATTCGCAGGCTGGGCACCTTTTCTCCAAGGAATCTTAGTCTTATTAATATTTATAACTGTCAACTAAGAACTGACTTTTAGTAGAGAAGACCTTCCTATTAATGAAACAGCGCAACTTCAACTATCGAAATTCAATGATTTTACGATATTATCATATATTTTGATTGGTTAGCGATCCTAGCTGCAAAGCTAGAGGTCGCATGTTAAGCCTGAAAGCCGACCCCAACCTAGTTTGGAAAATGCCGCGAAGGCTGATGATGATATTACGTTGTAACTTGAAGTATATCTATGTACCTAGGTAGCATCAGAGAGACGCAATATCCAATTAGTCTGTGAGAAGCAATGTCTCGCAGTGGACATGCAGAGAGTGCAGGATGTCCACACGAGGGAGACCAAACGTCGGGATTGGGAGGAGAAGCTGTTGAGGACACAGTGCGAAGAGTTGAAGTAGGTGTTCTGTCTCACTGTCCCCTCCACCAGTAGCTCTAGTAAGAGTTGCTGTAATATTTTTATATGATATTTACTAAATATTTTAGTGCAAAACGTGTTATTCCTGTCGAATGTTGTTCATTGCGTGCTCTTATAGTTTCAATATAATTGATACTAAACGTGGTACGCAATGTATAACTGATTAAGTAGATTGGATCATCATGGATTTCTCTATTTAAGTATACCATACTTTGTGACCTTTGTCAATATAACTTCAAAACAATTTTTGGACACATTTGAATTAATTCGACACGTGGCGCAACTCAAACTAATTATTCTTTTTCATCCAGCACTTTTCCCATTAAGGTATACCTATTGTTTGCTTGTACTTCTATCCGTTGTGAGCGGATGCTCATAACTTCAGCGTTCATGTCCCGACCACATTGCAGTCTTTATTTATTCTCAATTCTTAAAGCTTGACATACATATACTAACGCTGTAAGTGATATACGAGGATTACTTTGAAAAAAAAATAGTTTAAAAAAATTAAAAAACACGCTTTCTATAGAAAACCAAACTAAAAAATAGAAAATAAATTTGAAAAAAAGCGTTGGGTGCCTGTTGTCAATAGTAAAAAGCACCCCACGCTTTTTAACCGACTTCCAAAACACAAAAGAGGAGGTTCTCAATTCGTCTGTATTTTTTTTTAATGTATGTTTGTTCCGCGATTTCTCCGTCACTTGTGGACCGATTTTCAAAATTCTTTTTGTAATCGAAAGGGTATGCTCCCGAATGGGTCCCATTACCACCAATTCAGGATCTGATGCCAAGCTCGATGCACAATAAGTAATACTGGTCTATGTCAGCTTTATATTAGCACAATGAAAAATTAAGAATTCAAAATAATTCTAATGAAACATCGAAGATTTTGTTAATTAATAAAGACCAACCAGATCAATTACGTGCGCAAACTTATCAACTACTTATTAAAACATTCAAAATAATAATATAATTGGAGATGTGCGTCCACTTTAGCTCGTTCAACATGTTTTGCGCAGCATGAAGACTTGCAGCTGCCGCGCTACATTCTACCATGCCTATCAAGCACCTATTTGGCTTGCCACCGACTTCAAACAGACTAGAAGGGACTATTGGTATTATAATGTTACCTGCTACATTGAGGGTACTTATTATAGTTTTTTACTTAGATTTGTAATTATTTTTTAATTTTTAGTGCTCTTTGTCGGTGTTGTTTGAAGTCGGTTCAACATTTTTTTAAAAGGGTTTATTTCAAATTTATTTTCCATTTTTTAGTTTTTTAAAACTATTTTTTTTTAAATTAGTGTTTTGTCATCGGTCCTTGATATATCTACAAAGTTTGAACGAATTCTAACCGTTTAAAGTCAGTCAAAATCACGCCCAAAGGAGTCGGTTACAAACATACAAGTAAAGCTAATATAAAGCGTGAAATAAACGTTCAAAACACCAACCGCGGATCTGATTGAAGGACTCTTTCTTTATGTCAATAAGAGATGATGCTCTGCGAGGGCTATTAAAACTAACAGTTATTTAATTCAAACCATCTGTAATTAATTCAAAAATGTTAGCAGACCTTTTCTTATGGACTTAAAGTACCCTCAAACTAGACCCTAAACACACTCTTAACACTAAATGTACCACATTTATGTGTAACTACGCTGAATGTAACCTTTACAATACCAAATCAATTTGTAAAGCTGTTGGTGTTCCAAGATTAAATAAATAAATAAACTGATTAAATTTTAAGATTGCAGGTGGAACATCTACAGAAGTCGTTAGATGAAACTCACGAGATGGTCAACAAGCTACAAAACATGTTATCGTCTAGAACAGAACTGAGTCTAAAGTAAGTAGTAAATAAATCAGACAAAGACATCCCTACGCCTTTAGTAACGTTTATTTTATTTCTTTTTAAAACTACCCAACAATATTTTTTTAACAAGTTGTTATAAGCTTTACTTGTAACTTCTTAACTCGAAACTAATCTTGGCAATTAAAATGAACTTAACTTAATGTCGCATATAAATAAAACTTTTATTTGTGTAGCGTGGATTAAAAAATATATAATTTGAAAATTTGGATCGAATTTGATGATGAGGTTAGAAGCTGCATAGCGGAAAACTTTAGTGGCTACTAGGAAACACCCTCAAATTGGTGCCAATGTCATTGGTTCTGACTTTTAACCGTTCGCTTGTGTTAGCATGTCATCACTTATGCAAACACTAAGAAATCGTGCACCCGAAGTTCAGATTTTTGAAGTGAACTTGTTTAGCCGCGTTGAGCGAATTTTGGTAGGGAAAAACTTACCTCAACATGCTCGTGACGTATTGCGCCAGACTAGCGACGATTAGTTCCATTGTTTTGCGTGTTTACATCTGTCGGCAGTCCTTCTGCCTGCCTCTTTTTTATTACATAGGGGTCAAAGGCCAAAGCGTCATCTGATGGTAAGTGACCAATCCCGCTCATGGACACCTCATGAGTCCCAAGTGCGTTGAAAAGCAATAGAAGGATTGCAAAGCCCCGTTTTTCTGTAAAGCCGTGGTATTGCCCCGGTCGAGCCGGCCAATTTGTGACGAAGCATGACTCTCTCACGCTTGCAATATCACATCAACAGCCTTTAATAGTCCACTGCTTGACATAGGCCTCTCCTTGGAAAGGAGGTTTTGGCCTACTATACCACGCTGGCCAGACGGGACTGGCATATGGTTTGTGTCAAGTGTTCCTTCTCTTTGCCGTGCTGTTGCCCTGTGTAGTTTGCCCTCTAACGACACACACGGGATGAATAGGGGTGGTGACACACCGTATTATTAATCCGTCGCCACACTGACAGTTGCAATATGGTAGTTTAATTGTTTCACTCAACCGTGTATAATTTCAGAATGGTATCTACAAAGGAAGAGGAACTAGTGGAACTGAATAAACATTTAGAAAATCAAATGGAACTTAGTAAAAAGTAAGTGATTTGAGACATATTTTACTCAAAATTCTGTAGCTTTAATATACTCACGATGCCGAGAGCCAAGGATCACAGAGTTGCCATAGATAAAAATTACAAACCAAAGTTGCTTCACAAAGCTCTGTGTGGGGAAGGTTTGGCCTCTGAGGCAGTTAAGTGAAAACAGCACATACTCCTGGCTCCTGCGTCCCCAAGGAGCCGGAGATCTAAAAAAAAAATCCATGCCTCTTCAGGAACTTTTTCGCAGCAAATGAATAATATAATATAGTACCTATACTTACATTGTTTTTATTGGTAATTCGTATTATTTATAATTTGCCACAAACTTTAGATGTTTTATGGTATCGCTTTCTGAGAAATACTTTAATCCTTACTTATAATATTACAGAGGTTTCTTATTTTCTCTGTTAATACAGATGGAAAGAATCGTACCTTGAGATGACGGAGAAAATGAAGAAGAAATTAGAAGATTTACAGAAAGAGAATGAAGATCTTCGTGCTAAATTCAAAATTGCTTGCACCGATTCTCCAGAGGAAAGTGCTAGCTAACAAATGGATATTCTTTTAATTAGACGTACGTGCTGGCTTCCCCTTAGAAAGGAGGTTTTGGTCTACTATACCACATTTGCCAAACGGGTTTGTTTAGGGTTTATGTAAAGTTTTCCTTCTCTTTGCGGTGCTGTTGTCCTGCGTAGTTTGCTCCCTAAGTCGGCTCTTACGACACCCATAGGATGAATAGCGGTGGTGACACTCCGTATTCTTAATCCGTTACCACACACAGAATAATTATTTTTAATAAAAGAAGCAACACAAACAAATTACTTTCATTATTGTTAATGTTTCGGATGTGCACGAAATATATTTTTGAGACATTACAATACTCTAAATTGTGATTGTCTATAGAAGAAAGGAAAAGTATTTATATGTTTATAGTATATAATAACTTTGGTGCAATATTATTAAAAAGTATGAAATAAAATAAAAATTGTTTTAATTTTACGTTAAACTCGGGCAACAAATGAGCAGACGGGTCACCTGGTGGTAAGCGAATACCGCCGCCCATTGATGTTTGGCACCCAATCGTCACAAGTAGGTTACGTTGCCGCCATTTGAGTAGCGCCAGAATTAGGGCGGGCCTCCTATGAAAAGCTACCGGTTTTCTGTGTGTGTTATCATTATGGTCAAACCGGCTCAGAATCTCCAGTTATTAAAAGTGCTTAGTATAAACCGACCACTTATCAAAAGAAGTTTCAAGAATGAATTGATGAATGAATGAATAAAATAGTTGGTGTACTGTGTGGCCGACCACTTCATGAAATAATTTATTCTACATCTATGTACATATATATATATATATATATATATATATTCTACAACTTCCTAACACTGACTGGTGGGTCGCGGAGGCCAATATTTCTCTCAAGTCAAGTCTCTATAGATTTTGCGTACATTAAACTTAATGCAGTTTATAGCGGACATCTTGAGTTCTAGTAGTAGTGTGCACCAGAGATTTACAGCTTGGAGTGAAGTAAGAATAAACCACATTAGAAGAATGATGATAATAGAAACAAGAACATGTAACTTTATTAGATTTAAACAACAAAAATAGAAATCTCTCAACATAATCTTTTGCATGTTTTTAATACATATTATCACAAAATAGCTTATATTACACAGTCCCTTATGCAGAAACACACTCGGCAAACATGCTCGGAAACCAATATAGAGTCTCTTTGGAGTCTTGGCTGTCGACCCAAGCAAGTCCTTCCTTCACCATGTGGTCCAAAGCATTTTGTGCTCTAGTCTCATTCCATCTGAAAGATAAAGAACGTAGGTGTGCACTAAAAAAGGGTTTTTTTTTAAATTTCACCCCTTAGGGTGCAAAATAGGTGTTGGTAATTTATATGAAACTGCATTATTTTTGGTAGTAGAGTTCTCAAAATCACAGTAAATACTCTTTATTAAAAGTAATTAAAAGGTTTGTTACTATTTTTTCAAAACTACTCTTAAAAAGGGGTGCAAGTTTGTATGAGGAACACTTTTTGATTCCAAACTCTCACTCTCTCTCTATGAAAAATAATACTAATTAGATACCAAATTTTTTTTAACATTTCAAAATTTGAGTAAGTTTGTTACTCAATCATGCCAAAACGGCTTTCCAGATTGGGACGAGATTTGGCAAATAGATATATTATAGTCTAGAATAGCACAGAGGCTCCTTGTTATCCCTGCCAAATTTATTGATAATATTGACATTTACGCCAGGGAAGCTGGGGGCAAAAGCCTGTCATATTTTATAGGTATGTAGACGCCAATGGGGTTGCTCTGTATTACCTAAGGCGAACTAAAATATTAGTTAACAAAACGTGGGCAATACGCTTCTGTCTACCCATTTAGACATAAAATCTTGATTGAATGTATGTACAAAAATTTACCGTAAATCTCCTGTGAGGATTCCAGCAGACACCCATGCAGTCCCCAATGAGTTTGCCTTCTGCAATACTAAAGTCTGGTCCAAGTTTAACTCTCCTGGGACAGACTGCACCAACCATTTACCTTTACCAACTGGTACAATTGTGAATCTGTCAAAATATTATAAATATTAGTTAGAATAAGAAACTAAATAAGTGGTACTAAACTTTAGTCCACGGAAAATGGTTTCCACCTTCCCTGTGATGAGGTCATTGTACATGTGATGTGTTTATAAAAATGTGCTACTAAAACAGACAGATATTATTTCTATCTACAACTATGGCTACAAACATGTTGTGTGTGTTGCAGCAGTAATGGATACAAAACATATTGTTTACTAGCTTTTGCATGTGGCTCCACCTGCGTGAATGTCTGTTATTGCAATAAAAAGTAGGCTATGTGGCTTTCCATTGGTGAAGGAATTTTTAAAATCGGTTTAGAGGTTTTGGTGTAAAAACAAAATATACCCACTTTCACATTCATAAGTATGGATAGTTTCTAGCTCTGAATTTTAAGCAAGCAAGCAAGATATTAAGTTAATCAATAAGGTATTTTGAACAGGATACTACTTATTTTATCCTCTCTTATAACCCAGTGTGATATGAGCGCTATAATAAATGAAAAAATGTACATACCCATTTCCAAATATTTTCAGTTTCTTAATAGCAGCTAGCAAGTCCTCATTTGTAATATCTTGGTGCGTTTTTGCTTTCCCTCTAGCAGCTATCAGCCTTGTTCTTAGTTCTTCTAATGTTATCAGTCCCCCATTTTTATAATTTGTAGCTAAACACACTTCTACTATTTGAACTCCAAGCTCATAGTAGAAATCCCCAATGCCTGCAATTAAATTCCTAACTTCAAACATTAAGCTTTACTGAAATAATTGTACTTTATTGATATTGTTTTCTTTATATTTCTTCTTGTCTTTCAGGCATACATTGGGAACAATACTATTCTTTGGGTTTACTAAGACTTGTACTCCTCCTCCTTCCTAAGGAGAGGCCTATGTCCAACAGTGGACTACTAAAGGCTGTTAACGATGATGATGATGAAGACTTGTTCTTTTTAGGGTTCCATACCTCAAAAGGTAAAAAAGGAACCCTTATAAGATCACTTTCTTGTCCATCTGTCCGTGTTTCACCACCAACTTTCTCAGCAACGGGTAGACCTAGCAAGTTGAATTTTAAACCAGATACTGAGGTCTATGGTCCCTATTAAGTGTATAAAAATCAAGGTCTTGAGTCAACACGATAAAAAGATATGGGCAAATTTCGATCTTTTTTTGTAAGATTTTAGTCTCACAAACTATGGATGCCACATAATTTTTGGTGTCCAGTACAGGAGAAAAAGAAGACCTTTTCTTATTTAGTACTCCTAGTTCTTGAACACAGACGGCCTTGCTAAAAATAAGGATATTAAGATAGAAGGTAAATAAAAGTAGATATGTACCTAAAACAGACCAAAATCCTTTTCCTGAGGCAAGAGGATCGACGCCGATAGCAGCACACATTTCCTGAAATTGTCTCCTAAACTGAGCGTTCTTCTTTATTTCATTTTTATGTTTGGTCGCAAAATCCTCCAAGTTATCCCTAAACACTTCCAGTTGTTTGGACATCTGTTGAAACTGATTTTCTTGGATCTCAGACCCCTTTTCTCTGTATTTCTCTTGTTCTAGCCTTTGCTTTTGTATAGCTCCAACGCCAGCTCGTCGCCTCATCTTTATCGATGTTTAAATATTATCGAATTAAAATAAAATAGCAATATTTCAAAATTCCAAACCCCAACCCAAAGGCCAAAATGTCAAGTCTCTGAGAGTGTCATAATTGTCACAGAGTACATTGAAATAGTAATTAGTGTTGAACACCTCGACTTTTCTATTCGATTTAAACGGGTTTGAGCATGAATCGGGATGACTCGGTTAGCCCGTGGTTTAATCCGGTTCAGCCGTATCATAAGCTCGCGCTGCACCGTGTCTAACTGTCGCACTCGCGGCTCCTGCTTTATCTATCGAACAAAACTGATTTATTTACCAACTAATACTGAACCGAGTCGATGCGTCATGTCAGTTAATATAGATAAATACATATTTATGTTCATACAAAATAGGATATGGTTATTGTGTATCGCGTCGTCAGTTTACTTATAATTTAAAACATAAACCTATTTACCAACCGTTCGGATCTAACGAATAATTTAATATAATAAGAATAGTTTGTTGCATTGGCCTTAGCTCTCAACAAACTACCGATCAATTCATACCGTCGCCGCGTCAGTTGTTAGTTAGTATAGGTAATGTCAAGTTTAACGCTTGTATCTAAACTTGGTTGTCAACCATTGACAAATCGTAAAACGATGGCTTAGTCGATTCCATAGAATCATGTTGCACATCACTTTCGTATCGTTCGCTGGTCAACTTTTCACACAGTTCAAACCGCGGTTTACTGCAATTTTAATGGGTCGGTTTGGAACCGATTCAAACGAATAGTCCAGGAATATTACAGACCGTCACATCTCTAATCGACATATTTCTCAATATACACTGTGGTGAGTATCATCATGTATCATCTTTTTAGAATTTAAATTGAGACTCAAAAGTTTAACCAAAAGTTGAGACTCAAAAGTGTCTGTTGAAAAAGTATTCTTGTCACTAATTTGTGATGAAATTATGTAAATTAAAAAACAAAGCTTTTATTTATTACAACTACTTTTACTACTTAAACTGAAGAAACTTTTTGGATAATGTACCTAATTGCTGTATTAGTTCTCATTTCTTCAATAGAGGGCACTGTTATTAATTTAAAAAAAAAGAAGAATTAACAGATGCAGATTTATGAATTTTTATCCTTTAACTCACCTTTGAGTTTGATATCACATTATTATGTGAGTAAATAAAACTTTTCACAAACGTTAGTATCACATATTTAATATTGCTGTTCTACATAAATTACACTATAGTTTGCAAAAAAAATCGACTTTTAAATATTATTATTTTTACATTTCAATACACTACAATTATTTATTCATAAAATATAAGCTTCCAGTAAAAAAGAAATATATTATTAAGTATAATATATTTCTTTTTTACTGGAAGGACTACCCTAAAACGAGGAATGATAAGAATAGGTTAAAATCGTTTTTAAGAAGAAAATGACTTTAAGTTGGCACATTAATGTTACTTTCGTCTTAAAAACGAATCTATATTGTAATATTTTTTTCTCACTGGAAACTTAATTAGGCTTTAAGATTGTGTGTTGGGTTAAGGTCAAATGTTGTTTGGGTGTGAGGCAATTATCGTTCTTCAATATTATTTCCTATCCATTCTAGCTACTTCGTATCTCAAAACTCCCTCTCTAAATACAATTCATTAGCATTTCGATAGGTTATTTGCCAAGTTTACCTGCATATTAACATAAAATTTCTAATTTTTAACGAGATAATTGAGAACCTGTGGGTGAGAATGTAGTAAAAGAAAGAACTGTTTACGAAAACCGAAAGGCCGTAGAATTGTTCATATGTACATAGCTGAAAGAAACTACAATTTGAAAAATTGTAAAAAATAATGGTACTAATTAGAAAAGGAATTTACTGCTGCTAGTAATTAAAAAATGAAATGCATCCCTGGTGGGGATCGAACCCACGACCTTTGGATTAGAAGTCCAACGCGCTATCCTCTGCGCCACAGGGACATATACATGAAGTGTCAAAATACGTGTTAACGTTCACATTACGATGGAATTATATTCAGTTAGCAGTAAAGAATAACAATGATTTTTTTTTTATAAAAACTACTTAAAATGCCAACATTTTTTTTACCTATTAGTCGTAGAATTGATTTGCAATTATTTCCGTTATTATAATAAGTAATTTAATTAAAATCTTTTTTGTGCAGTCATAAATATATAGGACGTACAAACAAACTTGAGATGTCAACGAAACAACTAATGTCAAAATTCTATGTTTTGGAAAGTTTGAAATTTCACGTGAAGAAAAATTTCTAACAAAAAATAATGTAGTAGAAAAGTTTGAAACGAAACCGTATAAAATAAACAAAACAAAAATGAATAGCAATGTAACGCAAGACGCGGAGGAACCTTGCGCGGGTACTCAAAACACTGACAATACCGAATCAGCAGAACATTTTCAAAAATTTATATGCGAATTGTTTGAGAAAAATGGTATACTAAATGATTTAAGAACTTACTTAAGAAGACATATTGTAACTGTCTTAAAATGTGCAGAAGCAGGTAAGAAGTTTTCTATATAATATTAAAACACCAACAGGGGTATAAAATGTAACTTATATCATTGTATCTTTTTCATAGCGTTATTATTATATCCTGAATAAAATGCCTACCTAGCTGTACTTTCCCAAAAAGGAAACAATTGACTATTTTGTGTATTTAAAGTCTGAACACCTTTTTTAATCCAATGTTAAATTGCTGCAGTTTTCTTTTGAAAACCTAAATTTATGTGAAAAGCGTACCTTTTTTTTCTAAATATTGTTAAAGAAGTATGAGTGAATCCCTAATTTGTATTTTTTTTTCATGAAATAAAAATCAAAAAGGTCTGTCTGCTTTCAGCAATTTTGATCTCTGAAATTCTAAAAACATTTTTGTTTATAAAATTAACAAACACACTGACATTCTCAGAGTACAGAAAATTGAGTAACTTTTTTTAATGAAATATAGTGTGGCAAACAAGCAAATCAATATTCAAAAGTTTAAGTCAGAGGTAGGTACGGGATAGTTTTAGGGAGGGAGGTCGCGTCACCTACCGACTGACGCAGGTGCTCACTGGGCATGGCTGCTTCGGTGAGTACCTGAATCGGATTGGACGCAAGGAGACGGAACAATGCCAACACTGCGCAGCCCACTGGGACTCCGCCCAGCACACATTGGAAAACTGCCCCGCGTGGGCATCTGAACGCGAAGTCCTGGTCGATGAAATCGGACGAGACTTGTCCCCGCCAGCAATCGTTACTGCTGGCGAGTGAGGAGGACTGCGGCGCAGTGGTCTCTTTCTGTGAAGCTGTAATGCTCCAGAAAGAGACCACTGAACGGGATCGGGAGAGGGCTGATACCGAGCGAAGAAGACGTCGGCGGCGTAATGAGCAGCCGACGGGACCGCGGGCCGCCAGAGAGTGGCCTAGAGATCCTCTGGTGGCAGATTAATTGCTGCGGTAGGGGATAGGATGGGAGCCTGATCGCACTGAAAATGTGATTGGGCTGCAACATCTGGATAGGCTGAGAGGCAGGGAGAAGCCACTGGCTTTCCATGAGATGGGGCCTAGCTAGGTGCGGCGTCGATCTGGGGGACCTGAAATCACATGGCCCGGGTTCTTCCCAGAGCAGGGCGCCTAAGGCTGGCCGTCGGAGTGGTATTCAGTGGAATCACATACTCCTGGCTCCTATATCCAGAGATCCAGAATTTTCCACTCCGTCAACAAAAAAAAAGGTAGGGGATAGTTTAAGGTAAGGTAGGGGGTGTAGTAGGACTAGAGCTAAACAAAGCAAACTTCTTGTAACATAATTCATGCATTGTTTTTTTTAGGTAACACACCTGTATGTCATCAGAATTTCACGCAACGCTTAGAGCTTACATTTCAAGCACTTAACATTCTCATTGCTGAGTATTTACTGACTTTAGTAAGTTTTTAAACTGAATCAAATTAAATACTGAAACTGCAGAATTATTAATAATTTGATGTTATAAGGAAAGCATAGATGAATACCTTTCTACTATTAAGTGTCATTACTAACAATACTAATGCAGACTTTAAGTACATTCTGTTTCTCACCCAACAAACATCCTATGGACTGTATATGTCTGCAATAAAAATGTTTTATTTATTTATTTATGGGTTATTTACCATGATCTTTGAAGAACTATCATCTGTCATAATGGTGCTTGCTACAGTGCTGAATTATCGGAAACCGATTTCAATAAATATCCCGTTGATTCCCCATACTGCTAAGCCGTAGGTCATGGGTTCGATTCCCACCCAAGACAAATATTGTGTGATGAGCACGATTATTTGTTCTGTCTCTATGGTATTTTTGTAGTTAGTAATATATAAGTATAGTCTGTCAAGAAAGTCATGAAAAAAATGGAGGGCGCCACTGCTGTTATACCTGGTATCCCTGTGTACTTTGACTAAAAGATGTAGATACTTTTTTTTATAAAACAATATATTATTTTATTTTGCCAGAATCCCTGTATAAACCCGCGTAGGGTTTATGAAATATTTATTTATTATAAACGTCTTGATTTTGTAGGACAAACTAAAGTGCTAAGTGCTCGTTTGCTCAAAATTATTTATTTCAAGCTTATTTCTCTCTTAAAAACCAAATATACTTCTCTGGCTTGTGGTCTCCCACTTATCTTATATCTTCCTGGGGGAGGTAACAAAATCACTTTAAAAAGAGCTGAAATAGCTCTAAGTGCTATTTTGAAAGTGTGTTTATTAAACCTTTTTACACTTAATTTAACACAGTGTAATGAGAAAGTACAGAATAGATACAGAAGGGCTATTACGTTTTCGTAGCTAAAGATAACTTGTATTCAGCTAGACAAATACACCAACACAGGCAGTATGTATGAATATATGTATGTATGTATGTATGAATATGTATGTAAGCCAGACAGTCACATGGTGTTAAAATGAAAATAAAAGATGTAAGTATTATAATTATATATATTTTTTATACTGATTTATTCATCCCAGTCTGAATCAAGGTAATCAACACCCGAAATGTTGCCGGAAACTCCTGTATAATTTATTCTGTCCACTTCTACCTCTTCAGAATCACTGGAACTATCATCACATACAGATACAATAAGTCTGTCTATCTCATTGTACAGAGTTCTTCCACGGGTAAAATATTCTTATTCAATGCTTTTTACATGCTCAACACAGTTCTTCCATTCTTGTGGTGTTACCGACTGGAATGCTTCTTCAGCCAATTTCGCAACATTCTGACCACCAACATTCTTTTGCGCAATTCGTTTCTTTACCATTGCCCAAACCAGTTCTATAGGATTCAGGTCGCAGTGGTAAGGTGGCAGTCTTATCACTGTATGCCCATGATCTCCTAGAAGACCATCAATATGGTACACCGGTTCAGGTTTGTGTTTTTTTACAAGCATTAATAAAGATGGCTTTCGTAACGATTCATCAAATGGAATGTTATTTTCCAGTAACCACAATTTAATTTTATTTACAGTTGAAGCATTTGTAGGAGCCTACAATAAAGAAGTAAACAAATTATAACAGTCACATTCCATAATATATGGTCAAAAATAGTTCATTATTTTTAAGAGATCTTAATAAAAAGGGAAGTATAAAAATTAAGAAATAGTACAAATTTATAATACCCTGTTTGTTATTACGGAATGGTATGGTGCATTGTCCATAACAATAATTGAGGGTTCATGCAAATTGGGTATTAATTTTTCTGTTACCCATTTAGTGAAATTTTGGGCATTCATCTCGGAGTGGTAATCCTCTTGTTTATTTTTACCCGTAAATATTAGAAGTGCATTAGGCACAAAACCTTTGTCACTTCCGGCATGCACAATTATCCATCTCTTACCTTTGCCAATATTTTGCTCGACACCAGCAATATACATAGATTGCCAACATTTAGTGACCTTGTACGATTCATGTATGTAGCTCTCATCTAAATAAATTATATTTTTTTGGAGCTCCTCAGGCAATCTTCGGTTATCAAGAATCTGCTTCAAATATAACTCGCGTTTTGAAGCAATTGCAGGTTTTTCGATTAAAGCTTGTCTGTTTGATTGGCATTTTTTAAATTTAAAGCCAATCGATATTAAAATTTGCCTTAGAAGTTCATGGCTGCCATCAAAATTTAAGTCTGCCTTCACAACTGCCAGTAATTTCCTAAGCGTAGGTACTTCTTTCTGCACTGTGTAAAAAAAAAAAACCTTTTGACGAATCGCACATAAATCAAAATCATCAATTTCTTTTTTTGGCCGGCCTTGTCTGTGTTTTCCAGGCGTTACTAATTTTCCTTCATTCTTGAAGCCTTCATCCACTATACGACGAACTGTGCTTACGGAAACACCTGAAACCACCATACCATTAAATTATTTTTCATAATTAACTGTAATTAATTAATACATTATGGATCAAGAATGTTTGCGTTGAAGTACAATTCGTAGGTAAATAACATAACCTTTACAAAAAGAAAACAATGTTTAAAAATAGATAAATTTGTATAAAAACAAATAATTATTACAAGATATGCACTTCCTATACCGTGTTTAACATAAGAATATACTTACGTACCGGTTAATTTTGCTGTTCGACCGTAAATATCGTCCAAATCGGAACAAAATTTTCCCGCTTGAAATTCGGCCATACACTCTTGAAAAACATTGAATACAACCTGTCTCGCACCACTCTTATAAGTATTTCGATTCATTTTTTATCTCCAAACTGTAACTGGATAAAAATAAACTCCATGAAAACCAAAAAAAACAAATTTGTACAACAAAACAACGAAGCTGACAGCTGAACTACTTAGTTTGGCAGACAATGAGTGTTGCCAATTGTTGCCGAATTTTTAGTTCCACAAACATTAATTTCATGACTTTCTTGACAGACTATATGTTGATCAGCAGGGTGGTTACCATAGCACAGGCTCTTCCTAGTTTGCGATCAGACTGCCGTGTGTGAAATGTGTAAAGTTACTATGATTCATTTTAGGAATTCAGCTATACTCTATCAGTGTTTGTATCCGAGATACCATTGGCAAATATGGTATTTGATTATGCTAAATCATTGATGGGAAGCGATATTCAGGATGTATCTGAAGTCAAGTTCACGGACAATGATGTATGGTCTATACTTAATTATTTAGGTTAGTTGTTGAGTTTCTATTGAGGTTGTACTAACGAAATTAATATCCATAAAATAGGTTTTTCAACCTGGGTACCCGCATCCAAGTATACCCTGGTACTATTTCATTGTCAGATCGGGACCCACTGTGATCAAAGAATTCAACAAAATGCTCGAAAAATTATTACGAAGTAGCGCCTTAAAAACAATGTCAGCAAAGTTGCACTCCAAACAATAAAAATAACTCTAAAGAAGGTGTTGAGTATTTAACAAAAATGCAGTAAATTTGCAATAAAAAGCAGGAACGGGCTTTGGGACCCGCTCATTGCACGCCATAGTGTTCTTGAAAGCCCTTTTCTGTCAAGAAGAAAAAGAACCCCTTACTTCAAATCTATAATAAGTTTAATTAGAACAATGTGGTTTATGTTGAGCTGATTTATTTTCAAATTGTTTATTCTTAGAAGAAAGATTATTCAGTTATAATTTTTTATTTTATAACATAAAAAGTATTTGTGATTTTTAGTTCTTAATTAGTTAATAAGAAAAAGACTGTTTAACTGTGTGACTGATTGTACTACAAGTTAAGGAGACTTTTTGACATACTTCACTCTTTTGTTATAAAATAAAACATAACATTTACTAAACAAAAATTTCCAATACCTGGGTATATGAAAAAATATTACCCGGTAAAATAATATAATAAAAAGGTGGCCTTAGACTGCCTTGGAGGTGCAGTGGTGGCGTATGCGACTGCTGTGCTGAGGTCTCGGGTTCGATTCCTGGGTCGGACCAAATGTTTGTACGATCTGCAAATAGTTGTTTCGTAGTTTAAGTATTTTCTATGTAAAATATGTGTGTACAAGCTCTGCTTAGTTTGAAACTAGATAGCATTGTGTGTCAGATGTATATCCGAAATATTGTTTTCTTTTTTTTATGTTAGAGGGGCAGACGGGTTACCTGATGGCAAGTGACCATCGCAGCCCATGAACGTCTGCAACTCAGGAGTCACAAACGCGTTGCCAAATGTTATTAGTATTTGTAATTATTTACCCCTTTAAAGCACCCCTTTAATTAGAATGTTGTTGTGTCCTTTGCAGGAGTACAGTGTGATTCTGAACATGCTTTTCAAATATTGGAAATGTACAGAAATAATGAACAATTATCCTTGCTGTTATGTATATTAAAATGTATTCCCATGTATCAGAAAGGTCTGGTGGATGCTGGTCAAGGTAAGGTTTAATTCTCATTACCAAAAAAAATTTAAAATCTTTTGAAAAAAAGTTATCGCTTAAGTGACCTAGTCGCTTGGCATCCACCAGTTGTCGACAGGTGGTCTTCCGGGGACGCTGCGTTGTCAACCAGTGAACGTCGGTTGGTCCACCGCTGGATGTCGCGTTGTTACCAGTAAACTTCCCGTGGTCAACGGCGTGGACATTGCGTTGTTGCGTGCATTGGAATTTTCGTTCTTTTTAATTCTTTACTTTTCTGCGTCATTCTCCTGCGGCAGAAATAAAATTTACAATTGGGACTCTTTCGAAAATAATAAATTGTGGAAATCAAACTCACGAGATACTGACTTCAAATATATATAATAAATAAGATACAGATTTCAAATATGTTCAATTTATTTTTAAAGTTTTTTTTTAATTATTGTGACGACAATGACGCAGAAGTATAATGAGCTAAGGATTATCCTGTCCGCAAATAGATACAGATACACAGAATACTAACTAAATGAGTAATGACCTTCAAAGTTTTTATATCGTTCAACAAAGGTTCTACGGCTTACTTCTTCATTTCGACCTATTGGAAAGAAGATAACTAACCAATAAATAGCAAATTAATTAATTTCGGTCGTCCGATGGATTAAGAATACGGAGTATCATCACCCCTATGATGAATAGGGGTGGTGTCGTAAGAGCTGACTTTATAAAAAATAAAATAAGGGAGCAAACAACGCAGGAAAACAGCACTGCAAAGCGAAGGGAAACTTGAAACAACCCGATACCAACATGTCAGGCCAGCGTAATATAGTAGGCCAGAACCTCTTTCTAAGGAGAGGCCTATGTCCAGCAGTGGACTATTAAAGGCTGTTAATGATGATGATCTACTACCTCCAAAAGATAGCCACTAAACTATCGCTTCCGGTTCAGTAGACATGTCAATTTTGCATTTTCAGAGTTATCTTCTGTCGAAAGTTTATCGAGTGAAAAAAGTTCCGATACTTTATTAAACAAAGGCAAGGTTCCACATCGAAACCCATCTAGACAAGAGAAGTGCAAGCACTTCTCACATTGTAAGGCATGCCAGAGTCGTATGTCGAAGATCAAAGAGAAGTTTAAGAAGAAGAAAAAGCAGTTTTGTAAAGTAAGTTGTACTCAAATATTTGTGACCGCTCAAATGCAATAATTTAAAATAAAAAAAATAAGAATAATTTGACCAACCAAATTTTTATCCTATGTGTTTCGCTCAATACCATCAAAAATAGGGACTCACGTCGTCGTCGTCGACTCACGTCCGTGTGGTGACGGATTAAGAATTCGGAGTGTCCTCACCTCAATTCATCCCGTGCTCAACTAAGCAGGACATCAGCACTGTAAAAAGAAAGAAAACTTGAAACAAACTCAAACCCAAGACGGGTATACCGTCTGACCAACGTAGGCGTAGGCCAAAACCTCCTTTCTAAGGAGATGTCCAGCAGTAGACTATTTATAGGCTCTTGATGATTGATGATGATGATGACACTCACGCCTATGTGTCTGAAACTGAAAGGGTCAACAGGGGTAAACACAAGCCAACTTTAGGAATTTGATATCCCTAAACCTTTGCCATTACCGTTGTCCATACTCCAACTTACCTTCATATTTTATCGAGTTTCAAAACGGTTATATTCCCAACTAGCTGTACCCTGCCACGCTTTGCTGTGGCACATTGTGGTTGCATTGATAAGAAATCAAAAACAAACTCGATAAATAGATAAAAACAGGTTCTGAAGAGGGTTATATATCGTGACCAAATTTCAAGTCAATCGGTCAATAACTTTTTGGGGTTTTTGTGGCGTACACAAACCAACTATTTTTTTTTTATATATATTGATAAAGGTTGGCGAGAGGCTGGCTGTAAAGGAACAGTCAAAACCCTTTCCAATGTTAAACTAAAAAAAATTAAAATGAAATATTTAGTGTAATTTCTTTATCTGGCCATTATTTAAGAGTTTTCCAAAAATGTTTTCATTTCAGAACATAAATCAAGAAGTGAAATCCATTAAATTGGAAAATATTATGAAGAATATCGGCGTTTTGGAACGCACCCTCATTAATGAGGTTTATTCAGTTTGTTATTTTAAGTGGCTCTTATATTCAAGTAGTCGTAAATAGAGATATTGATGTCACTTTATTTTAGGTCTTTTTGCGACGTGAAATATGTAGTACTCTTTTGGACAGATTACCATATATTCCTCTCTTTGCCTTCTAAGTATAAATAGATCTGGTGTTCTTTTAACCACCAAGATTGGGGTTTTCACCAGTAGCATTTTTATTATGTTTTGTTTGTATATACCAGCCTAGTACAGTACAGTTATTTAGTAATGTATTTGTATATTAAATTTTTAGTACTTCTTACTTTAGTGTTGTTGTACTTTATTTCTGTTTTCTGCATAAGTTTTGAACTTCAATCTTTAAATATGTTATTAAGGCAATTATTTTTGTTCTTAACTAGCCATTTCATAATTTATCAAAGATCATATGTGTATTTCGGCAATACTCAACTACGACCCTTTTTAACCGACTCTCCAAAAAGGAGTTTTGAAATGGTCCCATTTAAATTTCATATAGATCTGATGATGAGTTTCGGAGACAGACAACGGAACTCTGCAAAAAATGATAGCAAATCAACTGCGATTGCTGTTAGGTTTTTAGTGCTCTTTGTTAGTATTGTCTGAAGTCGTTTCAACTTTTTTTTAAAGAATTTATATTGTTCGTATAACCCGTGTTGTTGGGTAATTAAGAGCCACATTCGCAGAGCGGCTTTTAGCTTACAAAATTTTTAGGGTCCTACCGCGAACATCTTTTATTCCAAGTTTTATTAAGTCAGTCTTCGCTGTTAGTTCCCGCGTTTTTGCTTCTTTAGTTACAGTCGTAATTGTAATATTAAAGATCCTACAACTATAATTATTAAAACCACACCAAAACAAAATTCAGCATTATGGTATTAGTATTATGTATGTGTATTAGCTAGTACAAAGCCGTACGACCGCGATAATATTGATAAATTGTGGCTAAGCAGTATATTGTTCATTTATTCTATTTCATCTCCAACCATAACAATAGCTCTAATAGAATAATAATAAACTTTATTTTTCACTAAAAGCTATAACCCGGATAAATAAATAACTACTGTGACAATATATTTTTCGGTAACATAATCAACTGTAGTCGTCATCGCGGTACTTCGGCGCCACTCTCTCGTCCTAGGAATAAATATGTCGTCGCCATGGAAGCGTACTCGCAGTCGCAACAGCTTAGGAGCAGCAGCAGTTTAGAGTAGCATAGAAACACATAGATGATAGAAGAACGTAAGCTCTAGAATCAGCCACACACCATCTCATGGTCTGTTCAGTTTTTGTTCCCTTTCTGCCTTTGTCCCAAAATGTAACGCCCAGAGTAATTCGTAGAGATTTGCCCCCTTTTTAGGAAGCCCTACTTTTTATTAATTTTTTGGCCGTTTAATGAGTTTGCCCCCTATTTTAACATAACGAAATTTTATTAATTTTTCGCTCAAAATTTAAGTATCTGCTTTAAATATTTAGTTGTTGTTGTTCAATTAATTAAAAAGATTTTTAATTATCTCATAACGAACATAATCAGCGTAGAAGAATGTTTGTTTGTTTGTTTGCGAATGTTGAATACCCACGAAGATGAAATTTGCTTAAGCATAGCTAATGTTTAACCCATGTTTCTTCTTATTATAAATCTAGCTGACCCGCGCAACTTCGTCTGCGTCTCTCAATTGTAATAAATTTTCTCCGTTTTTGTAACATTCTTCATTGGTGCTCCGCTCCTATTGGTCTTAGCGTGATGATATATAGCCTATAGCCTTCCTCGATAAATGGGCTATCTAACACTGAAAGAATTTTTCAAATCAGACCAGTAGTTCCTGAGATTAGCGCACAACAAACAAACAAACAAACTCTTCAGCTTTATAATATTAGTATAGATAAAAAATTTTTTAGAAACGGTGCTTTCTTTTTTACTATACAAAATAGGACAAATATATTTTTCTTATATACACAATAAGTAAAGGGGAAAGTAAGGAAAGTAACAAGAAAAGAGTGGGGGCAAACTCATGAAATGGGTAAAAATCGAATAAAAAGTAGGAATTTCTAAAAAGGGGGCAAATCTCTACGAATTACCGAACAGACCCATCTCACACAGAATTAGTCCTATCACTTTTATGTTAAATATAGTGAGTCCTTCCTTTTATAGATGTTCCAAGAAGTAAAATCCGTATACGAAGCGGAGGTGGAGATGGTAAAAGTGGAAGAAGATAAAAAAGTAAAGCGTTCTATGGCAAGCCACGCGTTGCAATTGCAGAAGGAACGAGAAGAGGTAAGGTTAAGACTTCTAGTATAGTTTATCCAACTAACATTTTTATTCATATAGAGTTTTTTTTAATTTAATTTTTTTTTTATGTACATAATACTAGCAACTTTATCTGCGGGTGTGAGTAGGTGGAAAAATACTTTACGACCTATTCTCGTCATTATATCATCTATATATTATATAATATACAAGTTCATAAAGAAAAGAAAAAAAATAAAAGATCCTTCAAAAAAACTCCTTCCTTAAAGGCCAACAACGCGTTTGTGACTCCTGAGTTGCAGGCGTTCATGGGCGGTGATAGTCACTTTCCATCAGGTAACCAGTCTGCTTGTCTGCCCCTGTTTCATAAAAAAACCTCTGCAAAAAGTGTGTAAAAAATGGTTGTGCCGTCAGCGCTTAAAGTAGCGGTGGTATTTTGCTAACACCTTAAGATATAAACTGCTTAATGCTGGTATTTATATTTCTTACATCTCTCACTTAAGGGTCAGGTAAATTTTGTTTCTTGAAATAATTAATTACCGTGGGAGAGCCTTGCTTTGGCACGAATGGGCCGGCTCGACCGGAGTGATACCACGGCAATTCTTTCGTTGCCTTTCACTGGGTGAGTGAGGTTACCGGAGCCCAAATCCCCACTCCCGCTGAATCGAGCGGGAGGGACTCCAAGGGCAGCAACGCACTTGTGACTTTTGAGTTGCAGGTGTCCGTGGGCGCCGGTAGTTGCTTACCATCAGGTGACCCGTCTACTCGTTTGCCCCCTTATACCGTAAAAAAAAAGAAAAATATAGGCTAAAATTCGCATGTACTTGTGGAACTGTAATATTTCTACGCGCGACTTTAAATCAGCTATTTTATTTTTAACTATAGCCTTAAATGCTCAAAAGTTTTAATCCAAGCCAGTTTAGTCGTACACCTAAGTTGACTTGGTTAGGACCACCTGTTAAAAAACGTTAAACACATTTCGTAAACATTTAATGGAGAAAAGGTGTAGTTTCCTCTTCTTGTATACGTGGAACTCTGGTGAAGAGTTATTGGTCAGACTGTGTCTTCAGATTACGTACCTTGAAAATATGTAACACCTCTGATCCCAAACTAGGCAGAGCGTTTGATAAATACTTTTATAGATAGATAAGATATATATAGATAAGATACACTGAAAACATCCAGACACGGAACATATAGGTGGGAATCAAACCCACGACTTCTGACTTACCAATAAGACTCTCAAACCAAACCACTGGACCAACATAGGTCAATTGTTTCTCAGTCTAATGCAAGTTATAATGTTTGGCAGTTAGAAGAGTCGTTCAAGGCTCGTAAGGCAGAGTTGGAACACAACGTGGCAGAGAAGAAAAGGTTTCTATGGGGCCTGGCCCGTGCGTTGCGCGAACAGCACAAACATATGACGCGTGCTATGCTCGAGGTACAGACAGAGACTAAACGACTCACAGCTAAGGTATTGTCAGAAATCTAATTATAATTATCTATATTAATATTATTACTCTGTGTGTATTGTTTTCGCGCCTTAACATCTTAACTAGTCTTCTGGGTTAGACGGGGCTTTAACAAGGTATATATACATACTACTTTGTGTCGTGAAAATGTAACTTGAACAGGGCAAAATAGAATGAATATTGGAAGACTTTGTAAGCAAACGAAATTGCGTGCTAATATAATGAGTGTAAAACTGCGTTTGTTTATTTGTTTGTTACGATTTTACGCCTTATCACATTCAAAATCACATTTAATATTAGTTCTTCTAAGACTAAATAATCTAAGCTTACAATAATATTTACATACAGGAAGATAACTTAAAAGCTCGGCTAGCGGAAGCAGAACAAATGATAAGAAAACGTGCAGAAGAAATGCGCACACAGATCTCAGAAGAGTTGGCCACACTTGAACGACACCTGTCTTCCATAAAACATGAGCGAGACAGCATTAACAAAGAGCGTTCCGAACTCGAAACACTGAAAGGCATAGAAAATGACACAAGCAAAGTTATTAAAGTGCATGATATGGAAAACGAGGAAATTCAGTCACAGTATGATTTGATTAAGAACGAACTTGTGACGTTAAAGAAGTATCTAGAAACGAGCAAATTGAACCCACGGAGTGTTACGGAGAAAGGCACGCTCACGGACTTGAGAAACGTGAGTTCAAATTTCAATGTCAGCTTGAATAACAGTCACAATGCGGAGAAATTTAGAAGCGATGCTTTCGATGATAGAGTGAAGAATCAAGTTGTCAATGACTTTAAGAAGAAAAATGTCAACTTTACACCGGTACGTATTTCATATTTTCGTTTAGTACCCTTTTTAAGGAGAGGCCTATGTCCAGCAGTGGACTAGGAGAGGCCTATCAGCCTTTAATAGTCCAGTAGTGGACTATTAAAGGCTGTTGATGACGATGATAACTCATTGAGTTTCTGTACATAGTATAAAACAAAAGCCGCTTCACACTTCCGTATAATACCAGAATTTAATGCAGATTTCACCATCAGTAGATACTAAGCTAATTTTTCAAGTAAGGTTTATATGTATAACTAGCTGACCCGGCAAACGTTGTATTGCAAAACAAAAAAAAATTAGGGATGGTCACCCTTACCATTTAGGGGTATGAAAAATAGATGTTGGCCGATTCTCAGACCTACCCGATGTGCACACAAAATTTTATGAGAATCGGTCAAGCCATTTCGGAGGAGTACGGGAACGAACATTGTGACACGAGAATTTTATATATAAGATAAAACGTAATCTTATCAACAGCCTCTAATGATCCACTGCTGAACACAGACCTCTCCTTAGAAAGGAGGTTTTGGCCTACTATACCACGCTGGCAGACGGGTTGGTATAGGGTTTGTTTCAAGTTTTTCTTCTCTTTGTAGTGCTATTGTCCTTAGTCCGCTCTGACGAAATTCACGTGGTGAATAGAGGTTGTGACCCTCGTATTCTTGATCCGTCACCACACGGAAAAATATAATCTATCGTAACGTTATTAATTAAAGCGATAATTGTTTACGTAGGGTGAACCTTAAGCGTTAAACAAAGGCAAGTCGCTTGTGTCGTATAAAAAAAAACAAATTATATATTTATAGTGCAATTTATGTTCAAAACGTCCCATTAAGTTGTGATAATGCTAAATGCTAACTAACCGCTGACTTCGTTTCTGGCTGCCAAAAGAAGTGAATTGTCCCCGTTTTTGCAACATTTTTCATTAATGCTCGACTCTTATTGGCCGTTCCGTATAACCTATAGCCTTCCTCGATAAATGGGGTATCCAAAACTAAGAATTATTTAATTCCCACCATTAGTTCCTGAGATTAGCGCGTTCAACCAAACAAACAAACTTTCCAGCTTTATAATATTAGTGTAGATGTGTAAGATTGTGATTTGTCGTGCAATGGGAGAGGCCTATGTCCAGCAGTGGACTGCGATAGGCTGATGATGATGATGATGTGTAAGTCTACTTTACATATTCCGTGTTGTCTAGTCGAAAGTAGATGAGCTGTATCGTGAACAGTCGTACGCGCACACTCGATCGTCAGAATCTAGCGAGATGGGAGACACCGCGCACCCCTCACAGGCACACCGCAGTGATGATGTCGAGGCAGACACTGTGCACAGGCTCAAGGAAGAAAACAACAGACTCAAGGAATGTGCCAGACAGGTAGGCTGTGTGTTTGTAGTTTTTTTTATTGAAACTAGTGTGATTTGCATATTATAAACGTTTTTTTTTCACTTTATGATTGATAAAGGCCGAGCACCGGCAAAGGAGCGGGCTGATATGAATAAAACTATTGGTATTTATTACTCAGTATGTTGGTGGAATCATATCTAGATTTTTCAGAATATTCTTATTCCAAAAAACCCTAATAAAGTAAAAGTATTGAAATTTACAAGCAAATTTATTAAATGTTGTTTAGAAATGTGCGCTTACCTAAAACGATAAGATTATTTATCAGCGTCACATGTGTTATATTTGTTAGCTCTGTTTGTGTCACTGTATATTCGTATGTCGTTGTACAAGTGTGATTTATGTTGTGACTACTAGCTAGCTACGTTCGGATTCACATCGCATCGATATTATTCTTTTGTTTCGTCTTACTTTAGCTCTATTTAACTTGTTGTGTAGGGTTAAACGATGCGTTTACTTTAATCGATTATTTTTGCCTGTCTGTACATATTTGTGTGGGTCAAGACTGGCGGGTGGTGTAGATATGACAATGTTCTGAGGTACGCGCTAACATAATTCTTGTATTGTCTAAATACATTAATAATTTATATCTTATACATATTATATTATTCTGTATTTATTTATAAAAAGTTTGACATCGTATTGTTGTCATCCGATATTATTGGTTATATAACTTTACATATTTTTTTATTTTATTTATATTTATTTTAATTTCATGCTGTCTGATGATGAATCGTTTCACGCAAACGAATCTGTTACTATTTCGGGTGACGAAAGTTTTATCTCCTTATCAGATACACTTGGCGACTTTGTGAGACAGACGTTTGGTCGCCCTTCTAAATAATAATAATAATAATAAAAATGTTTATTTCATCTCCACAAATTACATTTTGTTTTATATTTAACAGTTGACAGGAAAACTGTCAAGAAATTTGCAATTTGTGGGAGATCTGGAGTCTAAACTAAGCCGAGGCCTGTACTATAGATCTCCAGGCCCCCCATTACATAACACTTAGCAGATTTGTCAACATGTCAAAAGCGTACTAGAGTGTGTGAATGAGTAAACAGTAAAAAGATTTTGCATTAAAAATATATATACGAATGGTTGCGCTGTGAGGGCGTGTGTGTGTGTGTGTGTGTGTGTGTGTGTGTGTATGGGCGTCTGGTGTGTGGGTGTGTGTGTGTGTGTGTGTGTAGCGTGTGTGCGAGGATGGTTAGGACTTGTACTTTTCTTTTTTTTTTTTTTTTTTAGAGTATCAATTTTGCTTAAATTTTCGTCCGTGGTATGTAGATAGGTGTATAAATAATAAGCATAAATAAATGTGTTATAAATTAAGTAATACCTATAGTGATATACAAAGTTTAATGTCAGGAGTGTAACATATGCATAAGTATACATATACAAACTCATACGTACACGTAATGAACATATCAATCTATATTCTTACATCTAAGATTTTTTCTGTTTCCGAGTAACTAAGCTTCAGTAACCATTTTTGAATTATATTTTTGCATTCGGTTTTACAAGAGTTGGACAAGGGAATTATTTTGTTTACTTTGTTATATAGCATACCTCCTCGGTATGATAAAAACCTTTGTGCAAATGAGGTATTTACGGTAGTAGGCTCACATACTGCATAGTTTCTTCTAGTCTGAGCTATGTACTTTCTTTTGTCTTCCGACAAGTCAGTATGTTTATGAAGCACAGATAGCATTATATAAAGTTGGCGTACAGTGAGGACCTGTGCTTCGTCGTAAAGCTTAGAAGTTGGAAATAGCCGAGGTTTTGATAGGCTTACTTTCAGTATCATCCTTTGAGCTCTTTCGAGGGTTATCATTTTGGTTTTACAAGCTCCTCCCCAGGTAGTGATGCAGTAGGATAGCATAGACTGCACTAGGGCCTCGTATACCAACCTTACAGTCCGCTTGTCAGCTACGCCGCGTAGTGCTTTAAATATATATGTTAGTTTACGTATTCTATTGGACAGTGTTTGTATGTGGTTTTCGAAATTTAAATTAGCGTCAACTTCGATTCCCAGGTACCTAATACATTTTGTAGGGGTAATTTTGGTGCATGTACAGTTTGGAGTAGGAGGAGAATTACATTTATGCACATATATATTGTTGGTAAGATCGGCTATTTCCCTTCGGTTTTGGATAGAGAACACAATGAATTTGGTCTTATCTTCATTTAAGGTAAGAGAGTGAACTATTAGCCAGTGACAAATCGTGTTAAATCCTTCCTGTGCAAGATTAAAAAGTTCATTCCATGAATCTGCGTAAAAGGTAAGAGCTGTGTCATCTGCATAAGCCGAGATGCGGCAGTTTTTAATGTTAAGTAAGCAGAGCTCATTGATATAGCAGATAAAGAGTGTTGGGCCGAGAATACTACCTTGCGGCACCCCAAATGCAATTGGCAATTCGTCACTAATGTTGTCACCGATTTTCACGCATTGGGTTCTATTATGTAGATAATTGGACAACAATGCCAGTGGGATGCCTCTTATGCCACGAGCCTCCAGTGTCTCCACAAGGCAGGGGACAGAAACAGTGTCAAAGGCCTTTGCAAGGTCGAGAAATATAGTCAAGCATTTCTTTTTATTATCTAGTTTAGATACCAGAAAGTTGACAAGGTCAAGTACAGCATTGTTGGTTGAGCGGCCTAACCTAAACCCATATTGCGAGTTCGAAAGTAGATTGCCGTCTTCTAGGTATTTAATAAGCCGAGTGTTAATAATGCGCTCAAATAGCTTCGATAATGTAGTTAAGATTGCAATAGGTCTATAGTTACTAACACTGCACCTATCACCCGCCTTGTGTATAGGAAGCACTACAGCTCTTTTCAATGCATCCGGAAAAACCCCAGCCTCTAGACAGCGGTTTATCAAATCAGTTAGAACAGGTGTTATTGCATTCCGACAGCTTGCTCCAAAGCTGGTCGGCGCTGCGTCTGCCCTAGGGCGACTCTTGCCCAATATGGGTGGACCCAGCGTCGCGACAAGACGGCTGTACACGGGGGTTGTCCGGTCAATGGCGCTGTACGGTGCACCGGTGTGGGCGGCGGCTCTGACCGCCCAGAATAGGGTACGCCTCTGGCGCCCTCAGAGGGTAATGGCGGTCAGAGCCATACGCGGTTACCGCACCGTTTCTACGGAGGTGGCATGCGCGTTGGCCGGAACTCCCCCGTGGGATTTGGAGGCGGAAGTGCTCGCCGAAGTTTATCGGCGAGTGGCTGACTTCCGGGCGGAGAGCGGATTTCGCCCTCCGCCCGAGGATGTGCGCGAGTGGCGCGAAGCCGCTCGCCGAGCCACGATGGCTCGTTGGTCGTTCCGGCTGGAGACTCCACGCGCTGGCTTCGCCGCCGTGGAGGCTCTCCAGCCGGTCATCGCCGAGTGGGCAGGGCGGCAGCACGGGACCCTTTCCTTCCGACTGACGCAGGTGCTTTCCGGGCACGGTTGCTTCGGAAAGTACCTGCACACGGTCGCTAGGAGGGAACTGAGTCCCGCCTGCCACCACTGCGACTGCAGTGAGGACTCGGCCCAGCACACGCTGGCGGTCTGCCCCGCATGGGCGGCGCAGCGCCGGGCCCTCACTGCAGTCATCGGAGTGGATCTCTCGCTACCGGCCGTAGTACGCTCCATGGCCGGTAGCGACAGTTGTTTTACCGCGGTCGCAACCTTCTGCGAGGTAGTAATCTCGCGGAAGGAGGCGGCGGAAAGGGCCCGGGAGGACGACCTCCACTCGGACCCGATCCGCCGCCGGCGAACCGGGCGGCGGAGGCCCGCCTACCACAGCCTCATGCCGCCCTGAGTGTGGCCGCGGGTGGACGGGGTGGGTTTCCCCTCCACCCGCATTAGTTTGGCCAGCCGCGAGGGGGCGGCGTCCGCGTGTGCCGGACGTCGCCTAAAGAGAGGAAAAATATTGAGACGGAGCCCGCACCAGGAGCGGGCTGGCGCTAGGAGGGGTCCGGATGTCTTAACAACAGCTGTTCCCGGATCCCTCCTGTTACAGGCGCAGAGTGGCACACCGTGTGGTTTTAGTCGGTCCGAGTCCGACACACCACCCCGCCGCAAACCCCGGAGGGGTGACGGTCCGAGGGGATTTCCACACGTTAAAAAAAAAAAAAAAAAAAAAAAAAAAAAGGTGTTATTGCATTGGATGTAATTTTGAGACTTTCGGCACTGATCTGATCCCAACCTGGTGCGCAATCACTTCTTAGCTGCTGAATTATTCTCTCAACTTCTCCGTCGTCGGTTGGTAGAAGAGTAAAAGATTTTGCAGGGGGCTTAATTACTTTTTTTAAATTAGGAAAGCGAGCGCGCACAATCGTATCCGCTAGACGTTCACCGATACTAGAGAAATATTCATTTGTTTTGCAAACCGCTTCTTTAGGATTGTCAGCGATTGTTAAAAGATGTTGTGGCTGTTGATTTTTGTTACTACTGTTAGTAATTGTTTTAACGGCGGACCAAAGCTTTTTTGCATTATTTTTAGACAATATTAGTTGATCTCTCTCGTACTGTTTTTTCAGTTTTTTTAATAAATTATTGCAATAGTTTCGATATCTTATGTACGATATTTTCAATATTTCATTGGTTTTATCTGAATTTAATTTTTTGTGCATTCTATCCCTTGTGCGTATACAACGTAACATACCAATAGTTATCCAGGGTTTTATTACAAATTTATTTCTAGGAGTTAAGTGTTTTATCGTATTTTTTGCAATTAATTGCTGCATAATAGTAATGAAATTAGTCATTGCAGTATTTAAATTTGTTTCCTGATAAACTTTGGCAAAGTTATATTTGTCACAGTCGAATTTTAGTCGTTCTTTGTCAATTTTACAGATCATTTTTAGCTTTGTAGATTTATTTATTGCAACGTCAGCTTTTAGACTAAATAAGACTGATTCATGATCCGTGATACTGGTTCCTAGGATAAATGTAAACGCATTTAGTTTCGTTTTTAGCAATACGTGATCTAAGCAGGATTTTCCCCTAGTTGCAGTGTAGATGGCAGGAAGTAGTCCATGGAAGGTGATAGTGTCCATATACGCTGTATTGGTGTGGCTCGTTTTAATGAGGTCAATATTTATATCGCCAACTATAACAATATTTTTGAAAGATGAACAACCTTCTAGTAGTATGTGTAGGGAATCAATGAAGGTATCAGGTGTTTTGAAACTTGGCGGTCTGTAAATCGCGATTAATATTGTATGATTTTGTATTTTAATTGTAAGGCAATTAGCTTCCAATAGAGTGGGTTCCTCTACAATACATTCTAAGTTACTGTTTGTGTAGACTACAAGGCCGTCGTTTTGATTGTAGTTATCATTGGTTTTAAACGAGTTATATCCCTCAAGCACCGGCAAACCCACGACACAAGACAGCCAGCATTCTGACAGCACTATAATATCACAGGGGAAGTTCAATCGTTTAAGTAGAAGTTGTAACTCCTGAAAGTTGCAGTTCAGGCTACGGATATTTTGTTGTAGTATATTTAAATATTGCGTAGGATGTTGAAGATGTGAGATGCACTCTTCCGGTTCACAAGAAATAGGGACAGAAATATTAAATTCGTCAATATTTTGTATTAGATTATTTGTGGTGTCGAATGTTACGTATAATTTATTACTAGTAATAAGAGAGTACGCATAAAAATATTTGTTTTAATTTCGTAGTAAGGTAAGAGCCGTATTCGTTCTATGTGGACAGTAGAAAAGACGAAGTAGATTAAGACTAATTTACTCCATTGCATGTGATGGGAAGAAAGTATGTAGCGTAGGTATACAATTGTTATGAGATAAGGGAATATTGGAGGTTTTTGTTTAATGTTTATGTATTTTATGTATCCGTGCATTGATAGATTTTTTATATAATAAATATATTTTTTACCGGGTAATATAACATAGGTATGTGTTGTAGTGTAGAATGTGTATGTGTTTATTGTATGAGTCTGCAAATATGCTTTGAGGGTATAGTGTATTGGTAGGTTGAGAGTGTAGACAGACAAATGCAAGTGCACTATTAAAATAACATAAAGATAATGGTAAATACATTTGTAGCCTACAGTAATATCGTGATATTTAGTTTTTAAAATTATATATCTTGACTTCACTAAATAGTATATGGATATGAGTCATTGTGCCCTTAGTGTTGTCAAATCTGCTTCACAGGAGATCAATTTTGATGGGCCACCTTCTTTTTGTCGAATATAAATGTCGCTTAAACGTTTGTCATATTAATGCTCAAAGCATTCCCAGCCACTACAGTGACTTACTTGAAGCTTTCACCAACTCCGAAGCGCATGCTATACTGGTTTCTGAGTCCTGGTTCAAACCCAACCTGCTTTCTACGTCGTACTCCCTCCCTGGTTTCATTCTCATACGCAACGACAGAGTCGACAGAAGAGGAGGTGGTGTTGCTATTTATCTCCGCTGCTCAATCTCATACAAAATCTTAACGTCTTCCCCTCCCTCCAGTTCTGCATCCGCAGAATACCTTTTCCTTGAGGTTAGCATCAGTGGAGCCAAAACTCTTCTGCGCGTTGTTTACTGTCCTACTACTTCTTCAGTCTCGAACCGATTCTGGAATCTTTAGGGTCCGAGTATGCACACCATATCATCATGGGCGATTTCAATACCGATCTCCTCGCTTCCAATTCCCCTCGATCCCATAAACTCCTTCAGGTCATCGAATCAACTTGTCTGCATGTGCTGCCATTGTCAGCCACACATCACAATATTAATGGACCTGACACCTGGCTAGACCTAATCCTAACTTCGACTCCGTCCTTTGTCCGTAGTCATGGCCAACACCCCGCTCCCGGTTTTTCCCAACATGACCTCATCTACCTCTCCTATGCCCTGAAACCTCCTAAGCACCGCCCTCAGTTTCGCCACATTCGGGCAGGAATTGAGGACTCCAAAGTTACCGTGTTGGCTTTGATTGATTTCTCAAATGATTTTAACACCGTTAGTCACGATGTCCTTCTATCTATCCTTTCCTATCATATGATGTCATCTGATGTACTGGAATGGTTCTCTTCATATCTTCGAGGGCGCCAGCAAACCGTCCGTGTCGACGAATCCACCTCCATATGGTGTGATCTTGACTCTGGTGTCCCCCAAGGCGGCATTCTCTCTCCACTATTGTTTTCTATTTTTATTAATCTCATCACTCAGAATCTTCAATGTGCGTACCATCTTTATGCTGATGACTTGCAACTTTACTATAATGCTGCTGTAGATAATATAACGGAGGCTATTGCCATGATAAACGGCGACCTGGAGACTATTAGCGGTTGGTCCTACAGGTTCGGTTTGACTGTGAACCCCACAAAGTGCCAGGCTATCATCTTGAGCAGTCCACGTATGACCAGAAGGCTAGATCAAGAAAAACTACTATCCCTAGTATTTAACGGGTCAATCATTCCCCTAAGTTCTACTGTGAAGGATCTGGGACTGTTCATTGATTGCAACCTCAATTGGCAAACCCAGGTTACGAATGTCAGCCAGAAAGTTACAGGAACCCTGCGGGTGTTATACCGACTAAAGAATTTTTTACCTTCCGAGATTAAAGCGATGTTGGTACAAACTTTAATTTTTCCCATTATAGATTATGGTGATGTGTGCTACTACGACCTGAATGCAGATCTCTTCAACAAATACGACCGTCTTCTTAATAACTGCATTCGATTCATTTTTAATCTTCGTAAATATGATCATATTTCCTCCTTTCGTCTTAAATTAAATTGGCTCCCAATTCGTCAGCGTCGTCACCTGCGGGCACTAACGACTCTCTACACTATTCTCAACTCTCCTAACTCGCCTACATACTTGACATCCTCCTTCCAGTTCTTGTGCTCCAATCATAACAGAACCCTTCGCTCTACAAATAATCTTCTACTCTTATGCCCTGCCCACACTTCTACGTGTGTTCATTCTTCCTTCCTCACTCAATCTGTACTTCTATGGAATGCTCTTCACCAGCATATCAGAATGGCGACCAGTCGTAATTCGTTTAGGGCGAAGGTGCGGGCTGTTCTTGACCGGAATGTAGCGGAATCATCACAAATATGATACTTTATATATTATGGTATATATGTATGTGTATATATATATAACACAATATATATGAATATGAATGTATGTATTCTTGTATGTATACGTTGGTATTTTTATATTATTTCATTGCTTTTTGCTCAGTATTGCTATCATTACTTCTTTTATGTCCACTTTATAATTCTCAACCAAAGGGTAGTGCACCTCCACACTCATTTCCACACCACCCTAAGGTAGACTGGTAGAGAATGCCTATGGCATTAAGTCCGCCATTGTACTTATGTGCATAAAGTTAATAAATAAATAAATAAAATAAAGCTTCATTGAAAATAGGTAAAATATGTTGAATCGTTGTAAGGAACGTACCTATACTAAGCGACTCTTTCCGAGGGGGTCTTCAAAATATCACGCTTGATCACTTGGTGTTGTATTAATAAAGATTTATAATTATTACTTTTAAATTTTCAGTCTACAAAAAAAAAATTAAAACCGTATTCATGAATTATTACGCGAAAGCTACAGGACTTGACATATTTTACGCGTGGTCATCGAGGGGAAGAAGGGGGACTGAAAATCTAAAAAATGGGTGACGTAGTATAGAGCCTGTCTAGATGAGGCGTTTTACGCGCGAGTCGACTCGCGCGTTTCAATTCATATTGCGTCCAGATGAAAGTCCAGATTTAGTTATAAACATGGACTCGGAGACAGCGGTTGTGTTGTGACTTGCATACCGTCGATGGAAACGTCGTAAACGAAGAGAAAGTCATCAAGCATGTTGAAACTTTTACGTGTGTGCTTATAATAATGTAACCATTCTGTAAAAAAAAAATATCAACCTCCAACTCGATTGTCGTTAATGTGGAGCTGAGCCCCATTTTGTAATACGTCCACCCGCTACGGATTCGGGCGTAGTACTGGACGCAGTAATGGCGCCCGAGTATCTCGACTCGCGCGGAGCTGGCGCGTAGAACGCGCGAGTCGAGAGTCTCGCTCATTACCAGCGTTTTACGCGCGAGTGAGGATACGCGCATCATCATCTGGACGGAATATATGTAGCTCTAGTATCTCGGGAACGCGCGAGTGACTACGCGCGAGTCGAGCCGCGCGGAAAACGCCTCATTTGGACAGACTCATAGGTACGTTCCCTAAAGGTCGCCGATAGCTGGTAATCGGGACAAAATCGGGTCAGACCGGTAAGTGAGGTAACTCTTGTTGTGCAGCAACAGTCGCACATCGAGGCGCTGTCTCGCGCGGCGGCGCGGGCGTGCACGTGCGCCGTGCTGCGGCCGCTGGCGCCCGACCGCTCCACCGTGTCCACGCCCACGCCCTGCCAGCCGCAGTACTTCCTGCACAGGTACGCCCCGCCCTCTAACGCGCGAACCTCACTATACCAAATAGTGACGCGTCGACCGAGCCCCGCCACCCCGGTGACCGCGTTCTGCGCTACGATCGGCCCGCACTGCAATCTCAACCGATCGCAACGCTAACCGCGCGCTCCGTCGAGAGCGAGTCGATGTGAAATAAGCTCGTACTCGGCCCTCAGGTCCCGAGACGTCAAAGATCAAAGTAATCAAATATGTATCTATAGTCCAGCCCCTGACCGATCAGGTTCTAAGAAGTTATCGTTTCGTACGAAAGCTTGGACCCTGATCGGTCAGGTTGCGAAGCTTGATATGATGATTATTCATGGCGCAAATACATTTCTCGCCCTAATAAATACATTATATACGGCTGTCCGCATATGATTATTACTTTTTCGGAAGTTCCTCCTTTACTGTAACAGAGACCCATAAGAATTAATCTTGATCTAAATAACAATTTTAAGTAATAATTGGTTTCACATTTCTCACGAATTACAAGAAATAGAAAATTTTAAAAGACGAAACGAAACTATTTTTGCCTTAACATAGCATTTTTAACATCATGAAAAGTGTCTTATATTGATAATAAATAGATAAAAGTTGGATCGATTAGTTTGATATCGTCAAAAACAATCAACCTATCGATTCCAAATACATCATTTTAAATAGTCTAGTGAAAGGTCTTGTATTATTTCCATGATTTATACGAGCTTTAAAGACTTCTGAAAATTTGGTTGATAATGAAACATAACATTCATATTCTGTCTCTATCTTCAGTGTTAATACGTGTGCGTCAGCGAACACTGTGAGCATGAGTTGGTACAAGGGAGCCGGCGAGGAGTTGAGCGTGTTTAGTGACGCCCAGCCCAGGATACTTGTGCCCGGTGACAGCATACCCTTTGTAGGAGTAATAAGAGATAGAGAGAGACATGTCGGCAGGAGGTATGTACTACATATTCGAAACTTCGATGATTTTCTGCTAAATGCTACCTGAGTGAAACATGTTATATCATTTTAAGCACACCTTTAGGTTTTGCAGGATTTATGCATAAGTCGCGTGTTATTAAGTGTATTATAATTTTGGACACCATTATAATTTGTGTTCATATTTGAGTCCCAATCTGTATAAATTGTGATTTTACATACATGCTGCCTATGAATATTGTTTTTCCAATTAATAAAATAATAACTAGGTAGCTTATGGCCTTTTTTTCAAAAGTACTTTTTTAATCGTGAAAGAATGGTTAAAATTGTTTTAGTTTCGTTTCGTAGGTTCAGGGTTTTATGACAGTGAATAATCATAAAATAAAAATAAAAATTTATAAATAAAAACAACTATAGTCTATCTAATCTAAGAGTTACCGCTTGACAGTTCTGACAGACTGAAGAATAAAGACGGGGTCATAGAAATCGATTAATACAGTTGATCAGTAGTCAATAAGAATTGTAAATCTTGTGATAAAATAGAAACAGCTGCATAATTTCATGGTTTTACATTAAAATATTTTACGCCAATACAAAGTTGTTTCTATTTGAAACATCAAACCGGTACCCCTTTGATTAGATGGACTATAGTGTGGAATAACATATAAAAATGGTGCTACAATGTGCAGACAACTCCTGAGTCAGTGGCGAGCCCTTCGGTCCCGAACCCTCCCCCTGGCGCGGGTGACCAAGCGCACGCCCTCGCCCGTGCAAGACAGACCTGGTAAGCTTCATTCTTGCAGATTGTAACACACTTACAAATTATATTCATGTCAGATATTAATAAACATTAAATAAAAGTTCTTTAAAAGTCAGTAGTTTAGAAAACATTGTAAGGGGCGTAAAAGTAAAACAAACAGTTTATTAAAAAATAATGTTTTTTTTTATCAAATCCATAATATAATATAATTATTGCTAAAAGTGTGACGTTACAATGCTAATTTTTATAGAAGTTTCTAAAGTGACTTGGCGGTGACTTTGTATACATTACAAAGTCACCGCCAAGTCACTTTAGAAAATTCGTAGTAAACGCTTATGTAGAAAAAAATCCTAACCGACTTTAAAAAAAGAAGAGTAAAATATAACCGATTACCGATGATCAGAACTCTGTTATTTATAAACCAATTTGAGACATTCTTTGTTTTTGAAGAATAGAAGGCCTTCCCATTTGGTCCCATTTAAATTTGAATAAAAAATACATAAAGATGAAAATTAATCTAGTGAAGAATTCAGTTTATTACAATTCATCATAATATAAGCTCATTGAAGTCGACAATACTTTTTTTAAGTTATCTTTTTGATTTACTTTGCAGGCAGTAGTGGTAAACAAACAACAGTGACCCTGCATCTTGACAACATGCAGCCAGGTTCCACGAGGTAAAATATCTAAAATTATTTTTGTATTCTTTTTTGCAAATTATCATGTCAATGGCTCGATGGCCCAGGTGTTGTGCTATTTAGGTATACGTACATTTTTATGGCATACCTGATGCTAAGTGACACCTGCAATTAAAGAGTCACAAGTGCGTTGACGCCTTTTGAGTCCCTCCCCCCGGAATCAGTAGGAGAGGGGTAACCTCACTCATCCAATGAAAAGGAACAATAAAACAGCTTAACACTAGTTTTATGTTATTATAAACTTGATGAAGTGTATACATAATAATATATAGCAAATATATGTATATTTTTTGGCAATGATTCAGGGATAAAACCGAGCGACACAAATCAGTCACTTTGGACATAAGCAGAAACAGAGAAAAAAGTCCGAAGTCCGTTTTACGGGAAGCTAAAGAGAAATTGCGCAAGTTAGTACTTTTTTTTTAATAAACGCCCACATGGTTATATTATTTATTGATATTAATAACAGAGATTTTGCGATCTATCACTAATACAAAGACAATGTTTTAAATATTCTCTGTCTGGTAGTTTTTTTTCTCGTTTTGACTTTGAAACTTTATTTAAACTTCAATAATAGTTGTGCTACTACTAACCAGTCACAATTTTAATTGTAGCATAAAAGAATTAACAGTGGCAGCTCGTGAAAATAACTCAAACGTGATTCTGCGCGAAGCCAAGCTGCGTCTTCGCAAGCTGGAGATAGAGGCGGAGGCTGTAGAGAAGTCATACCTCGACTTCCGTCGACGACAGTCCGAATTCAAGGCGGAGAGAAACGCTCGCGCGTTGCTTAAAGATGACACTTTGAAGTCGACGGTTGTCGATAGGAACTTAGGTGAGTGCTCCATTTCTGGATCTGCCTCGGTACTTACTGCGCTTCTTCTATAGGTCATTACATCACACACAACATCACATCAACAGCCCTTAATAGTCCACTGCTGGACATGGGACTCAGAAACTCCTTAGAAAGGAGGTTTGGGCCTACTATACCATACTGGCCAGACGGGTTGATATAGGGTTTGTGTCAAGTTTTCCTTCACTTTGCAGTGCTGTTGTCCTGTGTGGTTTGCTGCCTTAGTCGACTCTTACGACACCCACGGGATGAATAAAGGTGGTGACACTCCGTATTCTTAATCCGTAACCACACGAATAGTCACATAAAAGTCATAGCGTAGTGATTTACATTCCAAAACATACTTTATTAAGTACGTTATATAATAATTAACATTAAATAGGAACTATTACTTAAAGCAGCCAAAATTATGAGGTAATGCGATGATGATGGTATGTTTTCTTTAACTTTTTTCTTTTCTTCAACATACACAAATGGCCGAAAAACCTCTAAAAACCAAAAAAAAATCCAGGTCGGATGAGTAGCTTTAATTTCTGAAGTCGTTTCTAAAAAAAAACACTTGACGGTGACCAGAAATGTCCATGGCAGTTGGACACAGCAATAGACTAGTGATGTCTTAGATAAATAAACAGATGTGATTAGAAGACATTCTTTAAAATCACTTAAACGTCGGTAACTTTCCAACTATCTCGTACCTTGCTTGTAGGGCCATCTGCTAACTTAAATTACCTCACAAATCATTGCTGTGCAAAGCAAGCAACCGAGGCGTGCATGATTTTCATCTCCCATTCGATGGCTCTGAATCCAAAATTCCCATCTTGGACTCATTGACTTGGCTCGCGACACACCTTCATTAATATCTCTCAATAATTTATTAATTTACCCTCCTTATAAACCTAGCGGTGAATTCATACATTATTGATTAAGCATTTTTTTATCTCAGATGCAAATGGAACTCGTTCACAACACAAGCTAGAAAATACTAGCGGAAATGAAGTTGACGTCCCATTAACAGACTATCAGAAAGCTATAAGAAGTGACTTTGATAAATACCTGCGCGAGTATCAGACGAGTCTGAGCATTGGAGAAACGCATTTTAAGAAACACACCGCAGCGGAGTTTAGCAAACCCATTCCCGAAACATACTCATTCATGCCAACAGACGATAACAAAGGGAATACCAGCAACTATCTAGAAACACCATTAACAGAGTTCAGAAAACTTTACCGCTCTAGCAGACAAGTCAGTGGGAACGAGGAAAAAACAGAAAAGATATTTAAACACGTGAACCCTAAAACAAGCGGTGCTGACCAAGAACCAGCTGAATGCAGCAGTTCTCGCCAACATACACCTACCCACAATCAAGTACAAAGTATTCTCAAGAAAAATAAAAAAGATAACGAATTATCCATCAAAGAAATCGAAAATTCTACTGCTCAACATATTACGGCGGCAAACGCTACATCGAATCCTGATGAACAAAATTTGCTTCGAGTTGAAGTAGAGAGTGTAAGCGGGGTGCGAGCGGCATCTGACGAACTGCTGGTCGTCGTGCAAAACACCATTGATATTCGAGAAGTGTCCATTGAACAGAACAGTGGTTCTTGTCGCGACAAACCCAATCAAATGACAATCGTGGTCAGTCCAGCTGAGAGCATGAACCGAGGCGTTGAAGATATAGACGTTGATGTAGATTTAAAACGTCCTGAGAAGCCTAAGAAGAGTTTATCACCAGAACAGGAGGCGCGTTTAACTAGAAATGATGTGTTAGATGCTATATTCAATGCTGACCCAGACTATTTCAAAGTTAAAGCAGTAAAAGAGCCCACGTCTAAAGGGTCTGTTAGCGATTGTGAAAAGGCAGGGGAAGTGGATGATTATTCAGCTGATGTTGACAATTATATTAGTCGGTTTAGTTCACCAATGTCTGTTCTCAAGACTTCAGAAGATGAAAATTTGTGGGATAGCTAATTTTTTTGGTAACACAAAATTGTTTCAATGTCGGTGACAAAAATATTACTTTAAGCTACACAATTTATATTTTGTTCAAAGTTATATGAAACATTGTATACAAGTTAAATGTCACTTGTAAATGAATTATTAATTCGTTTCGTAAAATTAACAAATGTATATAAATATTTGGTAAAAGATGAAAAATAAAAGAACCCGTGTCAAGAACCAGTCATTATATATTTATCTCCTGTCTACGTGAATTAAAACATATATCATATAAAACATACATTTTACATCTCTCGTTACATATATAAAAGTACAAACATTCGTAATATCAACAACTCACAGCTTTTGGTTTACAAATTTCCCCAAACTAACTACATACGTATAAATGCTACAAAATAAAACAACGTTATTGTCGTACAACACTGAACAAACATATTACCCAACTATGGGACAATAACGTGTACATAATTTAAAAGATGACGTCAACGAACACCGTCATCAAACAAACCAAATTACATTACACTAAATTTAATACAGGTAGGTACTATATTTTATATCTAATATCTTTATCTCAAATTCGTGTTTCAAATATGAAATTTATCAACGCAAATGGCGAAAGGATTTCAACCTTCTTTCAACTTAACCTCAATATAAATGTTTGAAAATTCGTCTAAAATTAAGATGGCGCTACTTACATCACAGTCTAAAAATTAAAACAAAAGAGTTAGATAGGATATCAAGCAAATATATTTCCGTCGAAAATTGACAAAATTTTGGTTAAAATTATAATTCCTCGTTTATATATGTTTTAAACACCTTTGGAAGAAATTATGTACCAAGGTAATTTTATTTTCGACAACGCAGGGATTTTTTTTTAAATCTGTCATTTTTTTAATTTGCTTGGATACTATATTACTTTTAAGAGAGACTACCCCGACTACGTTGAACTCTGAAATTATACGCACTATTGAAGATTTATAAAAGGACAGAGTCACATTGTAATGAGATTTGGTTGTGTGTGACCGAACATAATCAAAATTTCTAGTTTCATTTTCACACAAAACTAATTTTGAATATTAAACTACATTCGTTAAAAGGTACCAAATTACTGGGATTCTAAATTATACTAACATTCCAACACTTACCTAGCGTCAGATGAAAAGAATATAGAACGAATTAAGGCACAAAAGATTTCTTAATATACAGTTGAAATGACTAAAGTAACTAACAGGTTCTATCGCACTGTTTTCTGATGGCAGTTAGGAGCCTAGAGCGCTATACAAAGGCGGGAGAGAGATAATGTTACACACATATATACATACATAACATCACGGCTATTATAAGGGTTTAATCACAATGTATAACAGTCATGAAATCCTTCATAAAACCAGATTTCGTGTACTTGCACAAACTCAAACTCAAATATCTTTGTCATTAAAAAAGAAATCGTTTCTTGTGTAGTCTCTAAAGTCATAGATCAACACACAATAGCAACAATCTCTGTTTTGTCAAAGATTTAAAGAAAGTCTCTTATATGCCTGTGTCGATCTATTACCGCCCATTTCAAAGCCTCATGAGAAGTTGTACAAGTACAAATGACAAACTCATTGTTGCGTGTTATTGTACCGCTGCTTTTTTTAGGCTGATCGTGTGCTTCTTGTTTAATTCAGTTCTTCAGAATTTAACCAAAGAAGGTCATCTGTATAATTATATATAAATAAAATTAGGAAAAAAATAGCATTTTGTGATTTTTGAATAATGTTATGTTATTATGGAAATGTATATCAATTCCATAATAATTGTCAGGTTTAATTTAGGTTCATGAAACTATTTAAATAATAAAAAAGCGCCTGTGACTTTTTCATCTATATATGAAAATTGTTTTTATAACAAGTTTTCCAACAAAATATTACTTTCTGACAGGTCGAGAGGAAATGCGTGATTTTTCTTTTTGGAATGAAAACCGCAAACAAATTGGTACACAGTTTTAGAACTTCACTGAGGAAGCATCACTGATAGTTTTACTTCAATATAACACTGTTATTGTAAGAAACACTTTTATTATATTTTTATATAATCACAGATAGTATATCAACTAATTTTAAGGTTAACAATTTTCTAGAAATAAAGCCCTGAATAACAATTTCAGTGAACTTTCTGTAGAGACATCGATAGAAATTATATATAACCAGGCTTGTATTTATTATTTTTCTATTTCTTTTTAACACGAACTCCTAAAATTGTAATTTAATATTTGAGTTTCATACGTTTTTACAATTCAAATAGTAAATACTATAACCTTGTTTAGGTTCTATTCAAATAAAATGTCTTTCATAGCACGTAAATATTATTTCGTTACCAATAAACTATTAAACTAAAGTACTTAGCCAATCCACAATACATAAATATATATAAATTGAGAAATAATTAAGAACTAAACATAATTATTGAAGTCTATTCAATAATATAACAATATCCTCATTTGGGTGTTACAAATATTTAATTATTAAATTAATTATTCAGTATTATTCAAATGTGTATGTACGTCTAATGTTTTTGTCAGAATTGTGTAATTAAGTCATATACACATTACACACTACACAATCAATAAGTTAAAAATAATAGTTAATTAGCACACAAGTATTTTCTAACCTATACCAAATTACTATCATGTCAGGAATAATTATAAATTTAAATAAACAACTGTTTGAATATAAACAATGAAAATTAGGAACAATATGATGAATTGGATGAAAGATACATCATAAAGTTTAAAATCTTGTGATCCACAAAAAAATCAATAAGAATGTATAGGTAGGGGCTCAAATTTAAATCGATATAACTTATAGATATTATGGCTGTTTCTCTATGGTATGGTTTTATAACATTAAATAAAACATAATTCGAATATAGAATAAGGACAAAGAAAATGAGATGTAATTTTTTTTCACACAACTAATTGGCGTTCGATTTTCGAATTGCTTCAAATTTCGAATATGGAAGAAAGACAGAGAATGAGATGTTCTTTTTTTAAAGCATTGACATCCAAGATAAAGAAGGCGTTAGTATAACGGACCTCCTTTAGTTTAATGTAAATATTTTATACCGATACTAGGGCATTAAAACTCGAACTATATACCGAACATTGGACATCAAGCTTTATTTTATATTTTTATCTTCATTTTAAAACAGGACTTTAACAGTAAGGGTTTTCTTGGGATATCTATAGCACTTTTAACAAGAATTATAATACAAATTAACTAAACTCACAACAGTTGCGATGTTTCTCTTAAAATAAGCAAGTATGTTTCGATTCAACATAAGATACTTTCCTATGTATATTGTTTTCTATATAATACATTTTTTAATTTAAAAGTATAAAAAAGAACACGAGAAGTTGCCACGTGCACGTCCGTCTTCGATGTGTGTAGTGTGATGTGTGTACGTCTTTGTAAAAGAGACGCACGGCTCAGAAACCGAAACTCACGTTGTGGTTCACGCTCTTAGAGGCTAACGCTGATCGCGGCGAGTTTGGACCAGTTACTCTTAGCCATGTTGACATCTAGAAATATACCAATTGAGTTATATCATCAGAATTTAATGTACAGCACTTTTTACTAACGAAACCTATTGTTAATTGGTTTGGGGCAAAAATTCGCCGGTTTGACACTAACAACAGATGGAATGAATGAATTTTATATTAAAAAAAATATAAACAATGGTCAGTAATGGTTTCATTTGTTTATATTAATAAGTACAGTTTGAAAACGGTTGGGTAATTTTTGGGTGCAATAAAATGCATAATGTTACTAAATTTTATATAACTGCAGTGAAAAACAAAGTTTATATTTCGGAGTACATACCTGCAGTGGAACACCCCTGGAGTCATCGCGGGGATCCTTGTTGGGCGTGGAGCAGCGCGACGCTCGCACCGCGGCGTGGGGGGGTGCGGGGCTGTGCGTGGCGCCGGGGAGGAGGGAGGGGGGAGCGGTCCCCCGCCCCGATACGATGCTCGTGTTTGCTCCCCAAAACCCGCTAATTGTCAAGGCACTGTCGTCTATTGCCGGTAGAGTTGCTGGCAGCCAACTGCAAAAGGAAATGTTTATCAACTTTTACTTAAATTTCGTTCGTTTAATTTTATACCAATACTAGCACATGGGACGACACTTTGTGTGATCCACAAATTGTTGTTCTGAGTCTGGGGGTTCTTTGTGTCCGTTTCATGTATATTTGTAAAGTCCTCCGCGACGCAGGATATATTCCTAATGCGGAAGTTGTCTTTTTAGAAGAACATACAGAAGAATATAAAGCTATTAGCTGTACCGTGCCACGCTTCGCTATGGCACACTGTGGTAACGTGACGTGTTGTATAATCGTGTCAAAATTTGAGCTCAATCGGTTCAAAATTTTGTGAGTATTTGAAGCGTACATAAACCGAAAACATTTTTATATATATAAAGCAAATTATTAACAAGTTTTCGATAAGTACCATAAGCTTTATCACATTATACTTATCAAACTTGACCCACTTCTTCCAACAGCATGATCATCAAGTACAGTAAGATCACACGTACACATTTTTAAATCTGCTAATTCTAAACAACTTTAAGAGTAAAAGGACGTATAGAACATGAAGTTAAAATTATGTACTAATTTTGATGAATAACATCTTTTCTTACATTTGCCTGCAATCTATGAGAGTAATTTCGTGAAAAGGGACTGAAATGCGTAACAGAAAACCGGGGAAGCGAGCGCTAATTAATTTGACCAATGAATGGCGCGGTGCAATGACTATGCGAATACTGTATACTTTACGCACTTTTTATCTACTATATATTAGGTACCAACCTGTCTCTCTGCTGCGGCGTGTAGAGAGCTATGCTGTGCCTCCATCTATATACGTTAGGGTACTGTTCAGCGTTAATGCTTAAGTCATACAACGCATCATACACCAAACGATCCATCTTAGTTGGCTCTTCTCTGAAATCAAATTAACGATGTCACTAAAGGAAAACAACCTTTCATCATCAACAGCCTATAATATTCCCTTGCCTGACATAGGCCTCTCCTTAGAAAGATTTATATAACTGCGTGATGTAATTCACTTTTTCTTCAACCTTTATTTGAGACAATTCAAATTACTTTATTGCGAAAATCGGTAGGTGCAATGATAATTGTGATTTAATAATGTGGCATAGCTTCTCCATTGTCAGCCACTCGGCATGCAATACTTAACATTTTATAATCACATGATTTAGGAATCTAATTACAACATTGTTCATATTCAGAGATTTAAGAATGTTAATATATCACATTACTATAAACTAAATGAAAAGAGGTGCATTTTATGTCAGTTAAAAATAAATTACAATAGAATGTCACCATATTTTAAGATTAAAACAAACAGACGCAGATAAAACATATTATTAGTCTTTGTCATTATTATATAGTTTATTCTTTATTATTTATGTACAGTCACATTATTTACAAAAAAATATATAAGTACTCTATCAGTCAATCTAGCTTTCATAGTACAAGCTTTGCTTCGTCTGAAACTAGATGGCGTTGTGTGTCAGATGTCCGAAATCTTTATTATAATATTTTTTTCTAGTCTTTCTTTTTGGTGTGTTCAGAAGATTCACACACAATATCGTTGAAATACATAGCTACTCTTGCCCTGAAGTGTAATTAAGGTCGCACAAAGTTAATTCTCTAATTATAATCACCTTTAGAAACTCTCTTTATCGCGTAACTCTCATCTCTTCTTTTAAAGAATAATTTAATTATTTTGTCAACAAATAATTGTCAAGCGCACCTTAAAACGATCGTGATTGTATTGATCTAGGCACTCGTCTCCTCGCAATGTATGAGTTAGGTTGTGTAACAATTTAAGTATATACATATTTGTAAATGGCTCCAGTATTTTAAATATATTATATAACAAAAATCTACATATATATCAGAATCCAACGTGAATAAACGCAAGCCTATATTTAGTATAGGATCTCAGTTTCAAAAACTACTGCCAGCACAATTTCAATGGAGCTAGCTACCCGCCTACAAAGGTTCGGATGATTAGCGAAATACCTCACCCGTAAATGAACGGTTCAGCGACAGCTCGATCGCACGCTTCGGTCATTTCATCTCGATCATCTTTCTCTGAATGATCAGAGGCTGAGTGGTACACCTCTTCGTCGGAGTGGCTCGAGCCTCCCGACTCGTCCTCGGATATCTGCTGGAAGTGCACACGTCACGGATCAGTGCGTTGAGTCGGTTGGTTAGTACGTGCATTCGGATCGCTCAAACTGTGATATTATAACGAAGGAAAAAGAAAGAAAAGAAAACAAAGAAAGAAAAACACTATTGCTCTTAAATTGGCTTGCATAAATCATCGCCATCTCCGGGATTGATAAGCTAGCTCAGAACGAGTGGTATGTGTTGCCTTTCTGACCACTTTTCGATCACCTGATTTTATTGGTTACTAGTAGTAATACTGATCTGTTTCGTGGAAGTAAAGGCCTATACTGCAGAAGCTAATTACAATGTTAGCGTTTGAGGTGGTGGCATAAGCACGTAGCAGCAATATGCAGATGAAAGCGAGCAGGTACCTCTGGCTGCACGACCCGGCACTTGGCCACGTCGACGGTGAAGAGCGTGGGCGCGCCGTCCCCGGCGGGCGAGTTGTTGCTCACCACGCTCTCGGCTTCGTTGTGCTGCAGCTTGCCGTCACCTTTCAACAAGATAAATAACTAATTAACATGACGGACCTGTTGGTCTAGTGGTTAGTGACCCTGACTGCTACGCCGGTGGTCGTAGGTTCGATTCCCACACAGGACAAATATTGTGTGATGAGTACGATAATTTGTTCTGTGTCCGGGTGTAATTTATTTTTTATTTATTTATTCTTGTGTACACAATAATGGGCACAGAGGTGAGCTTAACCCATAATTGTGTTCTCTTCCAACAAACCTTAGAGTGAAGAGAGGATAGCACAACAAGAGAGAGTCGTGTGAGAATATACAACTGAATATAAACAGAAAAAGAAATATAAACGTAATAACCGAATATCATGTAAATAAACTATAATACAACACAAGTTTATACATCACATTAATAACCATAATATGTAACATTAAATACCTAAATACTTACATATATTTGTCTATAACATGTATGTATTTAGAAATATATAAGTATGTTTATCAGCAGGCTGGTTACCGTAGTGCAGGCTCTGCCTAGTTTGGGATCAGTGCCCCGAGCACGAACAACTTGCGAAAAAGTATTCGTATCGTCTTCGACAAAATTTGTATGACATTTGTGCAGCGCCCCTATCGTGCGTAAAAGTAACTAATTTTGGCAGCACGAACGTTTTGAATTTACCTTCGTATCGTCAACGTATCGTCAAGCATTCGTTACGTTACACTTTATAAACAAAATTGGCAGCACGAATGAAATTTTGACGTACGTTCGAAGGCTGGCTATCGAGCACCTGTCAAACTTAGTCGAATGTTTATTCACCTAAGATTTAGCCGTGAGAAAAGTTTCGAAACAATCAATTTCTTTTAAAACTATTATTTTCAAGTATTAACGGTTATTTTTTATAGAGATAAAATGCAAAGACCGCCGCTTTAGTCCTATGTATGTTCTTGTCGCAAGTTTAATTGAAAATAAAGGTATTCAACAACTAGATTCGAGGTGAGCAAATCTTGTTTTATCTATAAAGTGTAAACTAAATATTTGTCAGAAACATTTGAAGAAACTTCTACTATATTAATAAAATGTAGTATACTTAGTATGTACCTATATATCTATTAATCTTATTAATTATTTTTTAGTGAAATGAGGCGAAGAGAAAAACAAAGAAAGATAAAAGTGAAGAAAAATCTGTCTGTTTGTAATATAAAATAATAGGTTTTTTTAATGCTCACACGGTTGTTTGCAAGATACCTATACCTAAAAACCAGTCTAACTATTTTTTGGGTTCGGGTAATCTTCAAAACGGCAAACGGCGGTAGCTGTCTATATAAGGAGTAATTTAGGCTCAAAAACTTTACTAAGGCAGCGCTTTTCAAATTCTACGCAAACGATGTTTCGGGCACCAGCTAGTCCTTTAAATTTAAATGACAACGAATTTCGAAATATATCGCTTTAAGCTAAGAAGTAGTAAGTAGTAGACTTAACCAACGAAATAACTAAAAATGGTTATTTCGTTGCGTTATATGCCGTGGAAGTTGGGGCGAGGGGTATAAGAGCTAACTCCCTCTATAACCTGTTTAATGACCTTGGATTGCTCAGTAAGGTTTTTCCTTGAACAAATATCCAAAGCGCATTGCTAGGCTCGTACCAAATTAGGTTAGATAGGGGGGGTTACCCAGCAGACAGGGATGAAAGGTATATAGTAAAAAATGAGCTAGTATGAATATTTTTTATTTACCATAATTTTAAAATGAATTATACAGAGTTGGTTTTTATACATTACATACACATGTACATGTTATTTACAGAGAACATTATTTACTTTGAAAAAGTTATATGTCTAGTTAATAATTTTAATTTAATTTTACACAATTACGATTCTATTAACGGTTAAAATATCATTGCTTGTTTTGAGTTTATTTTTCTTCAGGAGACTTCCACTCCTCGCCACTGCGGTGACTGGAGAAGACTGAGAATGAACCTCAGATGCTGGTAAAGGAGGAGCCACAGTCGGTTGGCTGCTTGAGCCCGCAATATTCCAATCTACAATAAAATATTGCAACATTTATTACTTATATAATAACGAATATAATATTTTCAGACATCTGACACACAACACCACCTAGTTTCAAACTAAGCAGAACTTGTACTATGAAACCTAGATTGACTGATATGAGACATTAGTAGTCCCTGGTATGTTTATCTGTAGGATTGCTGTGGCGGTGTTCAAGTAACATTTATAAAGTGACAGATGTTATCTATATTTACAATTGAAACTTTATTTTAATGTCAAGTAGCAGTGTAAGTCTCATAACAACGAGAAATTGAATTATAAGCAATAACGTCAGAAATTTATCATATTCTCAAACATCACATCTTTATTTTACATTAAAGTACATTCAATATTGCTAATAGTACATACACTCACCTTTCCAGAATTCCACCATAGCTACGTATTGTAAATGGCTTGTTCTCACTTTGTCTTTTATGATGTTGGGATTTTTGGCGCAGAAGATGATGAAACACGTTTTCGTCTGTGCTATTCAACAGTTCGATTTATTGTGGCACGACTTACTGTGGTTTATTTTAAAGAAATTTTTATCAATTTCTTTTCACATAACACAACGATCTAGTGGTATACGACTTAGCTATTATTGAAAGCTTGGATTTTTGTCACAATCGACAGCCAACACGACGACAGCCAATACATAATATTTTCTATAAAATGCTTCTTAAAATTTCAAAGGTTTACAAATAATCTTAAACTTGGTGATGAATTTACAATAAAAATAATAAACATTTTATTGACAAAGCGTCGTAGCCATGGCAATAAATTGTCAAGTGGAGACGTGTTTTTCAGAAACCGAAAAAAATGACAAAATAATAATTTTAATTCTCCAAATATACCACATTTTAAAATGTCCCATACCTCATTTAAGATTTACTATGTGTTTATATAAGGATATTTTGTTTTAATTGTCAATAAATAGGTAGTTTAACCGAAAGTTATAAAAAGTTCACTATTTCATTAAGTTTTCGAACGTATAGTTCATTCAATAAGATGTTGAATTCGTTCTTAAGTGCACATCCTTATTTACGTTAGGATGACGTCACTAACGTAATCGTATCGAGCTCTCGATACCTTAACGTTAGTGCTTCGTGCTACCGCCTATCGTAAAACTCCGTTAACGTATCGAGGACTCGATACGTTTACGATACGCATTCGAAAATTTTTCGTGCTCGAGGCACAGATGGAGATGTGTGTTATTTTTTTCTGTATGTTGGTACATACAAAAAAAAGGAATGTATCTAAACATGATAATAATAATATTTTCTACTAGCCAACCCGCGCAACTTCGTCTGCGTCTCTCAATAGTAATACATTTTCTCCGTTTTTGAAACATTCTTCATTGGTGCTCCGCTCCTATTGGTCTTAGCGTGATGATATATAGCCTATAGCCTTCCTCGATAAATGGGCTATCTAACACTAAAAGAATTTTTCGAATCGGACCAGTACACGGGTCACCTGATGGAGTAACAACCGTCGCCCATTGACGCTTGCAACTTAGGAATCACAAGCGCGGTGCCAGCCTTTGAGGTGGGACAATGGGAGTACACTAGTAAAAAAAAAACATAAAAAGTAATGAAATATATGAAATGCCAACTCACCAATGTCATGATCAAATGTTAATCTTCTGACAAAACTGTCACTCTTGGGGCTTGTCGATAACGTTGACCTATTCTTTCTGAACGAAGCATTTTTCTTACTATTTCTCTCCAGTGCCTCAATCTTCCAATCGCACCTACACTTGGATGCCTTCGTCCACAACTCGGTGCACTCTCCCTCGGACATGGCAGGGGCTTTAACAGCTTCCCCCTCAGTCAACTCCTCACATATAAAACTCGCTAAACATCTAACGTGAACATCAATGACATATGTCATTTTGGCCCTACTCGAACCTCTGTAAGACGGTTTTCTCTCGTCATCAGAACTAAATATATCATCGTTTGGACAACGCAATTTAATTAAAAACTCCAATAAATTATTTACATCGTCTAAGTCAGTCGTCTGTTGCTTTAGTTTGTAGACGGCTAGCTGTGCTAATCTAGAATGTATTAAGGCGAAGTCTATGTTCTGAAATCGTTCGTCGTCCATATATGTAAATATTGTATGTTGTAAATGTTTCGCTTCCGACTTGAGAGATTCGCCTGCCGTTTCAGGTTCGGCGTTTAAGGAGAACGTTAGAGCGTCCGCTATTCTTTTAGCGAAGACCTGGCAGGTTCGTTCGATACATAGTAGCTGGCTGACCGTGTGGTTGACCGGTGGAGGTGTTTCACCGTTCACTAATTTAATGTTAGGCTGCCTACACAACCTCTGTCTGATTGGATCTGTTTTTCTCCAATGCGGTCTGTCCGAGGATATTACACAAGATTTCAAAGCTACGCATAGCTCTGAGACGGGACTTAGAGTAGAATCTTTCGGTGGACTTTGTTGAATACTTAAACTTAGTCGTGACAGCGTGAGGTCGTCTGCGTGTTGAGATTGAGCGCAGCTATCGCTGTATGCGAAGGAGCAGGCACTTTCGTATTTAGTTTTTAAATAGTTTTCTAAGAGATTAAGTCCTTCTGATGTTCGTAAGTCCGTGAAAGTGTCTAAAAACGGCCAGTATTCTTTCCAGCCTACTTTCATTTGTTCCGCTAAGGTCCTGGGGACAGAAAACACATTGAATAATAAATATATGCAACTTTAAATTATAAATGAAACATATAGCACATCTCTAGAACTGTTTCATATTGATAAGGGATGTCTTTACACAACTTATTATTAACTGGCTAAGTAATTAAAACCTATTTTTGTAGTAAAAGTAAATGATTATTTTAATATTGCTCAAGCATTCATTTTTCACTTCGTTAGTGGTAAAACTTTTTGTTCATATTATTATTTATAGCAACATTAAAAATTTTAATGGTACTCGGCATCTAAGACATACATAGATATGTACATGAGTACCGACCTGCCAACAGTCTCGAGCCCCTTGGTGGTCTCCCGGAGGCGGAAGGCCTGCGGGCGCGGCGAGTGCGGCGCGGGCGAGGCAGAGGGGGCGCGGGGGGCGGTGGGCGAGGGGGAGGGGGGCGCCAGCGAGCGCGGGGGGGTCTTCCAGCGGCGCCGGAACACCTCCGCCGCGCGCGGCTCCATGGGGCCCGCGTACGCGCGGATCTCGTACCGAGGGCTCAGCGGGTTCGAGTTTATTTCCTGCGCGACGTAAATGTTTTACGTTCTATCTGACACCATATAATTAGATAAATAATATTTATAATGTTTCGCAGACTGAGCATCGAACTTAATTTTGTTATTTCTTTATGAACTGAACAAAGAACCTACAAAAACATCTATCAGCAACCACCCTCATTAGTAATAACAATATTATCTAAAACTGTTGATAAAAAACATCATTAATTGCAAACAGAGCACTGAGCATGGATTAGAATGATCAAAAACCTTTTTAAAATTGTCCTCTAAACAAAAGAAAACGACGTTGTCAAATCCTAATTTATTTTTTAAAAGTGGAATTTCTTTAATTTAAAAAAAAGCAACAGTACCAAAGAAATGGACACCAATGTACGGTATATAATATCCGACGCCCATTGTGAAACAGAGCCTTTTGACCCGCAGGTAAATTTAGTGTTATTTGTGTTTTGTCCCATAGTAAATGGCAGCGTACACATCTATAAAGAAAGAAAAAACTACCTTGTCATATACCCTTAACTATAAAAATTGTATGCCAAATGTTAATAGGCCAGCAATAAAGCATTATTTTATTTAAATTCACTTTTGGGAAACGGGGGGGTGAAAGTGGGCGTCTAAATATAAATGAGAGGAATTAATACTCGTTTGTAAAGAAGAAACACAACATTTTTGAAGTATATCTCTGGTTTTGATCATTTTTGAACTTCGAAGGTGCTAAAGACGAATATCGATTTTATGTAACTATGTACCATATAAACACCATCTAAACAAAAACGGAGTGACGGGTCTTTGAACCTCCGGTCGGTAGACAAAAAAATTAAGTTATTTATATTAACAATATCAGAAAACTATAGAAGTGTTGGAAAAAAGTCTTGTTACACATTTTTTGGTCTCGCTCTCATCCGCTCAGAGCGTGTAACGTCAAAGTTTGGATGGATGGATGTTCGGTATCCCGAGTCTGTAAAGTGCAATTCAGAGTGCCTAGTGTGAGTTTTCTTCACTTATACTCGATCGTCACGTTGACTTCACTCGGCGTTGCGATTGGCCCGCATTGAAACTCGCTCCCGACGGCTCGCCGTCGAGAGCGAGTTTTTGTGAAATAAACTCACTCTAGGCCCTCTGGTCTCTCTCACTCAGGTCGCACAGCGCTAATTATTAACAGTTATATTTGGTTGAGAGTTGGCTCTCCTATCGTGTAACTCTATCAGTTGTGTGGACTATAGAGGAGTGGTGGTGGCGGTGGCGGTACGTACGGGCGGGTCGGCGGGGGTGAAGGGGCGGCCGATGGTGGGGGCGGCGCTGCCGTCCTCGCTGTGCAGCACGGGCACGTAGTAGCGCTCCTGCAGCATGCCCTGGATGGCCGCCGGGACCTCCGCGCTGAACGTGCTGGTGCGCTTGCAAATTATCTAACAAAATACATTCACTTTAACAATAAGAAATGATAAAAATATATATATTTTTTAACACTTCATGTTAACCATATATAGGAGCCAAAGTGAGCTGCTACGTATATTATGCCTATTGATAAGGAACCTCTGTGAAATCATGACATCCTTAATAAACTTTAAAAGATGGAATTTTGTTTACGCAATTTTATAATATTAAATTTTGTTTTTCTTATAAAAGTGAAATCTACTAACATCTTTGGGCTGTTCACCGAACTTGTTAACAGCTGTTGTGTTACACTGCGGGAACGACGTCAACACGTCGACCACGTGCTCGGCGCCATACTTTGCCGCAAAGTGTAGGGGCGTCTCGTTCATCGCCTTGTCGGGCGTGTTTAGGTAGCGGTCCACGAGAATCGCTGCAAATTCCTGCAAATAACAGATTAATACCCAGATGGTTATAACTGGATAAATAAATGTGTAGTAAAAAAGAACTATCAAAATGTTATTTATTTAAGCGATTTGTCTAGTACCGCCAGAAGCTTACAAGTTCTATTATTATTAGTATAGTGATTTCTTTTTGGCTAGTCACTAGGTTTAGTAAATCCTGACAACGGAACAACTGAAAAGACAAGCCATCTGTTATCAATTGTTAACTTTATTGTACAAAATATAACGCTTCCTTGGTAGTCAGGTAAAAAGGAAAACAACTATATCAACCACCCTCTGTTTTAGGAATAAGATGGCAAAATTAATATACGTCACACATCTCACACTCGTCCGTCTGGTTCCAAACTAGGCAGAGCCTGTACTATGGTAACCTGACTGCTGATAAACATACTTATATATTTCTAAATACATAGATATTATAGATAAATTACACCCAGACGCAAAACAAATGACCGTGCTCATCACACAATTATTTGTCCTGGGTGGTAATCGAACCCACGACCTCTGGCGCAGCAGTCAGGGTCACTAAACACTAGACCAACGGGCCAGTCGATTACTAGTTCATTTATACTTTTCCTCTGATACTTCATTGTAAATATTACGAAATTAATAAATAATAGTATACATACTAGTGCAATGATTTTTACTGCCCTTGCGAGGTCGCAATATCACGATATCAAATGCACGAAGGACCATTTATGTGGCCGCAAAACAAGTCGTCACTAATTCAGTGGTGAGTTTGCGGGTTATTCACCAATCGCTGCCTACTTTTCTGCTAATTTTATTTGAAGTTAGCTTAGTACTTTTTTATTCTACCTTTGTAGGCATCTATCTATCACGTTATTTAGGCGCAACATATCATTTAAAAATATTCTTTTGTATCTAGTTCTAATTAAGTTGAAGAGGATACTCAATACGACAAAAAAAATGAGTTCTTGTTTTTTTTTTCGGTTACCTTGCAAGATTCAGCATCTGCGTCCATTCCGTACAGCGTCTGCACGAACGTCGGGTTGCCGACAGTCGTCAGTATGAGGTTGCAGATTTCTGCGTTCTTTGCCTTGGCCGCCACGTGCAGGGCGTTGTAGCGAGAACCTTCCTGTAATTTATCACGACATTATCACAATACAACAAAGCGTCTATAACTGTGATACTGTGTGGAATGTTTGAAGTCGCGGCATCAATTTCCATTTGCGTCAAATAATCAAACATTATTTGTATTGCTATGGGTGTTTGTATGTATAACTAGCTGTAGTGCGCTCGCTTTGCTGTGGCAAATTGTAGTTGTATTGATGAGAAATCTATTTCTATAAAAGAAGAATCTGTCAGACTGATTGATCAACGTACAGCTGAAACCGCTGGGTCTAGAAGCATGAAATATTGCACAAATGTTCCTAAGTGACGTAGGTAGTAATGATTTTTAAAATAGTGTAAAATGGGGTTGGAAATTTATATGTAACATTATTTTTGGTAGCAGCGTTTTCTAACTCACAGTTAATAGTCATTAAAAGTATTAAAAAAACGTTACTAATTTTTCAAAACTACCCTTAAAAAGGGTGCAGGTTTTTATGGAGAATATACCTATCATCTTGATTTATTGTATCCACGCCGATTAAGTCGCGGGCAAAAGCTCGTGAGGAACAAAACTATCTTTAAACCGGTTTCTATATGGTGTCAAAATTTGAGGTCAATCGGCGCAGAACTTTTTGAGTTTGTGAAGCGTACACAAACATTTATTTATGTATATCTATACTATATATTACGTATCTATTATGAATAACAGTCGCAGTTTTTAATACGGGACAATCTCTTGCGCGAGGAGGAGTAGTAAAAGTAGGAGTACCAGGAGTACCGACAACTAAGTAAAATACTGCTTTTTTAAATTACCTACAATACGGCCATTTATAGTAAGTGGTACCATGTCTACTTCCTATTTTCATTTCATTTATTCGGAAACAATTTACAATTGTGTTTGAATGGTAAGGACTTACTGAGTCATCTGCGACTAGTCGTTAAGTATACCGTTACAGATAACCTTTTGTATGATAATGTAATGATTGAATACTTAATTAATGATGTCTGTTGTGTGCACATTCCTGAGATTATGATGACGGGAAACTACATTCGAGAAATTAAGCAGCTGTTACGTTAAATGTTAAATCTATCATTGTATGACATTCAAAACCTTTAAAGTCAAAATTTAGGTTATTTTTATAAATCAAAGCAAGTAAACAAGGATGTATCTATAGTCAGACCCCTGACCAATCAGGTTCTAAGAAATTATCGTTTCGTACGAAAGCTTGGAATCTGATTGGTTAGAACGCGGGGCTTGATCGATATATACAGACTATAGTCACATGGATCGCATATCGCATAATAAAGGCCATGATTTCATAATATCTAATGGCATCTGTAATCAAAAAACGAGTATACGGGACCATCGACCTCCACGAGGTTCTGCAGTCTCAGTGTCGCTTTCCTAGAGACGTGTGGTATCACTAACTCTAGTAACATTGCATCATCTGTCTTTCTTACTCCTTTCTCACGTCTGCAAACATTAAATTCTAAAAAAGGGTTGGCCTCGGACATGGTACCGTCTTTCAAAGAAGTCAGAAAAAGTTTATTATATTGGAGTTTATTTTGAAACTAAAAAAATACCTTAAAACATTCTTAATAAAAAAAATTAATAACTTTGAATTCAACTCAATTAACTACGTACATCCCTGCTTAAAGAGATCTATAAAAACCCGAATTGACGTCATATTTATGTTAGACGTATCATCATTATCATCATCAATAATCATCATCCCTGGTAAGTTTCATTAACCTATAATTTTCGTTTATCGCATTGACAGTTTAGTACATATCTAGTCAGAATAATTTGTACCTGCAATATAGAAGGTGTGTTCCCGCTGCTCACGAGGAACCTCGGGTTATCCCACACTCTGTCTCGAACGGTGGCGGCAAGACCTGCTTCTATCGATTTACGAAGCGCTACCATTTCTTGTGGAGATGGCGCTTTAAAGGGATACGGCTTTTCACCCATCACCGCTGCAATGTCACACAACAAAATACAATTATTATTTTGTTTGATTATAAGTCAGTAGGGTAGTTTTATTTTGGAAACAGGAGCAAGAAAGTTCAAAAATACTATTAGGCGAAATACTGCATTGCGAATTACTACTATTTAAATTGCAATAAGTTTTATAACGTAAACCGCCCTAGTGATTACATTTCACTATTTCTCATTTTGATGTACATTCAGTCAAAAAAGTATCTTGAATGGATGATTTGTTTATGGTTCCTAATTCAAATTTTGTTTTTTTGTTGTTGTTAGATTAGCACAAATGTTTTCCATTTTGGCGCGGAGTTTGAGTTGCATCTGTTATTAATATTAAATACAGTGCTGTTTTTAGTTATATCATATCTAGTGTGTATTGCGGATTTCATATTGGACAAAAACATCGAACAAAGAGTTTGTCTTAAATTTTGCATCGCCAATGGAATTTCGGAGTCACTGAAAATGTTACAGAAGGCTTACGGTGATACGACTTTATCAAAAACACGTGCTTATGAGTGGTACAAAGCGTTGAAAAGCGGTCGAGATGTTATGAAAGATTTGCCTCGCTCTGGTAGGCTATCAACGTCTGCAACTGAAGTTAACATCGCAAAAGTGAAGGAAATAGTGACTGAAAATCCTCATTCAACTTTGAGAGTGATAGCCGCCGAACTTTCTGTATCTCACAAGTCGATCCGTACCACTTTAACTAATCATTTGGGTATGAAATATGTTACCGCTCTGTTAGTCCCAAAAGACCTAAATTTTCTCCAAAAACTCAATCGCATGAGAGTCGCTGAGGACGAGTCAATTCCGATCCAACATTCATTCATGAAACGCATTGTTACTGGTGACGAGACGTGGGTTTACGAGTTTGACATGCAAACTAGTCAACAAGCTTCGGAGTGGCGCCTTCCAACTGAACCGAAACCGAAAAAACCACGCCAAAGTCGAACAAAAGTCAAAGTAATGTTCACTGTTTTCTTTGACTATCGCGGTGTTGTGCACTCGGAATTCTCGCCGGAAGGTCAAACGGTAAATAAAGAATATTGTTTAAGCGTTATGCGGTATTTAAGAGAGCAAATTCGACGAAAATTTTCGAAAATTCTTGGATTTTGCACCACGATAATGCGCCTTCGCACAAGGCCATCATTGTGAACGAATTTTTTTACCAAACAACAAATACCTTCTCATTATTCTTTTTCCTAAATTTAAATTACCACTTCGTGGCACCTGTTTTCAATCGGTAGAAGACATAAAGGAGAATATGCGGCGAGAACTGAACTCAATCCCGAAAGCAGCGTTTAAAAAATATTTTGATGATTGGATTATTCGTTCGCGTAAGTGTATCGTTTCTGAAGGAGCATACTTTGAAGGTGATAAAATAAATTTGGATGAATAACAAACATTTTGTGTATTATTCATCTTTTCCCGTTACTTTCTTGACAGAGTAGTATTGTTTGATAATTGTAAGTGACAATTAGGAGAAGTATTTTCTGTCTAGTTCTGTTAGTCCAGTCTCAATAGTCCTAATATTGCAAACCATAAACAGGGCGATTATTCATTGTCTTTATTTCCAGGGTATTGTTCGCAATGCAAAAATCTTTAAATCTTTGTCACATTTATTACGTGCTTGCAATCAAAATTATACATGTGGTACTTTAGAAGAATTGCCAACAATGAATTATATTTTTGCAGGAAAACGATGACGCAGAAAAGTCATGCAATAAAAAGAACAAAGATTCGCTCCACAAAGGACTTGTTGTTCTTCTATAATAAATATACCTAAACTTTGATTCTTAATTTGACAACGAAAAAAAGCTAAAATCCATAAATATAATTATTATGCAGTACTTCAAAGGCTCGTGTCAGTCACAAAAAATGCCAAAAATAAATTCTGATCTGCCCACTGTTGGGAAACTTTGTGTCCGTCACAGCGAACATTACCAATAACTTCACAAAAAACGGTTAGATTTACAGGTCCGCTATAGCCAAATTATATCAAAAAAAAGTTGTTACGTGTACGTCATTGTTTACTTTTTTACTTATAAAAAAACAAAAATGAAAAAAAAAAAACAGAACTAATTAACCAAAAATGTTAAATGGTTAATAAAAACATTTCTATACAACTGATAGAGCTAAAATTTTGATATTTTATTTTGCTCACAAATAGCTCTCGTAGGAATTAGGATCTTTTCGTTTGTAACTTTCTATTATCAGTCGGATTGCCACTAAAAAAGTTTGTTATTTTTCTATGAAATTATTTAATATTTGTTCCAACTAAAATGACAAGCTTACAGAACTATAATATTTTTTATTTTTTAGATGTTCTGTGACTGCGTATGAATACACATAAATACTCTTTTTGTACCTGGGCATAATCGCGGGTGTACGACATTCCAACGATTGCCTAATTCATAAAATATAGCCGTATCGTTTAAATTACATAGAATGGACAAATTTTATAGATTGATCATAATTGTTCTAGCTCTGTCCGATAGCCAATGTAGTCCTAGTTACAAACACCGAGTAAATTTAATTAAATCTTGCCTACCGTGAAATATATTTTATCTTTCCCTAAGGAACAATACTTTTGCTGTATGAAAGACACCCTATATTTTCTTCTCTGTACCACTAACTGTAGAAAAAAATTCGTGATTATCGTATTGAGTCGTACATTCACATTTATAACAGTTAAGATTATGTTGAAAACCCCAGGAAATACCAATGTCATCCACCTAGCAATACAGACTACCTCGTCACGTTAATCGCATACACTATACAATGCGTTAAAAGCATTTGATAACACTACATTAAAACAACTACACTTGATTTCAAGCTATTGTAATCATCGTTTGCAATCTTAACTTCGCACCTTTAATAATAAACTGAATTAATTCAAAATTTACGTTTTTCGAGTTTTCAACAAATACCAAATCAACTTCATCAGTAGAACACGAACAATCCAACAGCCGACTCGATACCATGAAAATGGCAGAGATAAGAGATCGTCGTTCTCTTTTTGACGAACTGGCACGTACATGAATGTCAAACTTTAAATGCGATTTCCCACAATATTGAAATTCTAAGTTAATTCAGTTTATGAATAAAGGTGCGACTTGTTTTCGTCGGTATGATTAACAACAAATTTTGTCAACATCAGCCCTAAAGCTGGTTGACGTTAACCGGCCCCAGTTTACAAACATCTGCGTCTAGCTAACACTATTTCCATATACACTGATATAAAAAAAAATTGAAGAGTTTCTTTGTTTAGTTCAACGCAATTACCTACCGCACTACCGGTCGAATATGAAAAAAACTATTTGCATTTGATAGCCCAATTCTTGAGGAAGGTTACTTAACGTTATAATACTGCTCTTAGGTATGGAGCAACAAATTGAATGTAAATTAAGATGTAACTGCATGGAACTGGGAACAACATTTTAACTGTATGTTTCTAATGCGGCAAGTCTGAGAGATCGTTTCAAAAATTAGTACTTTCTGAACAGATGTATCTAATATATATAAAATTCTCGTGTCACGGTGTGCGTGGTTGAACTCCTCCGAACCGGCTCGACCGATTCTCGTCAAATTTAGTGTGCATATCGGGTAGGTCTGAGAATCGGACAACATCTATTTTTCATACACCTATTTTTTTGTTTTTTTGCCAATTTTTTTTTTAAATAATGTATATGGCAAAACAACGTTTGCCGGGTCAGCTACTTGTCTATAATAAGCATTACAAGCGTTGTAAGGTGAATATATATATTATTATAATAAGCTGGTGAGTCAATAAGTAACGAGACCATTGACCCAGACACGCGACTTTCATTTTGTCGTATTTAGGACAGCTGTATTTCTGAAACGCGTGACGTGTTAAGTAATTACTGTTAATTATAGCGACCCTCCTGTTATGTAAGATAAGTGTGACATGCTGTGGACGATTAAACGCTTCTTGGGGTTCAAGTCGGGGGTGATGAATATCTTCTGAATGATAGATTTTATATTTACATAGATAAACTTACGTAAAATTGTTTTTTTTTTATATTATAAATAGGTAAACGAGCAGACGTTTCACGTGATGGTAATTAACTACCGTCGCCCATGGACACCAGCAACTCTAAAGTCACAAGTGGCGTTGTCACCCTCTGAGTCCCTCCTCTAGAATTAAGAAGAGGAGGGCAGAGGTTGCTCTCCGGTTACCACACTCAATCTTCTTTCTTTTTCTAAAAGACACCTCCCGGATTAGGAATATATCCTGTGTCGCGGGGGACTTTACAAACATACATGAAACAGACATAGTGAACACCCAGACTCAGAACAACATTTAGTAGATCACACAACACACTCAGCGTAGTAGGAAGAGACCCACTCATTGAGAACCAACAAAACAATTGCTTAACTAGGGGATTTCTGTAAGGCCGTCCTATCTCTCTGGTCGAGCCCGCCCATACGCGCCGAATCATGGCTCTCCTACGCTATCGTACAAGTTTATGACAAGTTTTTAAAATGTTTATTTCTATAAGTTTATGCTAGGTCATAGGACCTAAATTTTTATTTCTATAAATTTATGCTAGGTCCTCTGACCTAGCATAAACTTATAGAAATAAAAATTTTAGTGGTTTTATAATCTGATAAAATAAACCATAGTAATTTTACCTAGCCTTCAAGAAAAGAGCGTAATCCTGAGTTGCAGGCGTTCATGGGCAGCGGTAGTCACTTTCCATCCGGTGACCCGTCCGCTCGTTTCCATAAAAAAAAACGAGTTCGAGTCTTAACTTCTCATGTCAGTAGACAAATCTCGCTAGGTGTATCACAAGACTTGTTCTCTGGACTTGTTTTCGAATAGAGGGTTACAGTGTCTCTGTCAAATGAATGAATAATACCAACATTTTTTCAGTAATCATATTTATCTGGGTAATACTTTAAGACAGAGTAATCATAACCCAATGTGATTAACTCCGCAAATTCTTACGTTATCTTAAAATACCTACGACGTTCAGTATTAAATTTTATGGTACTGCCAAATGGTTTTTATGGTTTGATAAATTTACGCAGACTTAATGTTTTGTAAGCATGTTAAGAATAAAATCGTGGTTTTTATTTCAAAATATTTCATAATTGTATTGTCTGTTTGGTGACGGATAAAGAATACGGCGTATCACCACCCCTATTCATCCCGTGGGTTTCCTAAGGGCTGATTAAGGAAGCAAACTACGCAAGATAGCAGCACTGCAAAGAGACGGAAAACTTCAAACAAACCCTTGGGCCAACACATCTGACCAGCGTGGCATACAACAGAACTGCAAAGAGAAAGAAAACTTGACACAAACCCGATACTAACCCGTCTGGCCAACGTGGCCAGACGGGTAGGCCAAATCCTTCTTTGTAAGGAGAGGCATATGTCCAGCAGTGGACTATTAAAGGTTGTTGATGATGGTATAGATGATGCTTGGTATAGAGTTTGTGTTGTGTAGCGATTGGTGAAGATTTCAATACTAGCCAATCACAACGCCGAAAGCGGTCCCCGTGACTATCGAGTTGATGTAAAACAAACTCACACGATATGCTAGTATGACGCACACGTGTTAGTTACTCTAGAATGAATCACGCCACTATCGCGCCACCTACGATTCCGGCAATGCTATATCTATTAATAGCTTACTCTAGTTCCGTGAAAATAAGAGTTTAGACTGGGCCTTTCCTTCCTTAGATTATCAGAATTACAAGGTTTTTTTTATGGTATAGGGGGGCAAACGAGCCGACGGGTCACCTGATGGTAAGCAACTACCGCCGCCCATGGACACCTGCAACTCAAAAGTCACAAATGCGTTGCCGTTGATTATTCTTGCCTTTCCTCCGAGCCTCTTTCTTAAACTAGGTTAGGGTCGACTTTTTAAGTCTAGGTACTACGATACGGCAGAGACTTCAATTTTTAACGCAATTTTTAGATTCAAATCAAACCTCCGCAATCCAATTACTAGACGATATCGAAGTTCTGTAGAAAGATTGCTTGTCTGGATTGTCTGGATGCCTATAGCCGAAGCCTATCTGGGTCTACTGAATGAGTGGTTATTTCAGACACCAACCTTCACATTTCTTCATTATTTGAAACTTTACAATGTAAATTATTTTATAATAAATTAATTATTATTAATATTATTTTAGATGCATGTGTCCGTATCGTAGTTAGAAGTATTACAGCATATGGCTTACAGGTTTAACTAAGTGGAATTCAGGTATTTCCAAACAAAAAAATATCTTTATACATAAATTTATAGAGATATATATTTAAGTAGATATGTAGAGAGAATGTTAGTTGTTATCGTTTTGACGAGACATTCCCCGCAATGACACTAATACAATGACGTAATTGACTAGACAGAAAAAATTACCACATCGAAAGACAAAGAGGAAGACCCAAACCTGTGAATACTGTTCCTGGTATTATTTCGCTTATTCATTACCGAAATTTGTAGAAGTTTTTAGAATATACATATATATATAATAGTACAAAGCTGAAAAGCAAATTGTTGAATGTAGCAATTTCGGGAACTCCCTAATAATCTAATGTAAACAAATACACTACCTACACGTCCGTTTACTGATTAAGGTCAAGAGATACACAATATTATCCTGATGGGATTCCCCGTAAAACATGATCGAAAAAATATTTCTGCTGTTTTTGTTATAGAAAGTACTGCGTCACGCAACAGTAATGAAACAAAGCTATCGGTCCTATGGGTGACGAAATTTTATTTTATTTCTTGTACCCGCAAAAAACTTAAATTTTTTGGGCCTTTATGGCTAGTGACAGAAAAATATAACATAGTAAGCTAATAGACGATATGCAATCGTTTTTAAAACAGTAAGAAAGCAAACAAACTGACTATCCAGGTGATAATGTATCACCATTCCTTAAAATGTGTATGTGCATATGTTGCTGACTAAATATAAAAACGTACACATGATAATGGACCTTGTAAAAGTCAGTAACGAAATCCGGAAATCGGAATGCATTTCAAGAATCTGTTTTGATGTTTAAACCTCAAACACTGCTAAACTGAAAGTATTACTGTCTAGGAGAACTATACACTCAGAATACAGATTGTGAAGGCATTACAAAAGTAGGTCAATAGGTGTTTGATAATATAGTAGACATTAGTGATAACAATTGGAAGCTCAGTGTGTGTTGATAACAAGGTTATTGCTCTGCTTCTTTATTTATATACACAAAAGATACAGAAAATCACGTTACTATTTAAAAGTAAACAAAATTTATTAGCTAGTCGCAGACCCTTTTTTTTGGAAAAGACAACTCCCATTAGGAATATATCGCGGGGGACTTTACAAAGATACATGAAACGGACACAAAGAAAACCCAGACGGAACAACAATTTGTGAATCACACAAAGTGTCTTCCCATGTTGGGATCGGACCCACAACACTCAGTGTAGTAGTGAGCGGCGTGGCGACCGCTTAAACCACTACGTCATCCGTGCAGTCAGGCACACACACAACCAAGGAAACAATTGCTTAAATTTCTCTAGTCGAGCCCGCCCATACGCGACGAAGCATGGCTCTCCTACGATAGGACCTAGCAAAAACTTATAGAAATATTTTTTTTTATGGTTTTATTATCTGATAAAATAAACAGGTATTCCTCTGACTTGAGAATATAGACATGGATATTCCGTATACCTACATACATATGGAAAATGATAAACCAACTGAAAATTTTGCCCAAACGATTTGAATAGACGCTTCGCCCAGGTCAACCTGGTTCTAAAACTCAAAAATATTGTACGGATTGAGCTTAAATTTTGACACGATATACAACCCCCTTCAAAGTTTTTATCTATTTATTTTTATCTATTAGCCACATTTGTTCTTTATTTCTCATCAATACAATCACAATGTGCCACAGCGAACTGTGGCAGGGTACAGCTAGTGCATTCATAATTTATTGCACCATTAAATTCAAAAGTTTAAAATCAAATACTAAATAGTCTTTAATAAACATTACACATCAATGAAAACTTACAGCTGTCATTCCCATCAGTGGTATCAGTTGGTTCAGCGCCTCGCAACGCAAACGAAACAGCATCCTGACGGTTCCGGAAGGCTTTGAATCTTGAGGACTTGTATCTTCGTACCAATTCCAGGGCTTCACTTTTATTCTTGTAAACATGGAGAACTTCTGAGTACAAAAAAAATATTTATGTGTATAGTTGATTAAATGTGGCAGATTTCTTTGTTCTTTTTATCTATTCAAGTATAATTAGAGACGTGGGAGAGCCATGCTTCAGTACGTAGGGCTGGCTCTGACTAGAGTGATACCACGGCCTCACAGAAAATCGGTGTTAGCAATTTATTAGTTACTTTTCACTAAGTGAGTGAGGTCACCAACCACCCCACCCTCTTTTTTTTTTTTCCGTGCGGAAATCCCCTCGGCTACCACCTATCGGTGGCATGTCGGACTCGAACCGACTAAAACCGCACGCCGTCTCGGGTACTAATAGCCGGGGAACCAGGTATACCCTAGAAAGGAAGTCCCTGGTGCCCCGACATACCTCGGGCCATCTACAGACGAGCAGACGACCCCTCCCCCCGTGTGGGAACCCCATGTTCCGTCTGCTCCCCGGAAGCGAGCGCGCTTCGCAACGCGCTCGCCGCCACCCCGGAATGCTTCTGCTAGGGTGACAGATGGCCTCACCTGGCGTTGGCTTCTTGCGGATCAGACACAGGTGATCCCCGAAACATCCTTTCCCAGTAATCACCTGCGTCAGTCGGTATGAGAGGGTCCCGTGACGCCTCTCGAGCCAATCCTCCATAACGGGTCTTACCGCCGCGATGACGGCGTGCCCGAACCTGGGGGGACTCAAAAAGTGGCAACAAACCTGTACGTCTGGAGTTGCAGATATTTATGGTTAGTGACAGCACTAACCATCAACTCTTCTTCTCGTTTGCCCCTATACCAAAAAAATAAGAAGTCCCTATCTAATAATGCAGAATTACTATTGTGGTTCTTTAAATCACACCATAGACAGCTTAATTAACTGCTTAAACTTTTTTTTTTATGTAATTTATTTAGTAAGTGATAGTATTAGATTAGATTTTATCTAGTTACACAAAAGAACAATTATGTAAATATAATTATAGTATCCAGTAGACATGTACATATACACTTGTAGCTAAACTGGGGTGGATTGCTCCAAATTATGCTATATATTTCAAAAACAACTAAAAACGCTGACAGTAAATAAGGCATACTGTTCTGTAAAGGAATACTTATCAGATACTAATATTAAGTAAATGTATTAGTGATAGTTTGGTGGCAACTTCATGAGTCTGATAAACCCATCTTCAATAAATTGTTATGTTATAAAATAGATTAATTTGTATGCTATGTTACAGACTACATTTTGACCTGTTTACTACTATAATAGTAAAAATATAAGTAAATAAAAATATAGTAAAAAAATATATAATATTAAAAAATCAGTTAAACAAGCCTATGTATATTGTTAGATTTTTTTTCATGAAAGAAGGGGGCAAAATTACTGCTATATATAAAATTACTATAAATTACATTAAACTTTCAAAACAAAGTTATTAATACTACTAAGTCGAGACAAACTGTTATAATTATAAAACCATAATATGTATACTTAGTTGTCAATAAAGATTTTGATTTGATTTCAACATATTAAAGATGAAATACACTAAATTTCAGTTCATCATCAGAACAACAGTTCTCATTTAAATAAACAATCAACATTAGCTGTCATATGATAAATGTAAATAAAATCATTGGTTAAAAAAGTTAATTACTTTATATTGATAATTAAAGCATCCCCTTAAATAGAAGTGATTAATACTGTTTATCAAATCCATAGTTAATTATGGCATTACTAATGGAATATTAATTCAACAAAAAAGTAAATAAAGAAATGGGCAGACTGCAGTTTTGTTTAATAGCCATTAATTCAATATAATAACCTTGGCGTATTTAGAATTAAAATAAAATAAAATGATGACCTTACTAAATTAATAAGGTTAAGCAAATACTCTTGGTAATGATGATAATAAGTTAGTACACAAACAAGTTGTATAAAGATATTTCGAGAAAGATGAGATGTATAAACATTATGAGCAGATAATAACAATTTGCTAGGGTCTGAAGTATGTAGGTATGCAAGAGACATTTAGTGACCTAAATTATATGTTATCAAAAGAAACTATGATAAGACTGACAATAATTCAACTTCAAAAAGTTGTGGTGAATATAATGTTACTACAAAAATTTAACCATCTATAAAAATACAGGGTTGCAATTTGAGTTAATCTAATCCGAACGTGGTTCAAGTGTTAAAGAAAATATAAACTGAATAAATGTCAAAATAAATTTAAAAACAAACCTTCATCAGGTCCTTTTTTAATTTCACATGGTATATAAACTCCATAATATGTGACTGGTGGTTCATTAGACGTCGGACTTTCTTGCATACTGCTTTTCTTGGTTAGAGAATCAAAACGGAGCAACCTACTAAATAATCCTATAGCACCTTCCCGTTTCTCTGTTGGCGATATAGATATTTCCTCTCTTATACCTCCAATATCTTTGTTACACTCTGGTATAGCTACTGCCTTTGACATTTTCGTCTCCTGAAAATCGTAAACATTTTACTGTTTTGTTTGTGACGCAAAGCGCAGCATGAAGTTTATTTTTACAATGATGACATTTCTATTGCAACTTACCTGAATCGTTAGGCTTGTCATAAAATCATACTCATTACTTTAATAATAAACTATATTTAGTTATTTTAGCACATTTTGTATAAAGTTTTAATCACAGCTAAACATCGGGCGTTTTTTTTTAAACGGAAGATCGAAATACGTTTGGAAAGGTGGATGCCGTGGATGACGTTTTGATTTGACAGTTGATTTCGCAATTCCGTTTGAAGTTTATGTCACTATCACTAGAGTAGCGACGGGAAGGATAAAAAGTAAGACCACAATAAATAATAACGACAGCACATAGATCTCACTTCATTTCAGATACTATAGACGGTATTTTGTATAGATGATGAAAGCATTGACATAAATAGCGAGATAACTTTCTGAGATGCTAAGTTATTTTCACATAATAATGATAATACACAACACAACACATCGGACATTTAACACATAACATCATCTAGATTCAAACGTTTGGCAAAATTTATCCCCATCGCCTGGATACTTGCCGATACCACGTGCGCTTTTCAAGACACTTTTTGCCTAGCACAATTAATTTGTGGAATAAATTATCGTCTGCTGTATTTCCGGACCTTCAAACCTTGTAAGAAAAGAGCGTACTCCTTCCAAAGGTTCGGCAACGCGTTTGTGACGCCTGAGTTGCAGGCGTTTATGGGTGGCGGTAGTCATTTTCCATCAGGTGACCTGTCTACTCGTCTCCCCCTCTTGCATAAAAAAAAAACTTAACAGAGCTTGTATTTTGAAAGTTAGATTGACTGATGGTATATTTTTATACTTTTTAAATTATTTTTTATGAATTTCTTTTTATTCGTAGAAAACACCCAAACTCCGAAACAAATATCTGTAGATATACATCATTTATTTGGTCCGACTCAGACATCGAGCCGTAGACCTCGGTACAGAAGTCGTATACGCTAACAAAACTGCTACCGCTGATACTATCTTTTTCATTATGTATTACCTTTCTTTTTTCTTAGGTTTCCCCATTATATATGTGGAAAACCAAAACCAACATGTTGTTGAGAATAATATCCACAACAAAAATCTTTGGATTTTCTTAATGTCGTTTAATAAAGTACTAAGGGGTCTCCCATTAATTACGTGAGGCGTTCAGGGGTGGGGGAACTGGTCGAGCCGAATATCATCTAATCTTACTTTGGGGAGAGGGGTGGTCTTGGCAAATTTTTACGGCACGTAATTTTTATCCGCAAGAAACAAAGTAAAATTGCGAGAAAACTGGGTTAAATTAATTAAAACATATTCCTACACGGAAAAATGTTAAGTTAAAAATTGTGGATTTAGAAATTTCAGTCTGTTATTTCTCTAACATAACTTGAATTAATTTCATAAGTTACAGCCCACAGAATAAATATTTGTTTTTAATACCGTTTTGTATGCCAGATGAAATTATGACAGATAAGTGAAAACTAATTTTTAAACATGAGATTATTCTTTCCCAAAGTATTTGGACATGCACAGGTTAGATTGTACTAATAATACTAAAATAACAAGTCTAGATATTTTCAGTTTATTATAATGATGTATTGTTTAATTTGTTGTGTTGAGAAAAACACCTTAAAAAGAATCTTGTTGTGTAAATGTATTGTATCTCATTTTTGTCAGATTAGATTACTGTATTACACTACTGTTGCCAAAACATTTAGTGCTTTATTTAAATGTCTAGAAATGCTAAAAAAAAGTATAAAATAATGTCTATTCACACACTACACTCTACTTTATAGACTAAAATTTGTTCTAGTTGGAAGTTTTCAAGCATTTACTGGCTAATCATATTTTACTTTAGAATGACAAATTTAGTTTGCTTGAAAAATATCTTATCATAATAATGTATTTTGTTTTAGTTCTTAGTAATGAACAATTAAATTAATAACAAAACGAATTGTTCAAAACATATTTATTGATGTGACACAGGTTTGAATTATTTCTTTTTATTCTTATTCTTTTTAGGAACAGATTCTAAGGTCTTCTGAACAGCTATTGAATATAAATTTGTATTTATTGTCTTCAATTTGTTTAATTGTTCTTGCAACGCTGATTCCTTAAACTTGAATTCATTTTCCAATTCCTTTGTTGAAATACTAAACTCTGACTCAGAGCGTAGCTCCGGCCAGAAATCATATTTTCTATTCATGAGAATCTCAATTTCTGTGACATCATCTGAATCTTTTTCTAATGTTCTTTCCAGACTGTGCAGAATCATACTTGGTGCGAAATCTTGTTTATAAATAGCAGGGAAGTTGATAGTAAAAAATGCATTTAATACTGGCCCTTTGTGACGGATTATTCTTACTGGTTGTTTACTAGGAATATGCCAAAGAATGACTTGTTCATCATTAGATCCCGACATCAAAGTTTCGCCATCAAGTGAAACGGACAAACAGTTTACTGTTTTTGTATGAGATTTGAAGATGTTTTGTTTATCTTCAGTGTTTACCAACAGATCCCTGTTTCTTGGTGGATTTGTTAGACTGAGTTGATAAATTTGTCCTTCAGTTGTCCCCACAAAAACATTCAGTTCTAATACATCCATTGTAACAGCACTTAAAGGTAAACCAAAGACAAGATTCAACAGCATTTCTCCTGATGACAAGTCATACACTTTACATGATCTGTCACTAGACACAGTAATCAGGCGACCGTGAATGCCTGTTTTACTTATACACAAGCCAGTTACAGGCAGGGAATGGTCAGAAAATATATAAACTGGGTCATGATGACCAGCAGACGATTGAGTGACTAGATCCACCTCGGAATGTGCAGTCACTGTAGCTAAGGACCACACCATGACCATGCCATCATCGGCTGCAGAAACGAAATAACGTCCATCAGGAGTGAATTTCAACAGAATAACCTTTTGATAGTGGCGGTTTATAATTGTTAATAAGTTACCAGAAGCAATTTGCCATAAATATATTTTCTCATCAATGCCTGCGATTAGATACGCACCATCCCGGGAGACTGATAAAGCAGTCGCTTTACCCGGCAAAATAAAACGTATGCCTTGAATTGTTTGGTATGAGTTGAGTGGCCATACGTGTAATACTGGCTTTGTTTTTTCCACAGCTGCCAAATAATCATTTCCGATAAAGGTAAGCGTATTACCTTCAGCTGTGCCGCCTCCTTTATAAGTCATTAAGCTGGTGCCGGTATGTGGGTCCCATACACAACCCGTCCATAATGTATTATTTGAGTCACTTGTAACTAGTACTTCTAGAAGTGAAGCCATTATTGTATTTTACTGGTCAATAGTTAGTATAATGGTTAAAATCTTTGTTTACTATACCAACATGTGCCAGGCACACATCAACAGTGTTGCCAACAGTTAAATGAACTCTCCACCAGACAACATCTAGAACCACCAGAAAACCACTAACGAAAAACGACCCTACTGCAATAGGCACAAAATATTCCACTAAACATTTTTTTGGTACTTGAAATAACTAAGAATGGTTATTTCATTTCGTTATATGCGGTGGAAGTGGGTGGGAGGGGTATACTAGCTAAATCCCTCTATAACCTGATTAAAGAGCTTAGATTGTCAAAATCTTCAGAAGGCTATTTTCTTAAACGAATATTCAAAGCGGCATTACTAGGCTTGTATCAAATATGGTTAGGTAAAGGGGGTAACACAGCAGACAGTGGAGGTGAGCTCTGACACGTCGCAAGGAGTACTCCCTAAACCTACTCCTGGGTCGCAATTCCCAAGCGCTGTCGAAGTCGCATGTGTTGCTCCCATCTATCACGCGATGGACCCCGCAGCCACATGGTGAATCCATGGAACGCTAAGAAATAGGTAATAACTAGTTTTCTTTATTAAAATTTAATACTGATCGTTTTTGTTAGCACCATCATCGTCGGTTGCAGATTAATACGATTCTTTGGTACCGATTTGTTTTACAACGTTTATTGGAATTTTATATTTGTTGTAGCATTCTCCTTCCAACTTCAAACCACAGCGTATTCTTACCATAGCAGATAAAAGATTTAACTTTATTCTATTCCTTAGTTTATATATAACTCAACATCGGCATTGAAATGAGGCAGTATTAAGAGAGTAATACTAAAGGTCGCTAATTTCTCAAATTTCAAACTCCCTCGTATCTCTAGTATGCGGAAGTTCCTTAACATGTTGGGTATTGGTAGACAACAACTGATAGAGTTTCATTGGTTTGAATGATATCAATCTTCACTTCTCTTCTGCTACTCAACCGGATCACTAAAAATAGAGTCGGACCCTGAATTATATCGCTAATCTGCCCAGACCCAATAGTTTAAACTTGGATTTTTTTCCTGTTCGTCCGGGGGATATCAAAAAGAGCATCCTGTCTGTGTGTTGTAAAGCAAGCCGTAGGATGATAGTTACCATCCTAGATTAGGTCCTTGAAGTTATAGCCCACATTATTAACTTCTTTCTCCGGAACCTTTTCCACATTCTGGCACAAAGCCTGCATCAGCTCATTGCCTAAAATTTATAATTCTTATCTTCCTGAGCACTATTATTAAATCCCCATCCTTCGTTTTCTATCAAACGTTCTTGAGGTTTGTGTACACAAACAGTTCTCACAGTTCATCCAGTCCTCTACAATCTTACTATTACAACAAAACCAAAACCAAAACGGGGGTCCAAACCACCAGTTTTAGTGGAAAGTCCACTAGGTTGGCAGCACTGCACGTCAAGCATGAAAAAATCTGTCTGCTTTTGACATCGTGAAGGTAACGTCATAATGACATTAATTTATTCAGAGACAATTTGAAAGTGTTGCGAAATGCAAAAATAAACAGGATTAAGGGTTTGTTTGTTTAGATTTTTGAAAGTGGAATTCATACCGGTACGACCCGGACGACCTTTTAAATCTCATTTAGTCAGACTCCCTGTTTCTACCCCTGCACCCAAGTGAACTGGGTTTTTAGAGAAATATCTTACTATACTTGCTCCATATTAACCCTTGAAAAAAGTGAAGAAAAAAGTCGGCGCTACGCACGACTTCTTAAAAGAGCATTTATCAGAAGATGTCGAGCTTGTATCCGAGGTGGTGGCAGACAATTCGAACACCTCTTATAAAATAGATAAAAAATAAAGATGAATTTATCTACGACTTAAAGCTTTTTATTATTACAATTTAAGACAAGATTTATCCAGCGAATTTACTCTTTTTGCATCTAAATAAGAATCACTGCATTTTTACGTTAAATAAAATTATGTATTATACCATTTTGTAAACTGCATGAACTGCGCATTTTTTTTAAATAGTTGGCCCCTTAGGTTTTTCATACATTTTTTTTTCACAAAAGGCTCTCAAACTTTGTCATAATATTTTTTTTGATCAAATTTCATGTTAAAAATTTAAGTTGATATTTTTTTTTTCCAAAAAAGTACAATAGTTACTCATACTATTTACTGCATTTCTAATAAGATTGTCTGTGAGGAATAAGATAACGCCAAAAACGCAACAATTTAATTAATTTGCGGCCGTGGTGTAGATGTAAGTACAGTAAGGACAATAAAAAAGTATTTTTTATTAAAAACTTCATAATTTGGGCACAAATTGTTTTTTTTTTTGGGTATTTTTTTTGTACGCCAGATAGCTGTACTTTTAAGCGCTCCAGGATTATCCATTCTTACTGGGACACCCTGTATATTTATAGTGTGTTTATATATATATATATATGTATATGTGTGTGTATGTATGTGTATATTTATGTGTGCTTGTGTATAAAATTACGTGTTTTGTGTTGTGTAGTGTATATCTTAGTGATTAGTGTTATAACCTATATGCTCCTACCGCTCACGATTTCTACACTACCTAAAGGTTGACTGGGAGAGAATGCCTAGGGCATTAAATCCGCCGATGTAGAAATTTGCATAAACTTATAAATAAATATATACTACTACACTGCAGTCTGTCCAAAAAAGACAGGTGCATTTTAAAAAATATTAAATTTTTAAAACTAAAAAGTTTTCTTTTCGAAAGAATTGTAATCATGGGATGTCTCGACAGCCGCCATCCTCATATTTCAGCAGCTAAACCTTTGTCTTATAAAATCCTGTGTAATTGAACATGGCGAACGACGACGCGGTTACAGTTTAAAGGTACAGCTACAGTACAAAAGTTTCTAGTTAATCTGACTTTTCATTAATTGAACAAGTTATTAAATACACAAATTGCTTAATTTTTTTAACCGTAACGTTAGTCATAACATTTTTAGAATGTATGATTCTGTAAATGAACAGATTTGAACAATTCTATAATGTCATGCAATTTTATTGTTTTTAAGGATCCCATGAAATTATGGACGTTAGTATTCTTTAAATTGCATATTTGTAAAAAGCTTGCACGCAAAGAAGAATTTCATTTTTGTAAGTGCCTTATCAAGATCACTTACTATTATAATTTAAAAAGGTATATAACTTTATAACTATAGCCTTTGTAAGATGTTAGGGTATTAAAAAAGAAAACACTATTTTTCTAAATTGGTCTCTACGAAAAATTTGCTAAGCTGGAGGACCATCCAAACAATGGACTTCTGCTCTAGAATCACAGTTGTGTAGAATGCACCTTTTATAATATAATAGACCATAATATAATAGACCATCTTTGTAAATTGCACTTCCCGCTAGAGATAGGCAAAAGACCGGGTTTCAATCTGTCAGAGGGTTTAAGCCTGGTTTAAACCCGTTTATGTGGGAGGGCTCCCACAGGGTTTTTATTCGGGTGTTTATTGATTTTACTGCTAATAGTCGTAAATGTTAATATCAATGAATAAGCTACTATGTACTATTTTCTACTCTCATATCTATTTGTTAAATTCTTGTTGCCTGAAACTGGCTAAAGCGGGTGGATAATACAGCAAAAGTATGCTTCTGGGGCAAATAATTTGTTTGGCGTAGCCTGGATATTGAACTAGTTGTGTGGTGAAAAGGTATATATGCAGTTCTACAAAATTAAGTAAAGTGGCATTGAGAATTCTGACGACACCATGGACATCTGTAGCCACAGAGCTCACATTTACTGCAGCAAGACCTGCTAAAATAACTTTTCTTTCATATAATTGGAATATATTAAATGAAAATATATCAAATGAATGCACGAGCACTCCAATAGGTCAGTGAGACAACTTCTTAGAGAAGTTCAACGGTTAGAATTGACGTTAATGAAGGTGAGGTGGACGCATCATCTAAATGTATAGCAACAACAAGAGAATATGAATTAGAATTTGTTGTTTGCAACAATTCTGAGGGTTACTGATTTACATATTGCAGACTCATTTTGTACATAAAAAAATGTGTGTACTTATTTGTTGTAATTAATAATATTAAACCCATCGTCAGAACAGTATTTTGATAAAAAGTTGAATAATCTCTTTGCATATAAATCCTTTCTAAAAAATCTAAAAGGTTCAAGAGCACCTCCCTAACTTCCTCAGGAATTTTAGGCAACGAGATATCGAGCGAAGTCCAGTTTCACGGTCATTTAGAGGGTAAGGTCAATTCAAATCAAGTCAGATCCCCCAAATCTATAAGGCGCAAGTCCGACCCTATATGGAATACTGTTCTCATCTCTCTGCAGGGGCACCACAGTATCAGCTTCTCCCTCTGGACCATATCTAAAGAAGAGCTACTTGAATCGTCGATAGCCAAAAGACTTGCGACCGGCTCGATCCCTTGGCGTTACGTAGAGATGTAGCGTTGCTCTGCATTCTCTATCGTATATATCATGGAGAGTGCTCCAAGGAATTGTTCGGACTAATATCGGCCGCAACCTTCCGCCACCATTCCACACGGCAAAATTTTCATCCCCACCACTTGGATAATTAGCGCTACATCACTGTGCACTTTACGAGACAGTTTTTGCCTCGCACAACCAATCTGTGGAACGGGTTATCGGCTGCGGTATTGCCGGACCGATACGACCTTTAAAACCTTTAAGAAAAGAGCGTACTTCTTCCTCAAAGGCTGGCAATGCGTTTGTGACTCCTGAGATGCAGCTGTTCATGCCCCCTATACCATAAAAAAAACATTGACGGAATATTGAAGAAACAAGCATTAAATAAATATTAATTCTCCTCGTTTCTTAAAATAGCTTGAAAATGGATGCGTCTAATCATTTTATTTAAATAAAAATTTTATAGCAGGACCCTTGAGTTACAGCCAGTTGCAGGAGTCCACAGGCAGCTGTATTCACTAACCTTCAGGGACCCGTCTGCTTGTTTGCCTTTAAAAAAGTTAAGTAAGTAATGCCTTAAAGTTCATTGATCAAGGTCATATAGCAAATTTCTCCAGCAGAAGCAATATTAAACAGGTTAGTCTCAATAATTTAATTTTAATTGGGAAATATAGAATATAGATAACAAAATATGACAAAATGCATCTGATCGGTCGTTGATAGCGTTTTATCTGTGGCGCAAAGACTGAATGAAGGAATGAATATTTTAAAATTGTCTACGTTATGTCAAAATATTCTGACCAATAGCGTGCTGCTTTTAAGAGTATCTTTATCCTACACTTTTGTTATTGGCTAAAATTACGAGGAATTCTAAACGTAAGTTGTGCTTGATCGCTTGAAGTGTCGTAAATCTAAATAAACTGTGTTATTTGTGTATATTCAGTGATCCAAGATAAAACCCTGCAAGATGTTTAAAAAGTGAGTATTAATATACACTCTTCAATGAAAGGTCTGCTGCATAATTGTAATTTATAATTATTATTTACAAGAAGATTTTAGGTTATACTTAGAATGTCACTCATTCGGTGTACTTGGAGTTCATTGGTTAGTTCGGTTATTGACGTAAAAATTTATTAACCAATCAGGTCGTAGTACTGTACATAGTGATAGTAATGGAGCTAGTGGTGGATTTACTTTTAAATCGACAAAACCTTCATAAATTCTTAGTATACTAAAAGACTAAATTAACAAGAACAATCTAACCAAATTTGCTATTTTGTGAGATCTCAATGTTGAAGCAAACTTTTATGATGTGCCTGATTATTTTGAATTAATTGGAAACTGTGACTTTTTATTTAAGTAAAAGATTTTCTGTAGTTATCAAGAAAGAGTATTTTAGGTCAATGTTAATTATATAAATTGATAATGATATAAATTAGTTTCATGTCCTTATTTATTTTTGTCTGCTTTCTGGTTGCGCATCACTAAAATTGATGACGTAGCATTTGTGCGAACGCGACGAATGCTCTATTCGTTCTGTGGCTGGCAAAATCATTACAGGCTAGAAAGAGACGGACAATCTAATAAAATGGTTGAATGACTAGATTAAATATTAGTTCGTTCATACATCAGACATTCAGTTTTGTGCAGCTGTTCTCGTTTGATTGTCCTGTGCCTTGTGATTTTTCGATAAATACATTTTTAAATTCTCGTGATCACAGACAACTAACACCTTTGCCGAGTATTTGCTACGAACATTTCGAAACAAAAGCATATAAACTGTGCATCGTGCATTTTTTCCATGACGTAACTGGATTTGTAACAACTGTGATCAGCGGTACTGCGTAGGTACCGCTAACGCTAACAAAGGTCGTGGCGGTCCATGGTTGGTGCGTTTGTGTCATTCTGTGAAGTTTGACGGTGTGAATATGTGGGAAACTGACTCCGACACAGGATCCCGCAGCGCGTCTTCGGACGGGCTGCGGCGACGTCAAGGATGGGATCCGGAGGGAGAGAGTTTGGCTTCGCAGATGGACGAACTAGATGAAGTACTCGCAGAAGAAGAGGATGGGTGTCCATTGCCCTCTACACCAGAGGACCAACACCTGCTTGACGCTGAAATGGCCGAAGTACTGAAAGCAGGTGTTCTCTCAGACGAAATTGACCTTGGTGCATTGGCCCATAATGCTGCAGAGCAGGCTGAAGAGTTCGTTCGTAAGGTGTGGGAGGCGTCATGGAACGTTTGCCACTTCAGACATCTGCCGAGGTGGCTGCAAGACAATGATTATCTTCACAAAGGACACAGACCGCCGCTGCCGTCATTTAGCGCATGTTTTGGGTCTATATTCCGTATCCATACAGAGACGGGCAATATCTGGACACATCTGCTCGGTTGTGTGGCGTTCATTGGAGTGGCTATATATTTTTTGTCGCGCCCGTCGATTGAAATACAAATGCAGGAGAAAGTGATATTTGGAGTATTTTTTGTAGGTGCCATTGTGTGCCTTGGGTTTTCCTTTGCTTACCACACCCTTTACTGCCATTCGGAGATGGTCGGCAAATTGTTTTCAAAGTTGGATTACTGTGGCATTGCCCTTTTAATTATGGGTTCATTTGTTCCATGGTTGTACTACAGTTTCTACTGCCACTATAGACCTAAAATCATATATTTATCTGTAGTGGTAGTTTTAGGAATTTTGTCTATCATAGTTTCTCTTTGGGATCGGTTCTCAGAGCCTAGATTGAGACCTCTCCGAGCGGGAGTGTTCATGGGTTTTGGTCTGTCAGGTATAGTTCCTGCGATTCACTATGGCATTACAGAAGGATGGTTTAGTCAAGTAAGTAAAGCATCACTCGGTTGGCTAGTGCTGATGGGCCTGTTATACATATTGGGGGCCATGTTCTATGCCCTACGTGTTCCAGAGCGATGGTTCCCAGGGAAATGTGATATCTGGTTCCAGTCCCATCAAATATTCCATGTTCTTGTGATTGTGGCTGCATTTGTCCATTACCATGGTATCAGTGAGTTAGCCTCCTACCGTGTAACAGTAGGGGAATGTTCCATGCCTCCATCATCAATTGCATTCTAACCACTCCTTACACCAAATGTGATAGTAGAACATAGATAAATTTAAGTAGAATTACAAACATTCAATAGCTTCACTATTTTTTAAACAAAAAACTATGAATTTTTGTAAATTTTATAATGACAACAATATTACTGATAAACAATATTAATGATTAAATGAGTGCACTTGTGAGGCTGAAAAGAAAAGCTGAAGATAGGCTGTTTATTGGGGGTGTATACTATAAATTAAAATAATATGTCTTATTTAGGCCTTCATAAACAATTTCAACTCTATTATAAGCTGCTGTTATTTACTATGAGAATGCCAATATGAGAACCTAACAGTGTCTTATATTTGAGTGGCATTTGAATATTTGGCTTTAATAATAGATTCTTATTTATTTTTAAACTTAGTAATAGTTTGTTATTAGTAATTATGTTTTAGTCTTTCTAGTTAATATATTTGCACCAAGAACTGCACATAAAACAATACCTAATTTTGTTACAGATTTTTTAAAATTTACAAAAAAATCATGCTGTGTAAAAAAGTTAGTGTACTTAAATTTATACTTTGTTTACTTACTATTGTTTGTTTGTTTTTGCACTAAAATTTAGTACAGAGTTAAGTAGAATACACTTGGCACGGACCACTTTACATGCACTTGAGTATTTGGTTATTTCAACTTATTTCTTAAAAATAATAATTCTTCAAAAAATTATAGTGTAGCAAGGAAGAAGTGTAGCTGATTGATAGTATATAATTTACTTATTAATCAGAGAAATCCTTGTTATATTGAAGATAATTATAAAAACTAATCTGTGCAGTTGTATTGAAAGAAAACAAAAATTCTTTCAATGTCCGCTTCTGTATTCCTTGTTACTGTATTAGCCCAATTGTTTTCCTATTAAAAAATAATTTATTATCCTGATGAGCGACAATTCCATCACTACTTTCTAGTTCAGTTTGAATAGCCTTGTATTTCTTATTAGATGTCTTTTGGAAACATTGCATTCATGGTTATATGCTGCAACTATACTATTATAACTATATTTAATTGTGGCTCAACTTCCGCAAGCCCTGAATACAATTGAGTACATTGCCAGTGTAAGAAATAATGTTCAGTTACATATTGTACTCAAATGTAACAAGTTTTATATGTTTCTAAGTAATAGCAGTCACACATTCCATCAATTCAACAGAATTATTTTTATTTGGATAATTTATTTTGCGAATTATATACAGTACAGTCTATTGTGAATAAGTAACATTTTGAACAAAACTACATTTAATTGTGGTATCCATTAGTTATAAAAATAAAAAGTAATTCAAAGTATATTCTAAATTGTTATAAGTGTTCATAAGTGTAAAGATTTTATGAGACAGAAAATGTAAAAAAAAAGCATTTTGTAAAGTATATTGCGATTTGAACCATGGAAAGCTTAAAAATTATGTAAGTAGAAATGTTGATATGGTAATATAGAGAAATCTCATAAAAATATTGTAAAGGCAATGTCTTACATAATTATGAAATTAAAGTTAAGGTTCAGTGTTAAAACTTTTTTTTTATTATTCTAAGATTTTAGTTAAACAGAAAGTCTACGATTGAATATCTAGTGTTACGACTAAATCGGTTCTCGACTGATGAACAAAGACAATACTTTTCGAGATCAGTTTGTTCACAATAATTATTTAAAAGAAAAATTGTTTTGTAAGACCCTGAACTTATGCAACGTATATTGAAATCGATGTTTAAACATTTCGTAAGCACCTAATATCTGAGTGTTCTAAATCTACTTTGCTTGAGTATATGCTAAAATATTACATATTTTCTAATTGAAGATATTACGTAAAACAAGCAACGATCTCAAACGTTGTTAACTTCTTTGTTTTCCATATAATCTTATTTATAAACTGTTTCTTTTGCTGATCTTGACATTTGTTGAATACTTGTTTTTGGTGGAAATAAAAATATGCAATAAATCAAAACAGAATCATGTGTTTTAGTTTTAACAATCACCCACTACCTATTGTTAATTTAGGATGCTCTCTATAATTCAGGAAGAAATAAATGCCTAGGTTAATATTTATGAGTTTTGAGAAAAGTCATTATACTAAAATGGGTTCAACGCGTCGAAAGATTTTTATGCATCTTCCTTTTTTGACTATTACAGTGCGTGACGTAGATATAATACTTTCTCTCGCATTGTAGAAAAGACATGCGTCATACAACCGACATAGATTAAGCTATATAAAAGTTTCATAACGTACATATAAATACTATAAATCTACATATAATAAATCATTATTTCTAGTTCTTGTATAAAAAGTTCTTAATTATTTCTTAGTTATTATTTAAAAAGTTCTTAGTTATATTTTATGAATCCAATAAAATACTTGGCACTCTTCATTACTTACAATAATAACGCCTAGAAACCAACAACATGTACCTACTATAAGTAAGGCAAGTAAAACTTTTAAAACGTTAAACTTTTAACTGTAAAAGCAAGCCATTTTGGCTCAGTAACCGAACGGCCGGCGTCAGTGCTCAAGGTCAAGTTGAAATGCTAACAGCTCTCTTAATTTTAAATCAATCTGAAATTTATAAACATTGTAACATAACATTTCACCTGTTAATATGACTTTTATTCTATTATTTTGATGTAAAACATATTCAATAGCCATTGTATGCCAATGTTGCAAGTTAAGTTAAAATGGTTTACCTACTACATTTTTAATTTATGTTATAAAATTAAAAAAATACTTATTGCATTATATTTAGGTAATGTAATTGACTTGCACTGCACGTTTTGAAACAGGGTAGTATTAACGCTAATTGCTAGTACTAATGAAATAAATTTCTACAATCGTACAAACATTTGGTCCAACTCGGGAATCGAACCCAAGATCTCTTCATAGCAGTCGTATATGCTACCACAGCATTATCACAGCTGTAATAATACATTTTAATGGGCAAACAGTATGCATTAGGGCAAGATGTAATCTTTGTCGGAATACCAAAAAAACTTTAAAAGGTCTCTCCTAAATGCTTTTTTAATGTTCTGTTGTGTCTTCATTTATTACTTACTTTAGATTTTCTTCTATAAAATTCAAAAAAGAATTGCCTTATTTTTAGGGAAAATCTGATTCCAATTGCAACATTACGTACTTGACGACACGCACACTAAGGTGTTTGTCGCCGAGCGTAAATACTTGGGACTTACGCCTACATCAATTCAAATCAATTTGTTTTTGCCTCAAACTCGATGGTTTTTTATGTGTTCAGCTATGGTTCGTTGTTGTTATTCTTCATTCCATGTTACAAATAGGCATGATTTAAGTAGGTACCTACCTATTTTTTTAAATATGCGACCAAATGAAACCACCGACTTTCATTTAGATAGCTGATATCTCTAATATAAATGACCTACCTAACATATTATACACTTTGTTGTTATTATGTAGGTGTGTATTCCAGATTCTAGACGTTTTCTGTGATGTACACTTTTGATTCCTACAGTGAAGGGTATTTTGTAAAAACTTATGTAGGTAAATAGGTCAAAATATTATATAGATACCAGATTATATTACATCTACACGAAATACAACTATTTTTATTAAACTGGTACTTAAATTCGATACTGTTTAGTAATAATATTTTCTTTATTTATTGAAGCTGAGAAAATTGACTTATCGGATTGGCACCGCGGACCTTAACGTAAATATGTAAAATGTTTGTGAGTATAAAGTTAAGAAGTACGACCGTTAAGTCCGCGTGGAGACGGATTAAGAATACGGAGTGTCACCACCCCTGTTCCTTTCGTGGGTGTCATTAGAGCCGACTAAGAGAGCAAAGCTTTGTGAGAAGAGGCCTTTATCCAGCAGTGGACTATTAAAGGCTGTTGATGTGATGTGTGATGTGAAGTAAGTACAAATAGAAATTGCATTATTAAAATTGTCAAAGTGTTGAAAACTATTTGAGGTTCTTACTGATTTTCTTTAATTAGTAGCAAAGTAATGTGAAAAAGAAATTTTTAAGACAGCTGTCAAACACGAAGAGGTACATCTAGGGTTGCCAACATTTTTTGCCAAAACAACGTATAAAATAGTTTGAATAGGAAAAAAAAGTATTTTTAAAATTTTGTTTTTATTGCCTCAAAAACAGATTTTTGCGTGCTTTTAGCACATGCTAACAATTAACGGGATAAAAACGGGAACGGAGAGTAAATAACATTTTTTTTTACATTTGGTAAGCTATCAGATACATTTTTAAGTATACTCGTATATTGCCATTTGTTAACTGCACTTTTCTCGGAAAATTCTTTATCATCATTAGTGAATTTCCTTTGTATCTCTTTATGTCTTATTGACTCGGAATTTAATCTGTTTTGTAATTTCCGCTTTGTAATTACCATTTCAAAATGTTCAAATTTAACCTTATTTTTCAAAGACATTAGGAAGTAATGAAAGCCAGTTATCTTCGCTAAAATCAAACCATTTTGGACGGACAAATTTTGTACAATTTCGTCGATAGTGACGTGACATCTGTGACAAATGTCAGAATGTCGACTGCCTTGTCACATTTACATCACATCTGACATCTAACATTTCATTCAGTAATTGTAAATCGTTTACCTCATCCGTTTTAACTTATGTGTACCGTTCAATAGTTAAGTACCCATAATTAGTGTTTTGTTTTACGCATCACAGTAAAGGTTGGAAATAAAGTATTTTCATATACTATGTTTGTATGCAAAAGTATAAAGTATAATTACCAAAAATAAAGTAGGATACGATATACTAAAGTATGGTTGGCAACCCTAGATACGTCATGCCTTATTTCAACAACTTGTATGGTACTAAAACGGGGGGTCTGTAGCTGTAGGGGAAAACGGTCTTGACAAGGAGCCGTCCTAAGTCCTTGTAGCCTCTGAGTTTATTCAACATGAGTGTCTAAACAAATCAATGCCTAAAACGGAATGGTACTAAAACAATGAGATGCATACTACCTAAAGTTCTCATCG